CTTTTTCTAGCTTTAGCATAATTAGTTAGGCCTCTGTCAGGACACGCCCACTTTTCTTCCTTTTCCTTCCCCTTTTTGCCTGTTTTTTCAATGGGAGAGCACAAGTTTCGCTGTATGCTCCAGAAAAGTGTTTCCTTTTCTTTCACTCCTCATTTTCTCATTCTCCTTGTTTTTTTCTCGTTTCTGTTTTCCAACCTTACTTTCTTACCCATCGTTTTTTGTTGTTCTTACTATTCCATTCCTAGACCTCCATTCCATCTCCCATATTCCACATACGAATGATAAAACAAGGCGACTGACATCTGTCTGTCGTCTTCCCGCTGCACACAGGTCGAAAGGATGTATATGAATCGGGAAGACCGTAAGTTTTCATTTCACCTAAAAACTGAAAAAAGAAGAGCTTCATACGCGGAATGGTTGAATTCACTGACAGTCATGGAAATACTGGAAATTAGTAATCCTCAGCCCTTGAGAGGTATCGAACTACTGACCTGTTGAGCGAAAAACGCGAGCGTTCCCCACTCGACCACCAGGGCAACAATTTTCTCCTGCGTTGAAGGCAATGAGATAGGTGTCGCCGCGATAGAAGTAAACAGCCGCGCATGTCTAGACTGACACTTCAGGTTTCTTCTTGTGGTAGCACTCCCAAGTGATACAACTTCTCGGTTTGTTTCCAATTAGAGATTCCTTATTGTGTACATGTAAAGCTGTTCCTTATAACTCTTCTTATCTTTTTGCTCTCGGAGCCTGTCTCGAAGTATCGATCCATTTTTGTTATTTAATAAATTATGGCTCAACTCGTGGACACTGGGATCCGTTGATGCGTGATCTGAAGGACCATAGGCGCCGTTGTTTTCTTGTTCCTCCTCCTCCACAATTTCTTCCTCTTTTAAGAAGTTTTTGGGACCTTCCGACTTCTTATTCTCCGGGTTTCTTCCTTTTTTTTGCAATCCACTTCATTCATTTCTCAACCGAATGTCCCAATAGAAATGGGGGATGTTTTTTGCTCGTCTATCCATATATGTAGAGGTTGAAGAGGAAAACTATAAGGAGAAGAAGTAGTAAGGTGGCGATTCACGAGAAAAAGCAGTGAGAGATAAATCCGACCGACTTCTCGAATCCAGGAAGTTACAGATGGAGAAAAAGAAGAGGGAAATATGTGTGCTTGTTTACGTGTAAGTTTCTTTGATTTTTGACACATTTTTGATGGTAGTTGACTTTTTAAACAGAAAAAAGGTGCAAAGTCTGCAGAACTTTTCCCAAGACTAAATCTGGATGAAGAGAAGGTCAAATATTGCGAAGACCTACTTAGTGAATCTGAATTTCCTATCTACTTCAAAATTGAGGGAACTTTTCTTTTGGGGTTTTAGGCCCAAAACGGACCAAAAAAAAAGTGTATCTCATTAAAATTTGCAGAAAGATAAACATACTCACAACAAAAAAGATAAAGAAGAAACTCAAAAGAATTTTCAAAACTTCTAAAATAACTTGAAACGGAAAATACCGTACTTGCAATTTGAGCTTGATTATCTCAATGTTGGTCGAAAATAAAGGAGATTTGCAAATTGCGAAAGTTTTTTGATATTATCATAAACATTTTATCAGTTGATAGATTTTGGATTTCTCTTACAGGAACCGAGATAGTTAAGCTCAAAGTGTATAGAGGGTGGTGTAATGATCAGTGGTGTAATGGTGTAATGGTCCATATGGATGCCTTCCAAGCATTCGACGGGGGTTCGATTCCCCCGAACGCAGAGTTCCTTTTTCAGTTTTTTAGACTGTTAGTTTTTATTCTACATTCAAAAGTCATATTATTGTTGCTAATTGGACGTCCAGCGATACATTTTGAGATCACAATAACTATTTGACACCCGATCTTGATTTGGAAAAACAGATCAGTATTAAACAAACGCCTAGACACCATGAATGTCCATTTCTTCTGGGTTTAACCGCTCTTGAATAACCTTCGAGTCAATTCAAGTATGTTTTTTCTTCACTTTTTTCCTATTTCAAATGGAATGGACATCTCTCAAAAACACAAGTTTTGAGGCAGAAAAGTATTTTCGACATCTCACTTTTCTTCTTCTCATTCAATTCCTCGCCATTTTTCTGAATTCCTCGAGCCTTCATTCGAATGTAAAATGTCGTCGAAAGTCGGTTTTCAGTTGTTTTTTCCAGTAGATATCACCGGTAAGTGAGGTTTCGAAAGCAAAAGTAAAACGTTTTTTGAAAAAGGCCGCCGCCTGGATGGGGCTCACATGACTTATGCTCATCCTGTGTCACTGCTTCGATTTCCGCCAAAAAAACCAAAGCTCCCGAAAGACTACGTAGCTCTTTTGTCCGTAAAAATCGGAAAAGTTTCTAAACTAAAAATAACTTAATTTTGAAGCTTTGGAAATTATACTTATTTACCGTAAAAGCTGTAGTAGAATGACCCTCTAACTTTTAACTGTGACCCAATTTTTCTCGGTTCCGGTCAAACAAATTAAAAGGTTGTTAACTGATAAATTGTTGATCATAATACCAGAAGGGCTTTGTCAGTTAATACAATGAACTTTCGGCTAGTTTTAGATCTGAACTTTTGTTCATAACTTATAGATTTCGCTTCTTCCATTCTTTCCGTTCCTAATTTTTTGTTCCAAAAGCTTTTTCAAACCAGATCAACCAAAGTTCTAAACCGTACAAAAATTAAAAACTAAAGTATTAGAAAAATTCGATTATGATGTCTTATCAGTAATCCGTTATCAATACGACCATGTGAATTGTGTGCAAATGAAAATAGAAACAGAAGAAACCACACGGATAGGTAAATAGAGAACACGAGAGACTGAAAAAAGCAGTACACAGAGAAGTTTTAGACTGATTGCGGAACAACCGGAAAACGATTTTAGAAACTCGATTATGTCCAGTTCAGTCCTAATTTTCTTAACTTTTTTCGTGTCGGCTTGTGATGAGAATTACGAAATTATAGTGTTTGTACAGGTCATTTTTTCTATCGATCTGAAATTTTTTCCTTTATTCAAAATGTCAGTCTTTCTGACGACGTCAGAAAAGTACATTTTGTCTCCCACGTTTTACGTATCTCTCCGCTATAAAATATGAGAACTTTTTAACCAGATATTCACTTGCTTCCATCAGTCATCACTTTCGAACCTTGTTCTTTTTCCTCTTCTCTTAAAAATCAATTTCAAAATTACCCTGAAATTCTCGCACCCCTAGACTTGTCAAAACCTTTATCCATCGTCTCATTTCTCGAAGATCTTTTTGCTATTTTTAGCTCAAACTAGGAGGTTTATGAATGAATATATTATAATTTCATTTTTCTCTCACCTCTCTTTCAACCCCTTCTCAATCACTGACAAATCCAGAATAAGGTGTCAAAAAGAAGAAGAAAAACATGCGCTGTTTTTAGAAACGGCTGCTAAAATTTATATATTTTTGTGGTGGAAGAAGAGAAGATAGGATAGCGAAAAGTCAGAAGATTTACGTCATGTCATGGTGGGATTGGAGAGAATAAAAGAGAGATCAATTGATCCAGATTGAGGATACTGTAGATCTGAAAGTCTAGCTGTGAAAAGTTGTTATTTTTGAAATATTTCAATCTAAATGATATGAAGTCAAACTGTTTCCAAGGTTGATCAACAGTAGGATATTCGGATTTTTAAGAAACCTTTTTAAGGACCTTCACTCTAATAGAGTGTCACCCAAACTTTTGACTGTGAGCCAATTTATCTCGGTTCCCGTGTAAGATACAGAAAAGTTGTCAACTGACAAAATGCTTTCGATATTATGATAAACATTTTACTAGTTGGCAAGTATTTGATATCAATTTAACGAAACGAGATATATAGTTTAAAAGTTGACTGTTTGACCAGCACTCTATTAGAGTTGGCAGTACTTTTAAAACTGGACATTTCAACGTCACCCTCATCATCATCATCATCATCACTCGACCGGGGATTGTTTGTTTGTTTTTTTCATCCTGTTTTCCCTCCATTTAGTAGAGCTTCCGATTTTCGATTTCCTTCAAAAATTGGAGGCGTTGCTTTTTGGAAGAATTTGTGTTCGGAAGTTCTACGTATCAAAAAGATTGGAATAGTCTAAAGGTATACTAAAGGATGGGACATCGAAGTTCTACTGAAATCCGAGAGAAGCAGTGGTCTCTGAGATCTTGAGTTGTAATTTTTTCGAAATATGAGTTTCCATGGGTCAGATTACTGTAGTCCATAAGTTCTGACTTGAGAGACTCTCTCTGATAGAAGAGGTCCTCTAGATCTTCCCGTATCACATGGTGCTCTTTTCAATTTTTAAGAGATCCCCGCCGTTTTTGGGGCACAACAATCCATCTATTTTTCCGTCCATCTCTAATGACTTCAGAAAAATGCGATACATCTCGAATTTCGAATCGGTGTATGCGACTTCATATCATCGCGTGAGAACAAGAAGAATGCGGGGAGAAGAAGAATCTACGATTGAATCGTCAAGAGTTCTTCCTCAAACATCTTCCGGTCCTCGGAACCAAAAACAAGAGGTCGAATAGGGGTAAAAGAGTGTAGAGACATAGACAGCCGGGGTGGACGACGTCTTCAACTGCTTCTGTGCTCGGTGCCTAATTTGTGTTGGGCGACTGACGCGGCGTGAGTCCCGTAGAGGGAAGAGAGCAAGAGGAGGAGCAAAACCAGCAAGCACGTCTTCTTTTTTCCCATATCTCTCTGTCTAACACCTCCTCAATGAATGTAATGCATCGGATCGTTGGAAGAAAATGGACGAGAGATGAGAGAGGGTGACAGAGTTAGAGCAAAAGAAGAAAAAAGAGAAAGAGAAGAAAAAGGAAGAAGGAAAAGAAGCTGCATCGTTTTTGTCTTGAAAATCATCAGGGCAGGAGGAGGCTTCTCCTTCTATTAATCTATCTTAGGCTGCTAATTTGCCTTATACCTTCCTCTTCTTTTCTTTTTGCTCATCCTATCCCTTGAAGAGGAGTGTTCATTCAATTAAGAAGAATGTTCTCCCGAAGAACGACACCTTCTCCTTCAATCACCACTGCTTCGTCATCTACCTTTTCAATTTCCAATCTGACCAATAATAATGCAACTTCCACATCGGATTTACCCACTTCCGTGATCTCTAATATCGTCCCGCAAATTCCGCCCACCCCGCGACGGGTGCCACCAAAAATTGGACTTTTGCGACATTTGTCTGGGTTTCTGGAGTCGAAAAAAGGTTGGTGATTGATTATGTGATAACATAGACACCTGATTAATGTGTTGTTTGATTTTAAGTTTTTAAATTAATGTTACTTATACGCTGGATCAAGTCAGTTATCACAGCATTTTACTTCTGGGATAGGTAGGGTACGGCGGCCAAACAGCCCTAGTAGTTTCTTGATTGGTACACGGCAACCTACTCAGGGCCTAAGTCAAGGCCGGCCGCTATCGCAATCTGAACAACCGTGATAAGTATAAATTGAACTGCGGATCTCCGATTTTTTGTTTATGTAAATAAATTTTTTCCAAAAGTGAATACGTTGATTCCTTTGAGGATTCCTCCGCTCTTGATTTCAAATTCTTCTGTTATTTTTCAATATTTCCTCTCAACTGATCATTGAATATCTTAAAAACATACGGATTATCTCATTTTTCGTCATGACTCAATATTTTGGTTTTCAAAGTATCACACACTCTTTTTTTTGAAACTTTTGCGAAACCAAAGTACATTATGAGCTCATCAAACACAACTCGAAACTCTTCTTCTTCCCCAAATCCCAAAAAAATGTAATCGTTTTTCGCTCCCGTTTGTTTCTGTTTCGGTCCAATCTTATACGCATTTGTGTGTACGTATATGTGTGTGTGTGCTCACCGAGCTTCTGGTTTTGCTCACACACGTACCAGCCAGGAGCCAGAATGGAGAAACAGAAGGAGAAAAAAGGAGAGAAGGTTTTGAAATTGAGAAAAAATGAGGCTGGAAGCTTAAGACGGGATAATTGGAGAATGTTCTTTCAGATCTGATGAATGATTGGGAAATCGGTGGAACGCAGAATAAATGGGTTTGTCCAAGTGATCGACATTTGCATTTGAGAGCACAGTGAGTTGTTTTTTTCGATGAATTTGAAATGATGGAAAACTAAGGAAAATGCATTCCAGGCTGAAATCAGGATGGTCCGTCCGAACAGCAACAGCGAGGTCCCCAACCAATTCAAAAGCTCAAACGGGATCAATTACTGCCGCGGAACAAGAACAGATTCAACGGGTACTGGCGAAGGCTGAGGAGAGCAAAAATAAGGAGCAACAGAGGATCGGGTACGATTTTTTTTATTCCAAAAATCTTTGCAACTTTCAATGTTCATTGATGTCGTCATTCGTTTTTTATTGAAGCGAAAATGGCTATTAGAAATTCTGTGAGGTTTTTCGGCTTCGCTATCTGATGAATAATTTAAAACAAGAATTCGATGAAGAAATCTGAAATTCGGGAGCGATGAGCCATCAAAATTAAAAGGAAAACGAAAAACATATTTTTCCAGAAAAATGGTGGATCGTCTGGAGAAAATGAGAAGACGTGCGACAGGAAACGGAGTCACGCATTGTTTGTTATGTCACACTGAATTCGGTCTGCTTGCTGCAAAAAGTTATGCAGCGATGTGTACGGATTGTAGGAAGGTAAGAATTTACGATTTTGCAAACACGGGTTCAAACTTTGAATTTTAAACTAGAAGTCAACTTTCAAGTACAATTAGAAAATTAGATCCGTTTTGTGTAAGCTTCTTTAGTTGATCCTGGATTTTGGTCCATTTAGTTCAATACTTTTTCCTCCACTTCTACTTTCACATATGCCATCATTTAATCACTTATCATCCAGGATTATGATCAACTACGGTACCGCAAAAGTCGGTTTTGTACTATTATGCTGTTATGAGGGCTCCCGGACATTTCGCAACCGGACATTTCGCAGCCGCGACATTTCGCAGCCAGACATTTCGCAGCCAGACATTTCGCAGCCTCTGATAACGTCAGAAAATCAGAATTCCAAGTTCTTCGGTTTTGAAAAAAAGTATATTTTAATGTCAGAAATTGAATTTTCGAAGAATTCGGCTGAAAAAAAAAATCAAATTTCAGCTGAAAAAATAGCAAACAAGTATTCAATAAATTGAAAACTGCTAAATCTTCACTGTTATGATATTTTTTAGAATTTATTTGTTTTCTTCTAGAATTCCAACTTTCTAAAATCTTATATTTTAAAAAGAAATTCTGAATAACAATGAAGATTTATCATTTTTCAATTGATTGAATACTTGCTTGCTATTTTTTCAGCTGAAATTTGATTTTTTTTTTCAGCCGAATTCTTCGAAAATTCAATTTCTGACATTAAAATATACTTTTTTCAAAATCGAAGAACTTGGAATTCTGATTTTCTGACGTTAGCAGACGCTGCGAAATGTCTGGCTGCGAAATGTCTGGCTGCGAAATGTCCGGCTGCGAAATGTCCGCTGCGAAATGTCTGGCTGCGAAATCTCCGGCTACGAAATGTCGCGGCTGCGAAATGTCCGGGAGCCGTTATGAGATGATCGGAGCTGTGGAAGAGAAAAAGTCTGACCGCCGCACGGCCGAACAACTGTAATTAGCAAATACGTATTTTCAACTTAAATATATTTTCTCGATTTTCGTTCGTTTTTTTTATATTTAGAAAAATTGTAGGATTACGGTGGTTTTCGTTACGAAGATCATTGACGACGCCCACGAGCTTTTCTCTTCCATAGCTTCGATTTTTAAACCGCCATAATACTAAGCTCGTCATAACAGAAATAGCAGAAAATATAACATTCTTCAACAAATAAGAGCTCACAATTAAAAACAAAAACACATGCACAAAAAGGAAAATTTGCAGTATGTATGCCAACGAAATTGTGGTGTGGAAACGACGGATGTGCAATCTGGAAAAACGGAGACAGTGTTCTTGTGCAAAATATGCTCAGAAGCCAGAGAGGTGGTTAGTGGTTTCGGCTGGTTGTCCGCGTTCTTTTTTTCTCTAAAAAGTTTCTTTTGGATACTTTTAGAGTATTCGAATGAACATGTCTCCCTGTCCAAGTCCTTTTTTTTCAGAATTTTATTATAACTTTTTTTGACACTTTTCAGCTTTCTTTGCTTACACTCTTTCCATCAATATTCACACCCTTTGTTTCTAAAAATAGATTTTCCTTTCCCTTTTTCCTTCATTTTTGCCAGATTTTTTGCAACCCATGTTTGCTTGCCCCCTGTACCTCTATCTCTAAATATCACCCAAATTCCAGCTATGGAAGAAATCAGGAGCATGGTTCTACAAAGAAATGCCCGAATTCCAAAGGCCCGACGAACGTCTTCCATACTATACTCCAGTCACTGCCAATGGATCAATTCCGAATGCAGCATCAGCGACAACTCCTGTTTCTGGAACACCTGCTGCTGGTCCACAACCAATGACAATGCCGTCAACGTCATCGTGCCAAATGACAACACCGAAATGGGCGTCTCCAAGCACATCGTCGAATCCAGTAGTTCCCCAGATTTCCAATGGTCCAGCGTCTCCGCTTCCGAATGGAAATAGAAGAAACACTGGGAATGGTGGAATCGAGTTCCCGAGGTATGATATTTTTTCTTTGAAATTATTTTGTTGAAGTTAAAATTTGAAGTGTGTTTTGATTTTCATTTTGAAATTATTTTCGATTTTTGTGAGCTAAAAAAGATTTCAAAAAAATTCCAAAAAGCATGCAACGTCTCCAACCCGCTCCAACTCCCCGTTTTCTCCTCTGATGCTTTTTTTTTACCTTGCCGTTTTTATTTTAAGCTCCAGTCGTCCCAGCATCTGCTCCGTGCTTCAAGCCATCGACCCACCCGACAGGTTGTTTTTTTCGTTTCGGTTTCTTTTTCTTTTTCATCTGTCCTCTGTTATTTTGATTCAACCACTAGATTTTTTTTCTAATTAGTATATAATCATGCTCATAGGAATTTCATTTAAAAATTTCAGATCGAAATCTCCGCGACCAAGAATCCAACCAAGATGGGTGAATGAGAAAGTGATGAGTAGTATGTCAGTGGATGATGAAGAAAAAGCGCTAAGCTCTTCTGATGGAGAGTCATTTATCCAGTCTGGTGTACCTTGCCGTCAAAATAATCAGACGCCAACGGCTACTGCATCCACGACTACATCTCCAGCACCTCCTCCAGTTTCTACAACACCCACTCATCGAATTGAATCAAATCTGGAACGATTCTCTCGACACTCTCAGAAGACACCTCGCTTATACAGCACTGACGATGAGGACGATTCATCTCCAGAGTCTCGACCATCGTCTACAAGATCCACTTCTCCGCGGCACTCTCTTGCGACGCCATCTTCATATGCGCATGACACGTGTCACGAGACGTCACTCCCGGATCCAGATACGCGTAGCATTGACAGTGGAGGTAACTGCTCAACCTGTCAGTACTTTTTCGGATCGTTAGGACGAAAATCCATTTCGAATTCTCCGTAGAATTTTCAACTCATCATTTACATTTTTCAGTTGTCCAATCTGATCATTCCAATCCCCAACAACATGGTTTGACGTGTTCGTCTTCATCATTGACACCCCTCCAACAACAGGCAAGCCATGGAGATTACAATTCTGGAAGAGGTTCACCGAGAAGAATTTCAAATCCGGATAGTGTGATTCCCCGGGTAGCTCAAAGTGCATCAGGTATAAATCAAAAAAGTTCAATTTTTTTATTGAAAATCATTTTAGGAACTTCGTTGGTCACTCCACCGCCTCCAATCTCTTCTCGAGCCAGTCCGGATCATCGAACATCGAGTCCAATGAATATTATGGAACACAAAACATCAAGTGCCAGCTCGTCGAGCATCGGTGGAACGAGACGAGTTGGATCAGCAGAACCCACTATCAACAATCATCATTCGATGCATAATAACTACAATCATAATGAAACGAAACGGTTGATTCATCAAACAAGCAGAGCCGAATCTCCACTAGCAGCTGCCTCGAGTTATCTGAATTCTACTGATGAAGAATCAAGTAAGTTCTTTTTTTCATACTTACAAAATCTTGGGCCGGCCCGGCCCGCGGGTCGGCCCGTCGAACATTTTGGCGGGCCGGCCGGGGGTACTTACAGACGTTGATTTTTTTGAATTTTTTTTCGAAAATTTATATATTTTTTCAAAAATTCAAACAAAAACGACCGATTTTTTGGCTATTTTCTACTTTGTAATTTTGGTTAATAATGTATCCTTTTTTCTTTTTAATTAAAAAAAAAATTACCCAAATTTTCATTGGAAATTTTTCAACTGTGATAGGCGGGCCGTCCCTGCCCGGCCCGGCCTTTTGCAACTATGCTTTTTTTTACTCTGTTTCGAGTTGGGTTTTTGGGGTTTTTATTATGGGCTCTAACTTCTAATTATTTCTACTAAAACATTTTGAAGTCATCCTTCTTGATTTTGCTGTGATTTTTTGTAATTCTCTAATGGTGAAAACAAACGCTTCTTAACCTTCTCTCTAATCCGATTTCAGAGCAACGAACTCGCCGTCGCGATGGTGTTGGTCGTATCAATTCTCTTCAACTTAGAACTTCACTCGATGACGTAGCGCCTCCAGCGCCACCGACGTCTTCTAAAATGAATGGTCACGTTGTATCGTCGTCTGAACCAAATCATCAGAATCATGTTCCCGTTCCTCCAACTGTTCCAGTGGTTCCAGAAGAAGAAGAAGAGAAAACGATAACAGCGAGCACGGAATCTGCGTCTGAACCTGGTGCGGTGATTGATGTGAAACGTCTTGTGACACCTTCAAACAGCACGTCATCTTTCGTTGATCCAACGAAGCATGAATCTTCGTCTTATCGTCGTGATGGTGGTGGTGGTTCTGGTGTATTCGGTTGCTTTTTGTGTTTTTCCAGAAAACAACGTTTGTGGTTCTTTCTTTCTTTCTCTTCTTTTCCACACTTTCCTCTATTTTGTTTTAATTGTAAAAACTTTATTTCAAAACTAACTTATCAAAAGTCTGTAGCTACAGAGTAGTGATATTCTATCAGTTTTGTTTATAGTTATTGGTACGAAAAGTTAGTGGTACAAAAATCGGAGCTGTAAAAGAGACCGTGGCCAAGGGTTCCACTGGAATAACTACAGTAACCTAATAATATTAGGTTGGCCCACAATACTACGGACATGGTTTCGTTTGCTTATAACCAGATTTGTCCGGATTCCGGAAAATGTGTTTCATCCCGGATTCCGTGAAATTTTTATATGTCAGCATTCCGGATTCCGGATTCCGAGAAAATTATTTTATTCCTGATTCCGTTTCTCAAAAAAATCATTCCGGACATCTCTGATAAATACTGAATAAAAATTTGTAGTTGTCGCTGTGGGACCTTTGGCCACAACTACCGTCGTTTCTCTCCCATATCTCCGAATTTTCGTACCAGCATAATAAATTTTCTCATAAATTTTTCCCTTATTTTTTAAGTTTTTAGCAAGCACACTGCCTGTTCTCTATCCATCCACATTTTCCCTCAAATATCTATTTTTCAATTTTCTAAATGAATTTTTACATTTTCAGGCAGCCTCGGATCCATTAATCTGACACTCACCTATACCTCATCCGATAAGAAGCTCAGAATTCATCTAATCCGAGCGAAAAACCTCAAAGCGATGGATTCGAACGGATTTTCTGATCCGTACGTAAAATTCCACCTGCTTCCGGGAAATACGAAAGCGACGAAGCTGACGTCGAAGACGATCGAGAAGACGTTGAATCCCGAATGGAATGAGGAAATGGCATATTATGGAATCACTGAAGAGGATAAGGAGAAGAAGATTCTTCGAGTAACAGTTTTGGATCGTGATCGTATCGGATCGGATTTCCTCGGAGAAACAAGAATCGCGCTGAAAAAACTCAACGATAATGAGATGAAAAAGTTCAATTTGTATCTGGAAAGTGCACTTCCGGTTCCAGTCCAAACGAAAGAGGAAGAGAGTGTTGAGCGTGGAAAGATTAATGTCGGACTCCAGTATAACATTCAGCAAGGATCCCTTTTCATAAATATCAACCGATGCGTTGAGCTCATTGGAATGGATTCAACTGGATTTTCGGATCCCTACTGCAAAGTTACAATGACTCCGATCACTTCGAAAGCCCATCGGGGCAAAACGACAACGAAGAAGCGGACGTTGAATCCAGAATGGAATGAGGTAAATTTTAGAAACCTGTGTGCACAGAATTTTTCGCTGTTTCCGGTCGTTTCTTTTAATGTATGTTTGGTGAAAATTGAACTATTTATTAGTAGAAAACTCGCTGGCTGGAAAAATGTCTGAAAATCACATGAGAACAACTTGAACTGACTATGAGCGAGCTTTAATTTTCGCCGGCATTTTCAGGGATTTCAAAATTTCCATATATTTTTCAGAGTAAAATTATGAAAATATATAACTTTTGAAAGCATTTTAATTCAAAAAAAAACAAATCTTTAAACACGACTTCTTCTAGCAAACTAGAAATTTTCAGCAATTGCAATTCGTGGTTCCATTCAAAGATCTTCCGAAAAAGACTCTCCGAATTGGAGTTTATGATCATGATTTGGGTAAACACGACGATTATATTGGTAGGATAAACAGACACACAGACAGAAATTCAATTTCTTCCTTTTCCAGGAGGCATTCTTCTTTCAACATCCGCGAAAGAAGAACGAGGTCGCCAATGGATAAAATGTATCGAAAATCCGGGAACTTTAGTTGAAGCGTGGCATCGTCTAGAATTGGATTCGTAGTTTCCTTCTTTTTTGATTATTTTATGGTCCTTTACAGGTTACAACTGGTAAAAATCTAATTGAAATTGGTAGTTTTTTTGTTAATTCTCTTTTAAATTGTCTTCCTTCCTGCAGTTTTCATTTTACATTTCTTCCTTTTCTATTCTTTTCAAACATTTCGTTTTAATATTTGGTGAATGAACTTTACACATTTTTTGATGTACTTTTTTATGTCAGTTGAATCAGAAAGTGGGGAACGAGTGGAAATGAGATACAGATAATATTCAATGCGATAAGTTTCGGAGGGGTAGGGGTGGATAAAAGATAGGGAAGAAGACGTTTTGGACATAAAAAGAAAGATTTGAGATTTTACATCAGTAAAACGGGAAAAGGGGGGAGATCGACAATCGAAGATAAAAAATACTGAACATGGAGATTACTTAGCAGAAGTTTTTGCCTTCTTTGCGGCGGGAACTCCGCTCTTCGCAGGATCCTTGACAGCTACCTTCTTCTTGTCGGCTGCAGCAGCAACCACGGGCTTTGTTTCGGCAACTTCTCCCATCTCACGTTCGATTAAGGTGATGAGAGTGTTGCAACGACGTTGGAGCTCCTGAAAACAAAATCAGTGTTTTCTTGACCTAATAAGTTATGCATACCATTGCTGTACGGCTTTTCAAGAACCAGTCAAATCTGAATTGTGGAGCCATTCGGACTGACTGACGCAAGTCTTCGAACACATTCTCCTTATCGTAACCCAAACGATGAGTCTCGCAAACCAGGAAGCGATCCTCTTCCTCAGTGTACGTTTTTCCTTTATTGGTACCGTACGAAATACGCAATTGTTGGAATGGAGCTTTGTACTTGGCTATTTTTGCGTCTAGCGCCTTCTTAACAGCATGTTTACGCTGTATGCGAGCTTCTCCTTTCTCGATCTGACTGACAAGTTTCTCCGAATCTTGAAGTTCATCAAGTCTCTCCCAGAACACTTTGGCATATGCCTGAATTTCTTCCAGAGGACGTTCCATCTCCTTGGCGATGCTTTCCAGGTCATCACGGCCGAACTTCTCGTTTCCCTTAAAATTAGAGTTGAGGAATACTAATTTCTTGATGTACACTTACTCTGATGAACTGCTGGAATTCGCGTTTTGTCCAATCAGTGACAGCCTGGGTCAACAGCTCAGCCTTCTCTTCTTGTTCGGCGTCGGTAAGTGGACGAGCGTTGTTTATCAACTTTTGTTCTTCTGCCTGACGTTTTTCAGCCTCCTTTGCTGGAACGTCTTTTGGTCTTTCAGCCTGGAATTGTGTATTATAAAAGAGAATACGATGTTTTCATTGGCTCAATTGATTACATCACAATATCTTCCAACAGAAAAATATGTCTCCGCGACACTATACAGTGACTCCTCCCCTGTTTAATCCTCCCGAAATCGGCTTTGGGTCTGAAGTAGATTCCCAACAGTCCTACGCGTTATTCATACGTTTCTATTTGACGGTGGAAAGCTCCGATCAACCAATGAGCAATTCTGAAGAAATTCTCAGTACTTCTGAGGAAGATCCTGAAACTTCAAGTAACCAAAACCCCCATAAGCTTTTTCTATTGGGTTATATTCCGTATGCAAAACATAATCCGTAAGTATTTTAAAAATTGGTTTTCTCATACCTTCAAGTTGCAGTATTTTGAAAGCTATTACAAATGATTTGCTCTCACATTACTACGTTTCTTGTAATGCATCCAAATGGCAAGATGGTAGAAGCATGCCATTAGAGAACAACCAAACAAAACAGTTTTCAGCCAATGGCGAACCATCGCGTTCGAGAGCTCTCATGGCAAATGCAGATGCCCTCGTGTTCTTCATTAACGAACAAACCCTTCGTGACGAAAACTGCCTCTTAACGATACAGTATGCATGGAATCTTACACTTCCCATTTTGATGCTCCGCCCACCAATGACAAAACTAATTATTAATCGTGATGAAAATCGTGAAAGAGAGAAAATATTACATGTTGGAGAGTGTGCAATAGTCAGGAGCTCCAGTGGAGAACCATGGCAACTATTGAACAATGGTAACTCTGAGACTATTGACTACCGTTTACTTCAGGATATTTTGCACCAAGTAAATAGTTAGGTATCTTTCTAATCTTTCCCATTGTTAATATTAAGGGTTTTCGTCTCTCCACACTATACGATCCCAAGTCGCATACAAAGTCGATGAAACGAATCAGACGAAAGCTCTCATCTATATTCGTATCAACAAATTCTCTATTGCCTCTATCAAAAGGAGGCTCTTCATCTTCTTCTCAACCACATTTCTACTTATCTCCATCAAACAGCTCTCTTTGCGACACACAAAAATGTGAGAACTAAATATGACAGGATTTAGATTAACCTGGCGAAAAGTAGAATTATTCCGAGATAAAATTTCGGTTTTCAGTGCCTAAATCTCGTGAAGCCGTCATCAAATCTTCATTAACGAGAAAAGTAGAAACACGACGTCAGAGTGGCTCTTTTGGAGAAAACAAAATGCATCTTAATTTATCGATGAGCACCGGAAATTTGTGTCGAACAGGTGTTGTGCGCACGCCATACCCGAAGAGTAAACAATTTCAATTCGAAGATGACAGAGGTGATGAAGAGGATGAGACAGATGAAGACGACTCAGATTTAGTTAGTATCAAAACACGTTCGGGGAGAAGACGTAATATTTTGGTAAGACCGTAATAACGAGTGTTCACCTATAAGGCATGCCTACATAGTAGATAATATTCAGAAAAGTCCCCCTCCACCAGATCGCGTACCGAGTTCTGTTGGCGGAAGTGAGGTTGACGAAAAAGAAGAAACTTCACTGAAACCGATTCCTGATAACATAAAGGCGACAATGTTTAAAACACCAACGGTACCAAAAATGTATCGTTTCACAAACTATCTATTCATTTTCAGTTGGATCTACCTGTGGATGATGACTCGGAAATCGATGCAGATGCTTTTTCCATTCCACCGCCAACTCCGATCACTCCGGGAAGTGGCTTGTTTTCTATTCCATCAGGAAGAAATGGAGAAAACTCGTCTCGTTCTCGGATAGCAAGCAAACGACTCGGCTCCGTAACCAGCCGAACATCGTCATTGGATCGTAGAATGAGTTTGAGTTGTTTGGAAGACATGTCAAATTACCAGAAAACTCAATACTTAGTGTTCCCATTGCGAGATTCTACTAAGAAACCATATTTACTCAAATTCCCGGAAGATATGCACGAGGAGGAAGAAAAGCACGGAGGAAGTGTATGGGGCAGCGACACAAGTTTAGAGGAGGAAATTAAGGTAACGTACTAGACCACATAGATTAAGGAATAACAGAAAATTTTCAGCTTGCCGGTAAGATCAACGCAGGAATAGTGGTTGACTATATGGATGACTCCCCAATCGTCTCACCAGCCCCATACCTTGGAGATTTGAACTAATTTGTTATTTAAACTTACCACATATCCAATTGTCTTGCGATAATGATAAATCTCTTTGTCCAATAATTCAAACAGACGACGTGGGTAGAATTGGAAATCAGATACTTGTGGGAGCTTTGGACGGGGTGCCTTGGATTGCTTCTCAGCTGGATTTCCGGCTCTCATTGCTTCCTTGTAGTAGAGATCCACCTGAAAAATTATCAAAGTAATCCTGAAATTCGGGAAAAAAGACTACAAATGCTCACCTGATAATTAGCTTTGCGTTCTCTCTTTGGTGGCTCGATCCAGAAATGACCCATTTGTTCTGCCTGTTTTTCCTTGTAATTCTCTCCTTCGAATTGATAAAGAGTAAACTTCGTGTTATCTTCGAATGTCATATTTCGAAGATTGTTTTCATCGATCTTGCCCATTTTTTCATCAAATTCAGCAGTTCTGGTTTCTGCTTTCGAGAGAATAGTATCGATGTCATCGTCAGAAACAGTAGAATCTTTAGCAGCAAAAACTTGCTCAGCTCCATGTCTGATCATACTGATCATATCATTTTTCCCGAGTGTTTTAGAAGCCTCAGTCATGCGTCCTTGTTGAATAACGATGTTATCGAGACGAAGCTTCGCCTCCGCCTTTTCAATGATACGATCGTCGACAGTGTTCTCAGTGATCAAACGGAATACTTTCACTTGTTTCTTTTGTCCGATACGATGAGCTCGGTCCATTGCCTGGAGATCGGATTGAGGATTCCAATCCGAGTCATAAATAATGACCACATCAGCGGTTGCCAAGTTGATTCCAAGACCTCCAGCACGAGTGGTGAGCATGAAAATAAACTTTTTGGAGTCTGGAGCATTGTAGGCTTCGATGGCTGAAGTTCGATCAACGTGTGCTGTTGATCCGTCGAGACGACAGTACTCGTATTTACGCCACCAGCAATAATCTTCGAGCAAATCAAGCATTCTCGAGAACTGCGAAAAGATAAGCACTCGCGACCCTTGCTCTTGTAGTCTACTGAGCAATTTGTCTAGAACTACCATTTTTCCACAATTGTCAACGAGATGCTGATCAGTGGTATATGGCGGTCCAGGCTCCGCCCCATCGAATAGATACGGGTGATTCACACACTTTCGAAGATGCATCAAAATGTTCATAAGCCTGAAAAACACCAAGATAACTCTGATTTTCAAGTATCGTAGAACTCACCTAGCCTTTTCGACTTTTCCAGCTCCGTTGATGACGTCGATGTCTTTCAGAAGAATTTTGGTGTACCATTCTCTTTGCATCTTTGAGAGACCAACGTATACTTTGACTTCTTTCTTTGGTAACAAAGACTTTTCGACGTCCGATTTGATACGACGAAGGAGGAATGGTTGGAGAACCTTGTGTAGGCGCTGTACCAAATCAATGTTTCCGCTCATCGCCTCACTCGAGAACCACGAATCGAAGTCTTCTGAAGAAGTGAAGATATCCGGCAACAAAAAGTTCAGCAGTGCCCACAGCTCGTGCAAGTTATTTTGGAGAGGGGTTCCTGTTATAAGGAGTCGATTCTGCGAATTGAGCTCGCGGACAGTCTCGGAAAGCTGGAATGTGTTGAAAATGAAGGTATTCTGACTCATTCTTGCGGATATGTTACCTTGCTCTTCTCGTTTTTAATGCGATGAGCTTCATCAATGATGATGTACTTCCAATTGAGCTTCCTCAATTGCGTCTTGACTTTGAGCATCATTTCATATGTGGTACACAATACATCGAACTTTTGAGGAAGAACTACGTCACGCAAGGTCACATTCTAAAAAAAAACAAATTAGTCTGGTATGAAAAATATGTGCTAACTTACTCTTGCAGCCTCATCACCGATGAGAATGTGAGCATTGATGGATGGGCACCACTTATTGAATTCATTGAGCCAATTTTGGAGAGTAGACTTAGGAACAATGACAAGATGAGGAGATGCTTGATTCTTGTAGTGCTTCATGTAGCCGAGAAGGGAAATCGTTTGAAGTGTCTTACCAAGACCCTAAAATACAACTAATTCAGAGTTTCACACACTTTGAAAAATACCATTTCGTCAGCCAAAATTCCGTTTATATTGTTGTGTTGAAGAGATGCGAGCCAGTTCAGACCTCGGACTTGGTAATCTCTGATAAAAAGAAATGAAAATTTAAATATAGCTTTGAAGTACTAAGAACCTCATCTCTCCGTTTTCAATATAAAAAGGACTCTTATCAAAAACCACAAGCTCATCAGCCTTGTCGGCATCTGCGACCATTTCTTCATCTTCTTCTTGCTCTGTTTTACGATGTCTATGATCTCCGTCAACTCCGTTCTTCTTTGGAGCTCTTCCCCGTTTTTTGCTAGTGCTTGGTGCTTCAGCAACTGAAATAAAAACTTCATTACTACTTGTTGCACTAGGTTATAATCATACGTTTAGCATCACCAGAAGAGAGACAGTGCGAGAAATTTTCAGTTTTTTGAAGCAATTTCTCGAATCTTTTAAAAGAATCCGCAGCTTCCGAAGTCGCTGGGTCATTATCCTCTTCCATTTTCACTTCGCTTTCTTCTGCCTGCAATGCGATAATATTGGATCAGGAATATTTCAAAAATTCACCTCTACTTTTGGAGGATCGGTTTCCATGGGTTCTTGGACCACTTCATTGGATGACTCGCCGTAGTCAGACATTATTTCTGTAATTTTTATTGTGTGGAACATATATTTTAGGTCAAGGGAAAGGAGAAAAAAGAAAATTCTGACAAAAAATTGGCGAGGATATCACCCGAACGCGCGAAACAGATGCGGGTAAAAATTGAACGGAGTTTTCGCGGTTTTTGCGTTTTCGGGTACGTAAAAATCATGACGCGCATGTGCACTGATACACCATAACATACGCTCAAAGTCTTGTCTGCGCTCTCCCTTTCTCACCTGCTCTCTTCACAGGTTTCACTCGAAAACATGAAAAAATTCTGAATGCGTTTAACTTTGAATACGTTGGTTTTGTTTCTTTATTCGTGAATTTATTGTTAAATTAAAAACTGAAAAATTAATTTCCAGATGGTGAAACAATCAACGGCTGAAACAAGCACAAATGAGGCGAAGCAAGTCCCACAAAAAGTCAAATCGTGAGTTGAAATTAACCAAAAAGAGTTCTCTAAGACGAATGCAGAACATTGATAGCAATTTTTATGTTACAGAAAAAAACAAAAGAAGATGAGTTTCGCCCAAGCTCAAGACGTCTATCTTCGGCTCAAGCAGGAAAAAGAAGAAGAGAAACAACGGGAGCGGGCTGAGCGAGAGAAACGAAACGAGACTATTGCAGCGACAAATAAGTCAAGAAAGAAAATGAACCAGGCGTTGGCAAAAAGGAATAAAAAAGGACAACCAAATCTGAATGCGCAAATGGACGTTCTTCTTGAGAAAATACAGAAGCGGGTGGATAAGGAGAAGAAAGGAACACAGTGATTGGATTTATTAATTTTTCGTTGTTGTTGTTCTTTGTTATAAACCTATAAAAAATTATCAAAAAACACATTTCTACATTCAAACAATAACTAAACGACCAAATACTGTCAGCAGTTCAACAATTACCAAAAAGATTTCAGAGTTGGTTGCCAATTGTTGTGACCAATTTCCTAAAGAATTCACGGGAAAAATAAAATCGTGACCGATGGACGTCCTAAATAAAGTTGACGAATTCCACGTAGAATATTCATTACCCATTTTTCAATACATAATCGTCTTTTTTTTCCAAAGATCTTCGTTCGTCTTTCTTTTCCAACAGTAAGAAATATTCTGAAACTATGGAACGTCTACTGCGATCGTTGCTCATGAATCAAAACAAGCAGGCCACCGACAAGCTTGACCATCCAGATACCTCTGAAACGTTAGTGATCTACATATTTTAGGCTCCTGGAATCTTTAATGTATTTTCAGAGTCAACATCTCTTCCTTGGCTCTGCTCAAAATGCTGCGCCACGCGCGATCTGGAATTCCTCTCGAGGTGATGGGTCTAATGCTTGGAGAATTCGTTGACGACTATACTATCAACGTTCTGGATGTCTTTGCGATGCCTCAGAGTGGAACAAGTGTGACTGTGGAGTCCGTGGACCCTGTTTACCAGACGAAGCATATGGATTTGCTGAAATTAGTTGGTAGAACTGAAAATGTTGTTGGATGGTAAGTGAAGAGAGTACTTTTACCTCGATTTGCATTTACATTTCAGGTACCACTCTCATCCAGGATTCGGATGTTGGTTGTCTTCTGTCGACGTCAACACTCAACAATCTTTTGAAGCTCTTCACCCGCGAGCTGTGGCTGTTGTCGTGGATCCGATTCAGAGTGTTAAGGGAAAAGTTATGCTTGATGCGTTCAGATCAGTGAACCCTCTCAATCTTCACATTCGTCCATTGGCTCCAACTGCCGAACCCAGACAAACTACTTCTAATCTGGGGCATCTGACGAAGCCATCATTGATTTCCGTGGTACATGGTCTCGGAACAAAGTACTACTCATTGAATGTGGCTTACAAAATGGGATCAAACGAACAGAAGATGTTGATGTGTTTGAATAAGAAAAGTTGGTACGATCAGTTGAATATGAGACAGTACTCGGAGTTGGAGAAAAGTCAAGATGAGAAGTTTAAGAGTATCAACAAGTTGATTGCCGTTGTCAACAAAGAAATTGAGGAGGATAAGAATAAGCCAAAGACTGACAGCAAGGAGAAACCAGCATCTGAAACCAAATCAAAGAACCAAGAAGATGTCAAGAAGTTCGGGAAGGTCAATGCTAAACATCAGTTGCAAATGGTCAAACTAAGCTTAAATACAAATATCATGTTTCATGTTTCAGATCACATCAAATCTTCTGAATGATGCTCTTTGTCATCAACTCACTGCAATGATCAATACAAAATCTATGAACTGATATTATCCTCTTTCCTGACTATTTCCTCGTTTTCGAATAAAAACGTTTATTATTAAAGTTATGTAAAAAAGTTTATTTAGACTTAAAAACATTTATGATTAGTTCAAGTATAGATTTCGGTCAGCATGCAATTATATATGTTGAAATTATTTTGTGGGTGGGAAGAATCAACATCGCCTGGTTGTTTTAGAGTAATCCGTTTGTGAAAGACTACACGAAGCTCCTTTGTCAAGCCGATCTGAACTTGATTCCCTATTGAATTCGCCAACTTATATGGCCACCAGTCGGTTTACGCCTCTACCGATGGCTCAACCCCCTGGCTTCCGCGTACTGTATCTTGGACTTAAAAAACTTTTGAATATCTGAATTTCAGGTTTTTAAATTTCGGATTACTGAATTTTCGAATTTTCAAAAATTCAAAAATTCAAAAATTTTCTAATTTAAAGACAGTTCCTGTATTTTCTAATTTTCTATATTTCTAAGTTCCAGAGGGCCAGGGTTCTGGATTTCTGAAATCCAGAACTATCAAATTTTCTCAGCCTTTTGTCCTAAATGAAATTTGAAAATTTCGAATTGAAATATAGTGAAGGGGCAGAAGTTATAACCACTTTTATAATAGGTCCTTGCTTACAGTACCCGTCATCTTATAGTGCCTACAAAACCTATTTGTGACTTTAACAAAGTTCCGTGAAAGTTGACAACTCCACTGCCACCCAGTCACCCTCTCCCTCTTTGCTTCCTCGTGGAATCCTTTTTTCTTTGACCTCCCCTCTCCTTGTTCTGCTATTGACAACTCTACAATACGTTGTACATTGTTTTCTGTGACGGAAAGTGTTCCGAAGGTAAGTTCCCTTCTTCCTACCAACACCAAAACCTCTATTCAGACAGCTGATAAATCAACTGGGACGTGTTCAGAAGTAAAAGAAAAACGAGATTCGCATGCGGTTTCCACAATTATCAACGTTGTTTCTTCTGATATTGGGTTCAGGGCAGAATGCACTTGGAGCAGGTTTGCAACAGTGGAACAGCTCTAGATTGCACATGCTTCACTTTCCAGAAGCCAACTCGTTGAAACTGTTATATGATGACTTGTCAATCTTATCTCGTGTCACTAACGCAATTGCTCTGGAATCGGCGGCTCTACAGAAGTCCGTTAAAGTCCGTGACGTCATCACAGAACTTCTACAGGTGCACAATGGTAATTTTTCGGAATTGATGAAAATCGACCCTTCTTTTCTTATTGAAACTCTCGATGGATTATTTGAAACTAGAAAACAAATTATGGGTTCCATTGGTCAAACAATTTCAATCGAGGAACTGAATAAACTGAAGGACTTTGCGGAAATGCTGGTGGATCTAACTGCTGATAAATTCAATTATGAGAAAGATTTGAATTCTAAAGATATAGTAGAAAAAGCAATGGCTAATACAACCACTATGGTGACTTGTGACAAGGACTTGTTGACCAATTTGTCGGATTTTTCTAATTTCATGCAGGGAAACACAAAAGGAGGAACAGCTGATTTGGCGATAATAAAGAAAATAAAAAGCTCAAAACAAGAGATCGAAAACTGCGTACAAACTGTATCGGGATACAAGGAAACAATCAACAGAACTACAACCGATCTTTCTTCAATCGTAGGTATGAAAGAAATTCTGGACCTAGTGCTCGAATTGAGCAAACCAAACGCTGTAATGACCTTATCCACGCGCCTGAATAAGTTCCAAAAAATTTTTCTGGAGATCTTAAGTGTAGTTAAGAACAGAGAGAAAACAAAAGTTGCTCGTATGATAGAAAAAACCAGTAAAGCTTTGAAAAACTCGTTGATCCACGACCATACACATCACTCACATCATTATCATCTAACAGCTGGATTCCCAGAAAAAGAAGATATGTCACGTGTGACAGATGATCTGAAAAGTGATTGGTTCAAACAAAAAATATCGATGGGAAAAAGCACCAAAGATCTCGAAGCTGCTCTGGTTCCTTTCAGTCAATTCGCGGATAAAATGAAAGTGGTGGAACGGAATTGGAGTTTTTTCCAGAATGGATTCGTCAAAGCAGAGAAGAAATTATCAAGCATAGCTAAAAAATTAAATTTTGTAGAAAATTACGACTACGAGAAAATGGATCCACAATTTTTCAAGGACACTGAAACTTTCTTTACGGATTGTTTCAAGAGATTCAAGGGTCATTCTTACGATGCTGATATCACGTCCTTCAAGTCAGGCTACAGTACGCTGAATTCGTTTATAGAGTCTATGGAAGCAATTTCTGTTTTGTCAGTCGAAATGACAGATCTCATATTTACTTCTTCTGCATTGTCTATTTTTCTCGATGAGTTTGAAGAGGTGGAGACGGACAAAAAGAGTTCTTCAGACCTAAGAGACGAGATTAACGAATTAACCAATTGGGATACAGCAGAACAAGTGTTTAAGATGTTTCAGAGGTTGAAAATGCTACAAGACACATATCTGAGGTTTCGCAAGGAGAGTAATTCTGTGAATATCAGCATTCAAAACATTGGAATTAGTTCTGGTATTTATGAAACTTCCTCATGTCTTCGAAACTATAAATTCGATGCAAATAGATTAAACATAACAGTAGTGTACATGGAGAAGATTACGGATCTTCTAGAAAATGATACATATCATGTTCTCAAAAATGTTTTGAGCGAATTCGCAGAGTTGAGAATTGCACTACTTGATACGGAGAAATTCGTAAAAGGGATTGCTTCAAGACGACAACGAGATGTTTCAAAACAAAAAAGTCCACTACTCAAATTGAAAGATTCTGTAAAACTATCAAATCATCTGGGAAATGGTATGAGAATTTTGAAGGAAATGATAGAAGCTTTGAAGTTACAAGACACCCTTCTGGACTCAACCAATTATGGAGAAACAGTGAACAGCGTTATAAAATCGAAAAATCCGGCTCAACACGTTCAACAGTTCTGGGAAGGTTCTAGCTCGAAAATTCGAAAAATGATAAATGATCTCAAAATTTTGGATTCATCTGCAGCTAAATATCAGAAACAAGACCTGGTGGAAATTGGGAAAATATTCGACAACGCTGCAAAGGTTCAAGGGATTCCAGAAGTTTTCCCATACATCAGCGAGCAGTTGGAACATATGAATACGGATTATCAAATAGCTTTTCAAAATTCCGAGAAATTGAAACACTTGGATCTGGAATTCTCTTCTCATAAAGGAGAGCTAAGTGCAGCTTTGTTGAGTTTGGACCCGATTAAGGAGTTTTTCGATGACCTGTTTGGTTTGAGTCCAAAAAATTCGTGAGTGTCATATTTTGAATCCTTCATTTCATTTCAAATAATTACAGAATTGTCACGATTAATCAATCATCTTCTCCTACACTTATCATAATAGTGTGCATTTCAGTTCTTTTGGTTCTAGTAATTGGAGCTCTGGTTGCGTATGGATTCACATCGTCTGGTAGAAAATCTTACAGAAGGCTCTACATTTACTATTTTGGAAAACAACAAGATTACGAAAAACGATGGAGATACTCAGTTAGTACTTTGGTTTTTAGTAAAAGTATTACAGTGCGTGTAATAAGGATAGGACCCCCCTTGATTTTGACTTTTCAGAAAAAAGTAAGAGAGATATCAAAATTCTATGAATGCCATTCGATTCAAAATAAAAAACAACCCCAAAAGCCAAATTTTCATAACTCTAGCACTTTCCGTACCGGTCCACCGTCCAAAAGTCGTTTTTTAGGCCGTGTAATAAGGATAGGACCACCTAGCATTTTTGAAGCGATACCCATTTTTTCGACTATTTTTCTTTTTGTATCACATTTATTTGTACTGGGTTTATTGTTTTTCATAGTTTTATTTCTCAATCCACCTTATTTATCAAAAATTCGGTCATTTTTTTTGGATAAAGAAGAACACTTCTTAACAAAATTCAAGTTTATTAACAAAACTGGAAAATTCAGCGAAAAAATAGACAATAACGAAGAGAAAAAATTAATAACTTGTTTCTCCCCCATTCTTCTGGACGACTTCGAACAGTCTGTTGGGCATACTGGCCACGAGAGCTCTCAACTCCACCGCTGTGAAAGCGTTCCACTCGGCTTGCAGGATGTCCTTGAGCTGTTGAACCGTGTTGAACTGTCTTCCGTGCTTGTAAACGCGTCGAACCAGCAGTCCCCATAAATTTTCAATTGGATTGAGGTCTGGGCTGACTGCTGGCCACTCGAGATCCGTGATTTTTTGTGCCTTCAACCAATCCCGTGTGGAAGTAACGGACGTCTCTTTTGTTGTGATGAACTGTAACTTCATCTTTCGTCCGTTGCAGAATCCTCCCCACACCATCAAGGATCCGCCTCCAAAGTTCCTTCGAGAGAAGAGTAGAGGGTCCTTTCGGAGGTCTCTCCAGTAACTTCTATTGCCGTTCGGGCCGTCTAAGTTCCACTTTACGGTTCAACAGCTCAAGGACATCCTGCAAGCCGAGTGGAACGCTTTCACAGCGGCGGAGTTGAGAGCTCTCGTGGCCAGTATGCTCAACAGATTGTTCGAAGTCGTCCAGAAGAATGGAGGAGAAACAAGTTATTAATTTTTTCTCTTCGTTATTGTCTTTTTTTTCGCTGAATTTTCCAGTTTTGTTAAGAAACTTGAATTTTGTTAAGAAGAGTTCTTCTTTATCCAAAAAAAAAAGACCGAACTTTTGATAAATAAGGTGGATTGAGAAATAAAACTATGAAAAACAATAAACCCAGTACAAATAAATGTGATACAAAAAGAAAAATAGTCGAAAAAATGGGTATCGCTTCAAAAATGCTAGGTGGTCCTATCCTTATTACACGGCCTAAAAAATGACTTTTGGACGGTGGACCGGTACGGAAAGTGCTAGAGTTATGAAAATTTGGCTTCTGGGGTTGTTATCCTTATTACACGCACTGTAGTAAACTTTGTTAATTTTCAGTTATTCCTGGATAGATCGGATGGGAAAAATGTGCTCATTGACGCGGTTCGAGAGATCAACTCGGTTAATTTGCTCAACGCTGTCAAACGAGGGGCATACGTTAATGTTTGCAACAGTATGTCATGAATTTTATCTTAATTGAGCTAATTCATTTTTTCCAGAGTTTGGAAACACTTCACTCCACGTAGCAACTAGAAGAGGTTACAGTGATCTAGTGGAAATTCTTATAAAAAATGGAGCTGACCGGACTTTCTTGAACGCCCAGAATAAGACCCCAGAGCAAATGATTCCAGAAAACTATCAGACAACGGAGCCTGAAAAAATATATAGATATGTGAAGATTGAACAAATCTACAATAAATATCGGAATCGGAAGTTTAAACAAAGTGAGTGACACGAAAATTGAAGAAAAAAAAATGAAATGATTCTCAGGGGTACCAATGGAACTTCCAACCAGCTCCTTCCACATTTTCATTGATCTTCGTACAGATGACAGGATCACCAATGAGTTTACCGCCTGTTTCCAATCAATTGTAACTATCTTGAAGAGCTGTTCTATGAAATAATACTGTTTTCAGACTTCGGATGAAGTGATGCCTACTACCACTCATTGCATAATCAAAACTGGAGAAAATGAAATGTTGGAGACAGACGACATGAATATTCTGGCTTGGATTTTCTCTGGAATCATAATTGTAAAAGATGCATGGATGACCGAATGTATTCGAGATAAGAAATTGATTTCTAAAGATTCGAACTTTTTGGTGGAAAAGGTGAAATACAGTGGAACGGTTTATGATACAGTAATCCAATGGTCGAATGCAATGGCAAAAGGAACAATTCCATATTTGTATGGTGTTCATGTGGTGATTGTGATGAAGGAATGCCCAAACTGTGAGATTATCCTGATTAAGCTTTCCATTTCGGGCGGGCCGCCCGAAAACGCCCTACACCCGCCCTAATAACGGGCCGCCCTACACCCGTCCTATACGCCCGTTTTCGTGGGCCAACTCAATTGTGTCACGCTGATTAAATGTTTTTCTTATTATTTTATCGATATTTCATCGATAGATTGAACAATTTTTTTTCTTTTTTCTTTTTGTAAAAATAAACGTCATTTAATTCCGGCCCTTTTTGAAAAATAGGGCGACGGGCGGGTCGGACGGGTGAAATTCGCCCGAGATGGAAAGTTCAATCCTGATGGTAGATTCCAAAATATTGGGTCTTATTTTTAAGTACTTACGCTGGCTTCGATTGTGATCATTCAAGGAGGCGTTGTATTGGACACGTTTCCGGAAAAAGGGAGCTATAACAAAGGATCTCATCCATACCATCATAAAAATCATGGTCCTATTTTCATTCTTCACGATGGAAATGTAAGCAGGAGTTCAAACCAAAATAATTGTGAGATATTATAATTTCAGACTGACTTATCATTTTACAAAAACGATCCGGACAAGATGTTCTCCCTGTTTACCGAAAAAGAGTTTCTCATGTTCATGCTCAAGCGAGAAACTAACATCGATACTCGTTCAAAACTACTTCCTATACTTGTCGAAGGAGATGATTAATAAACTGTTTGATTTGATAAATTCTTATTTGAAATTCTATCTTCCGTTATTATTCTGATACAAAAAAGCGGAGATGTGGAAGAGAAACGCACTCTAAAACTGCCCTCGCACTCTAAAACTGCCCTCCTTCGCCTAGGTTCCCATAACCCTTCTCATCCGCTTAATATTGCTGGTATCGCTCTTACTTCCTCCTCATCTGTCCGGGACTTGGGTCTCATTACTGATCCCTCTCTCAAGTTCTCAGCTCATATCAACAAAGTCTCATCCTTAGCTCTTCTCCGTTCCAAACAACTCTTAAAGTTATTTAGATCTAAGTCTCCAGAATTCTACATTCATCTTTTCAAATGCTATGTTCTCCCGCTTATTGAATATTGTTCTGTAGTTTATTCCCCACCACCCTCTTCTCGCCTTGCTCTTAAACTAGAATCTCCCTTAAGATTTTTCTCCAAGAGTATTCTCCAGCGTTGTAATATCTAGAACAGTTCCTATTCTGATGGTCTCTATCCTCAATATGTTCTCCATTCGACATCGTAGGCTAAAAGCTCAACTAATTCTTCTCTATAAATTTTTAAATGGCTCCGCCTACTTTCCTAACCTAAGCGCACATGTCAAATATTCCTCCTCCCCTCGTCGCCCTACGAACTTAATTAATGTTCAGCCCTACTCCTCTGACTATTTTTCTTCAATTGTTCCCCTGTGGAACGCCATCACTTCCCCAGTTACCCGATTTCTCCTACTTTCCGAGTTTGAATCTTTAATTTCTTCTAGTATTACTCGTTATTGATATATTTGCTCCTCTATTTTCTCTTCTTCTACCGGTTACAGTTTTCCTGTGTCATATATCTAAATTATCCCGTTTTCCCTCCCCTACTCAGATCGGCCTCGTCAGGGGCATTTACTGAGTCTTTCACGTCTTGCCCTTGCCCTATAATGTTTTATTACACCTGATCAATAAACAAATTACAATAAACATCGGCGGTCATAGCGTCACTAAGGCATTCGAATATTTTCCCCCTACAGTAATCCTTCAAGTGTTCGAATGTTTTTCCTTACAGTAATCCTTTAATTTTCGAATATTTCTCAGTACAGTAATCCTTTTCATTTTTGAATATTCCCCCCCCCCCTACAGTAATCCTTTAATTTTCGAATATTTCTCAGTACTGTAATCCTTTTCATTTTTGAATATTCCCCCCAAATTCAATTTCGTACTCCGAAATTCTTGAAACTTTATACCTCTTAACCGTAGCACCTCAGAATTGATATATCCAAGATTGTTATACTCTTAAATCGTTTGTTTGTATCCCTTTTTGTTTCCTTGTGTCCCTTTATATTTTCCGAACAATTTTGAGAAGAATAACATGAAACTATGAAAAACAATGAAAACAAGAAAGTGAAAGTGTTTTTTCGTTACGGTAGTTGTCGCTGTGGGACTTTCGGACACAGAGACCTAATGCCAGGTGACTAGGAGTGCGTGAAAAGTTATTCATGTCTAATTTCAATTTGGTTTGAATCCTCGTGGCAACTGTTCACTCTAAACCTCTTTCCAAATCAAACCATTTTCAAGAGATTACTTTTTCGACTCTAAATTTGGCAGATAATAGAATCCAAACTTTGTGAGTTTTTGTTTCTGATAATTCTTGAAAATTGGAATAATTCAGACGCTCGAAAGTCTTCATGAGGTTCTACATCGCCAACATTTTTTCATTGTTCTGGTGCCTACAGAATGCAGGAACACAAAACTCAAAAGGTACAATCTGAAACACATCGTCACCGAAAAAAATATAATTTTAGGTTCTATAAATCTCGAACTTATTTACGAGGATCTTGCAATTCTGACTCGTATTACAAATGCGATTTCTCTTACGTCGGCAGCTCTTCAAGATACCATCGACACGATAAATGTGACTAGCGAATTGCTCAAGATAAACGCTGGTAATTTGACAGAAATAATGAGCTTGGACATAGATAAAGTCCTTCCTGATTTGGAAAAATTAAACACAGAAAGTAAATCAGCTTTACAAAATTTCCACGAGAAGGATCTCGAAAAATTCTTCCCATTCAGTGCTATGATGACGTGGACAATTTTCGCATCGATTCCAAAACTGAAAGAGATGTCTGCAGAAAAGTTTCTAGAAGTAGCAAAAAATCTAACGAGCCATGGAAGGGCATGTGAAAATGAAGTAATAAATTCAACAGTTGGTTTCTCGAGAGCAATGAACAATCACCCGATGGAAGATTCGGAAAGAGAGAACATGGTTAAAAACTTTATTAAAGTAATTCCTGAACTACAAGACTGTGCTACGAGCATTATAAAATACCATGAGAAACTTTTTGAATACGAAATCAAAAAAAAGAATATTGAATCGATTTGGGATTCAAAAAATAATCTCGAGCTGTTTCGGAACAATTCTCTAGCAAGTCCAACTGCAATACCAGGATATAATGTAGTCTACAAACTATTCAAGTCAGTGGTGAAAACTTGGAGTGGGGATAAAATAATGGGTTATAGAAAAATGATAAAAAGAGTACAAGGATTGGTCGAATACATGTCAAGTTCGAAATCAATTGAACATCCTGTATTTACAGCTGGTTTTGTGAATATGGCAGATCTCTCAAAAGTTTCGGAAGACGTGGACAGTAAATGGTTCAAAAACGCAATAGCAAAAGGAAAACCGGTTGACAAGATAAAGACAGCCTTGAAACCGTTCAATGAGTTTGCTTCGAACATGAATGCGCTGGAAAGTGTATGGAAGTCTTTTGAAGAAACCATTCAAGAAAGTACACTTTCTGATTTTAGAAATTTCTTTAGATTGATTCCACAATTTAGTTCTTATTCCGAAAGTCAATATGATAAAGTTTTCAAAGTTTTACCATCCGCAAAATACACCGAGTAACAACATGAGCAAGTATCTAGAAATAGAAGAGACTTACAAAAAATTGAATCTAGTGATTAAGTCAGTTACCGGAATGGTAACATGGGTTGATGAGACTTTAAAGGAAACAAACCCCAATGTAAAGCAAGTTCTGGAGCAGTTAAAAACTACAAAAATGGATTATAAAAATGAGAAATACATTCATACCATCAAAACTCTTCCGAACTACGATTCTTTCAAGCAATTCGTTGGAAGATTTGAAAGTCTGCAAGTGTTGCAAGCTGCAATGATAACGAACGCAATGATGGTAAACAGTGGAAATACCAAGCTAGACTACGGAGTAAAAGATCTTGTTGAAGAGTGGGATGTTGCCGGGAAACAAGATTGTTTAAAAAACAAAAAAGAATTGGATGTACAGATTTTGATAACACTAACCACTGCTCTAGAGTATGCGTTTAAGTTTGTCAAAGAATCTAACTATTCTACGATTCAAAATGTACTCCAAACTATTCTTAAAGTGAGAAATCAACTTCTGAGTTTGGCGAACTTTGTGGAACAGCTGGAGAAGAAATATGACTCAGTAGAATCAGTGAAAACCGTTTTACAGCTGAGGAACTCTTCCTCGCTGGCACACAGTTTGGGTAGTGGAATGCGTGTTATTCAACATATGACTGAAGTTTTACGATTAAGTGATAATTTAAAACGAGTGATGGAGTACAATGACACCACAACCAAAGTGATAATGGCATCTGACCCACCGATGGACGTTTTAAAGTTTTTCCAAAATAGGAATCCAAGTATCAATATGTTAGTCAAGGAAATTGATTCCCTGGAAAAATCAGCTGAAGATCTTAAAGGAAAAGATCTGTTAAGGATGGGATCTGTGTTCGAGACAGCTTTGAAAGTTCAAGGAATTCCAAACGTTTTTGGGTTTGCTTATAGTGAATTGAAAAAATCTGGATATGCATCTGAAGCCAATGAACTGAAAGAACTAAAGGATTTGGATCTGAATTTTGCATCTCACAAAGGAGATTTAAATGCTGCATCGCTCAGTCTTTCGAACTTGAGAGACTTTTTTGATGAGCTGTTTGATTTGGAAGTGAAACCAACAGCAGGTGTCACACGAATGTAAGCTCTTTTTTGGACAATATTTTTAAATATCTTGGTTTTTACAGAATTTCTGATCCATTTAATACTATCATCGGTTGTGTAGTCGTTGTCATTCTTCTTGGTATCGGATTCATTTTAATTTACGGTTTGACGAAAAATGGAAAAGAGAGATACAAGAAACTGTATTTGTATTATTTTGGAAAACAGGAAGATTTTGAGAAAAGATGGAGATATTCTGTAAGTTTCTAATTCCAAAGGTTTAGGGGATATATTCATTTTTAGCTGTTCCTGGACAGAGTGGATATAACAAAGAATGTCATATGTGATGCAGTACGAGAAGTAAACTCTCAAAATCTACTTGCAGCTGTCAAATCGGGAGCCTATATCAATGTTTATAACAGTTAGTGCAATAATAAGTATTCGGAGCATACTGTTTTCATTTTCAGAGTTTGGAAATACTGGCCTGCATGTGGCAACTAAACGAGGTCACTATCAACTGGTGGATATTCTCATTCGACATGGAGCTGATCGCACACTTTTGAACGCTGAGAACAAGACTCCGGAGCAGATGATCAAAGTGATGAATACAACAATCAAAAATGAAGAAGAGAAAGAACAAGTGGATAAGTACAAGAAAGTCGAAATGATCTATAATAAGTATCGAAAGAAGAAATTTGGAAAACGTAAGGATGTGAATGAAGATATACATCGTTTCTTTGTCAATGTTTAGGTGTACCGAATACGTTTCCAACCACATCTTTCCATATTTACATTGACGATCGGACCGAGGAGAAAGTCACCTATAAGTTCATGGTCAAATTTGAATCTATTGTATGTTCTGAAAATTTCTTATTTATTCTGTTTCATTTATTTTTCAGACATCTCATGAACCACTTCCAACTACTACTCATTGTATCGTGAAAACAGATGAGAATGGGATTTTAGAGTCTGATGATTTCAATCTGCTCTCTTGGATTTTCAATGGGGTGATAATAGTGAAAGAATCCTGGATGACTGATTGTTTGCAAAATCAGAATCTGATTTCTAAAGACATTGACTATTTGGTGAATACGGTAAAATACAATGGTGTAGTCTACGATAACGCTATTCTCCCTTGGAGTTTAGCAATGGCAAAAGGAACGATGCCATATTTGTACGGTGTTCAAGTAGCAGTGGTTATGAAGGACTATCCTAATTGTAAGATAGATTTAAAATTGAATAATAATTTTGCTTCTTTTCCAGTATTCACTCTTGCTGCAGTGGTTTCCAATCTTGGCGGCTTCATGCTGAATCAGTTTCCAGAGAAGGATCAATTCAACAAAGGTTCACACCCCTATCTTCATGAGAACCTGGGCCCAATTTTTCTGCTTCATGATGGAACTGTAAGAGTTCTTCAGAGTTCTATTCGAAACAAGTGGAAATTTCAGATTGATCTGAGTATCTATAAGAATGATGTCGACAAGATGTACACTTTATTTACAGAATCAGAGTTCATTAGCTTCCTGCTGAAACGGAACATTAACACGGATCAGACCCCTAACCCAACTCCAGTTGTGAAAGAAATTGATTAATAAAATTTTAAGACTATATTATTCGATTATTATATTTTTAATGTGTAGGAAAGCGTTCTTTCTAGGAAGTCAAAACTTCAGAACCAATTATATTCCTGAATAATGGGAAAAGCATTAATGGGAAAGATGACCTAACTTTTTTTGGAAGTTTTTTATTGCGCTCTCGAAGTGTCGTTTTGAAGATTCCGAATGATTGATTTGAGTTCGCAATGTCTTTTGTAAAGAACTCTACCGCTTTCGTTCAGAATACATGATTTTACATGATTTTATCATTGTCTAGTTTGATATTCCCATGTATTTTTTTTTCAAATAGTCATCGGACACTTTTTGTTCTACTGAAAGTCGGTTCAAAGATCTATCAATTCTTGTTTCAGTCATCACTCCACATTTCGCTCATCTTCTTCATTCCATCTGCCTTCTTAAGAATGTGTACCTCAATCCCATACCGGTTCTTTTTTGCATTTCCTTTCATTTTTCCGCGCTCTCTCTCTCCGTTTTTCGCATCGCAATCCAAAAATCTCCTCCCGACACCGATTGGCTCTTATCTGTTCTGTTCCATCGGAAGTTGCGACGCTTTCGCGGCTACTGTGGCTGTCGCCAGTTTCACTCAATTTCTTCTTCAATCGTCGTCGCTCAATATTCTTGTTTCTCCATCTATCTTTTCTTCTTTGTTGGCGTCTGCTGCCAAATTCTGATTCCCTGAAAATCATTGGTCATTGGTTTCATACGTCCAAATTTTTTCCACATCTACCCATGTCCATTAAATTATGCTTCTTTCTGGGCAATTAGAAAGTTGATAACTATGGAGCCCAAGTCAATATTTCTATTGGGTTTATTGATGTTTCGAGTTGGACGACTAATGAGAAATGAGAAACTTGCATGGAGTGCAGAATACGAATCAAAGTAAATTTTGAAATTATAGCTCTCAGAATTACAGTATCTCTTGTTTCAGGAAGTTCAAATCATATCATAATACGTCTCTATTTTTAACATTGCAATCAACGGGTCCAGAATTGGTAAGAAAGAAAATCTACTTTCATGTAACATGAAGATTTTCTAGACAAGATTATGTCAAAAGAGCTGGTGCGAAAAAGTGGACGACTTGTTCGTGATTCCACAGTATTATGTAAATTGGCAAAAACCAACTGAACCGTGGTTGATACACCATTTTTCGTGAGTTTTCGTTCAATTGCATTTTCTGGAGATTACAATTTTTGTCCGAGCCACTGGGAACAGCTAACCCATATTCATATTAAAATTCCTTGTGAACCGGGCCCTGTCATAGTTTCAATCAATGTTTAAGGATCAATTAAAAATATGATAGAACTTGACGAGTACTACAAATTGATACTATTCGAAAAACTGTATCTTGTCTATGACCAAAGTTATAAGCCATAAAGTTGCTAATCCGTTTCGTCTAAAACTTTCTTCATAGACAAAATACAGTTTTTCAAATAGTATCAATTTTAGTACTCGTCGAGTTCTACCATATCAGTTTTCCAAAAAGTATCATTTTGGAGTACTCGTCTTGTTCTATTATATTTCATTTAGTTGGTTCAAAAATATTGATTTCATAATAAATTATGGCAGGGCCAGCGAAGGCTTGGTATACAAGTAACTTCAGAATTTCGATTTTCAGAAAAATGATTCTCCACAGTCGCCGTCTCCCTCATCATGCCGAATGGTATATGTTTGCTTTTGATAATAACTATTTCTTTGTCGAGCGTCTAGTCAAAGAGTTATCTAAATTTGATTCGCATTTACCAATTTACACGATCCTCCGAGATTCGAGCACACGGGTGAGACAAATTCCCAGAAAAGAAGTTTAAAAAACTGTGAGTTTTCAGATTCCTCACAAACCGGTTCTTATTCTATCTCGTTTTGCTATGAACACATTTTATGATCTACAAGAAGAAAATTGCTCCGATGATGCAGAAAGTGTGGAGGAATGGTTGACGTCGTGCATATCGATCCCTCCGATCACTTTTTCAATTGATAAGAAAAAGAAGAGTCGGTATGTATTGATCATGAATGTTCTATTGGTAAAATTCAAATATTTCCAGAATCTTCGCCATAAACCGACACTTCCAAGTTGATGAAATGAAGTCAATGCCCATCGGATATCATGATGATAAAGAATACATCCATGGTCATTCGAAATCTCTTCTCTCTTTCACCAACCTCACAATTGACGACATGAAGCTGCTTTCAGTTTTTGTGGATAAAGTGCACGGAGGATCTAGGAATCGGATTAAAATAGAAAAGACGAAAAACTATTTGTAGGAACAAATTCATATTCATGGTTTTTAAAACAAGACTAAACGAAATGATGAACGAGATACATTAATAAATACTGATTGTTCGAAATGAATTCTTTTGTAAGAAACACATAATTCACATAGACAACCTCGGCTGGTTGGAGATGGTGAGATCGATCAGAGAGGATCGGTTAAAAAAAACTAAATAATAAAGCACAATAGTGATTTGGCAGAGTGAACACACGAATTTTAACACATTGAATTGATCTCTCAGTTGATGGTGATTCGATCAATGATACGTCGATCAAGGGTTCCAACTGGGTCATCGTAACTGGACCACGCATCTTCGACAATCTTGAGTGCCAGTTTTGGATTGACCTCCTTCATTTCGATATACGGCTAAATGTGATAGAGAGTAGAATACATTTTGGTAGATGATCTTCTTACCGCTGATTGCAGTACTTCTTTTTTATGAGTAGCAAACAGTTCAAGGAGACAATGATATGTGTCTTGAAGATTCAGCTCGTCAGCCATGCTGATTCGGGTTACCACATTTTCTGCTGTCACATTCCGACCAATCATATCCGCAATTTCATCTCGCATCGTGGGAATCATCAGTCTATGAAGAAAATTTAATATATTCAAAATTCGTCTTTTTTTTCCTAACCTATCCACTGCCGAAACAAGCTCTCTTGTCAGATGTTCCTCCTCCAGTGGACTGATTTCCGTTTTGATTTTGTAAAGATGACGTAGAACGACTTCAAGAGTTCCTGCAGAGATATCCTCAAACTTCACACGCTTCGAAGTGAATTCCAATGTGTTCTCGTTCCGAAGAAGAGCTCTGAAGTAGTCCGAGCGAGCAGAAAGGACAACCATGTGAGTCGGAAATTCGCGGCCACAAGAAGCGACGACTGTGAAGTCCGAGAAAGCTCCAGTATCGAGTGCGTCATGGAACCCTATGCCTATTAAGGATAGTTTAGTGTAGCTTACAGATCACATACCTTCATATGTGCTACTACTGATTCTGGATGATGACCTATCAGGAGTAGCTGATCCGCAGATAGATGCCATAGACTTGTTAAGTTTTCTTGAGTATGGACTGAACTGATTTGTGGTCCATGTGAGCGATTCTCCGAATATCGTCAGCTGGCAACCAATGGTCAGAACATCATTTGGGGTGTACACACCGGGAGAACTCTAGAAAAGTTTTAAAGATTCATGGCATTTCTTTTAGCTCACTTTGATTATATCCAAGGAGAAAAACTTGCTGGCAGTAACTATCCCACTGCGATTGATCGTGACCAAATTCTTGTTCAGATGGCAGCTTCTGGAACCATCAGCGGTTTCAACAGTAAAACTGACGCGAAATCGAAGGCGAGGGTTGGGGCATTCTGAAACATAGCTATAATCATACACTAAAAATAATCATTTTAATCACTGTTGATCAGCAGGAATAGCGACAAATAGCCAGCAGTGTCTTCGTCTTTTCCGTTTGGAAAAAGCTTCATAACGAATTCGTAATCACTGTCGCCGAATTTTCTGAGGTCAAACATCCATTGTTTATAGTTTATAACTGTATCTTACGGAGCCAACATATATTCTCCATGCTGGTGAAGTTCCAACTGCACAGTAAAGGTTTCCACAGACCAGTAGTTTGAAAAGTTTCTTTGGGTCATTCTCGTCGAACAGCTTGATACGATACTAGGAGCACGGCCAGACGGAACTCTTTGGACTGGTGATCTGTAACATGAAAATCGAAGTTTGTCAAGAATCCTTGTTCCTACCTGGATGTATTTGGAATATCTTGATTTTGCTCTTGATTCTGAGGATTGTTACCATCCATTCTGCGCAAAAGAAGTTTTTGAGGCAATTTGAATATTCAAGGACACGATTTTTTCTTATGGGGTTATTCAGGGAGTCGGCAAAAAAGAAAAAAAAACTCCGCGAAAACTCGGAGAGTGTTCCAATCTGGCTGAAACTTCGGGGAAAACTGGAGAAAACTATAGAAAACATTTTGCCAAAGTTTGGGGTCAAAATATCAACTTTGAAAATTTGTCTGAAGTTCCAGATGTTTTCTATAGTTTTCTCCAGTTTTCCCCAAAGTTTCAGCCAGATTGGAACACTCTCCGAGTTTTCGCGGAGTTTTTTTTCCTTTTTTACCGACTCCCTGAATAACCCCATTAGTAATCACAAGGCTTTGCAAAAATATCACAAGAAGAGCCCAAGTTTTCTCTCTACAGTACACTTGGCTTCAATATCGTGTTGAGACCCAAGTCATTTAACAAATTACGGTCATCCACAGGAAAAAGTTCCGGGGAAACGAAAAATTTTTCTTGGATTTGAGAAGCCTCGTCAATATTCTGAATTAATGTCATGGCACTCTTTTCCTGGAAAAAAGTCTAAGGAAGGGGCATTTTATTATTCGGTACATTTTTTGAAATTCTGATAAACGGGAAAAAAGGGGGTACGACGAATTCGAACGTTTTCAAATTCAACAGAGCGCGCATGAAAAATGCTGCCCAGTTATTAAACAACTAGAAAACTGAAAATTTTCCATCAAAAAATTTGAAACGAATGAAACGAGCTTCAAACCTTCACAAATGCGACTGCGTTCGGGGGGAACTAGATTTCACAACGACACTCCGTTATAACGCGCAAATGAGAAGCGCCGCTGCACTCGATTTCTTTCGTTTTCAAACGATTTTTTCGCGGCGAACATCCTTTCCCACTATAACTAAATACCGTTTTTCAATTAAAAATATTTTTTTAGAAAAAAAATTTAAATTATGCCAAGAGATGATCCGATCACTGAAGAGGAGCGTCGTGCCAACTCCGCGACGGATTTGATTCGAATGAGACTGGAAAGGCTGCAACAGAACATTGTAAGATAATATTTCTCTTAATTTCCAGTAATGGATATTTTTCAGGAAAAGCCAGCCCCTATTCCAACGAAGAAAGAGACTCTGCGAGCTCCAAAAGCTCCTTTAGAGTTTGTGCGCAACGTTGTTGGATCATCAGCTGCCGCTGGTAGTGCTGAGTTTCACATCTATAGGTAAGAAATCATCGGCGAGTGCAAAAAATCAATGTCTTCTGTTTTAAGAAATAATCGTCGAAAAGAACAAAACCGCTTGGATTACATCGATGCAGTGGCCAAGAAAGAAGAGTTGGATGAAGCTTATAGAGTGAAAGTTAATGAACAACAAATGAAAGAAGATTCGAAAACTGCAAAAAAGCGAGCAAAGCGATCGAGGCAGAAGGCTAATGCGAAAAAGAGGAAGATGGCAAAGAAAACGGATGACTCTGACGACAGCAGCTCCTCTGATGATTCCGATGACGACTCGGATTCAGAAGCAGAAGAAGATACCGAAAAGAAAGCAAGTACAGAAGAAGATTCAGGAAAAAGAGACGATGCAGAGGAAAGAACTTTCGAGAGAAGCTTCCACCCAAGAAGCTGGTGAATCTGTGTGAACTCTGCTAATTTTTTATCTGTACAACATGAAGTTTCCAATCATTTATCTTTGAAAAAATTGTTTTTTTTTTGTTGGTTTTTTACCGAATCATAATATTTTAACTTTTTTTGATGTATTGATTTGAGACACCCTTTTCAGGAAATAGGATATAGTTAGAATGCCGTCTATATGGGGGTATATTTTCGGCCCTCGGCTCTACGGAATTTTCGCAGAACCTGATCGTCAAGAATCGAATCTCGAAACTCTTGGAAATACAGTTATTTCATTCTCTTCAGGTATGAATGTACGCGAGGTTTTGTTTTTGAAAATATTACATTTAGGACTCTATTATGTTGCAACTTCTCTCGCATTCGGACCTCTCATTGTTATCTACTTGTATGGAAGAGACTGGCTTACTCCTGTTGGAGCCATGACGATTTTGAAATATGCCGTGTGGATGACGATGATTGGTTTTGGAGCCAGAGCGTTTGGAAGATATTTCGATGAAACATATTCCAGATTTCTTGATATTTGGCAAAATGAGAGTAATAAGGTGTCAGAAATCAAAGATCTCAAATACTAATTTATCTTCTTGTAACAGAAAGATGATAATAATCACACAGCTTTGAAAAAATACGACTTTGAGCTGTTGAATGTGACACCTGATTATGAAGCTCGCTCAAACCCAGAATTATGGCATTTGATCCCCGATGCATCAGATGCCGGAACATTCACTCGTGGACTTGCTAGCTGGGCAGTCCATGCTTTTGGAAGACACCTTATTTATCCGGGATCAGTTTCCTTCCTAAAGTATATAATGAGATCTAGTCTTAACAATGCTAGGAAGCTTATGGTTCAAAACAAGGTATTTTTCGTGCTTCCCTACAAAACTAAGCTTTTGTGTTACAGGAAGGAAAGCGTGTTTGGATCAAAACATCTGAAGGAGACGTTATCGATGCGATGTTTATCCGAGGAAATGCAAATTTGTCCCAAAATTTGGTATTGTGCTTTGAAGGAAATGCAGGATTTTACGAGATTGGAGTTATGCATGCACCAGCTCAGTTGGGATACACTGTAAATTTCCATTTTTCGAGATTTGATCTTATTTTTTTCTTCAGACACTCGGCTTCAACATTCCAGGCTTCGGCGAGAGCACAGGGCTCCCATACGCTAAAAAAACTTTGGCTGCTGCGGACGCTGTCATGCAGTACTCAATCGAGGTTCTTGGATACCGCCCTGAAAACATTGTTCTTTTTGGATGGTCGATTGGAGGATTTCCTGTTGCTTGGCTGGCTTCCAACTATCGAAGTGAGCTAGATGAAAAGTTTGAAATATTCAATCTGGTATCAATTTCAGATGTGAAAGCGGTTGTTCTGGATGCCACCTTCGATGACTTGCTGCCATTGGCTCTGTTCCGAATGCCCGGAGTAAGAAATAATGAATGGTAAACTTAAAATATGTATTTTTGCAGTTCTTCGCATCAGTTGTGGAGTTCGCCATTCGAAATCACATGAATCTTCAAGTGGACAAACTCGTAATACTTTCGCAATTAAACAACGAAATGAACCGTTTTTTCCAGCTTACTCGTTATAAAGGTCCCATTCGCCTTATTCGTCGTCTCCAAGAAGAAATTTTGACAACTTCAGCCGATGACCAACCTGAAAGTATTCGTAGATCAACTAACAGAATCAACTGGCTTCTGAAATCAATAATCAGAGACCGTCATTCTGAGCTCATTCGCAATTTGGAGCCTCAAGTTGACAGATGGCTTGATATGTCTCCAGCTGAACGTCTGATGCAAACCGGAGTCAGTCTTCGCGAAGAATCGCAGCAGAGAAAACGATTATTCGATGCTTGCAGTCACTACCTTGTTGATTTCGACGCGAATCATGTCACACCACTCGATCCTCAGTAAGAAATAATTTCCTGGCGATATTCAAAGAATAATATGATTTCAGGTACTTCAACATTCCAGAAGGCCGTGATACTTTTTAATATTATGAATCGCTTCCTTTGGTATTCTCAACGTCGCGATTCATCAAAAAAGAGCTTCATGTTTCTCGCTTCTGTATTTATTTATACCAGAAATGTTTATTCTATTCGTGCAATATAACTGTGAATAAAAACCTAGTCTTTAAAATTGATATTGTATCATTTCCTAAATTCAAACCTGGTTTTCCGATTCCATTACGTTTTTTTTTCTATTCAATTCTTTTTTTTTTGAAAAACTCCGTTTTATCGTATTTTCAGGTAATGTCATTTATCACAGCTTTCGGAGATCGGGTGTTTGTGGCTTCTGGTGATTTAATCCGTACTTTCCGTATTGGAGACGATGAAGGGATGACTGTAAGTGTTTCTTTCGAGTCTCCGTTATATTTTCAGAGGGCGAGAACATGTTTTCTATTAGAACCAGTTTCAGCCGCTCATCAGCTGGTCGGAACTCAATCCAGAACGCATTCAGAAGCCGAGTTTCGAAGCTGAGAAAGATTTGAAAGCTGTTGATAAGCGAGTGGTATGATGGGCTGTTTCTTCTTTTAATTAATATTTCATTTCCAGATTCTTTGCTTGGCACATTCTAACATGATTGCTGCTCATGGCCGTCGTCTCGTTGCCGTTGGAACGAACGAGAAGCAAATTCACGTCTTTGAGTACTTCATTGACAATAATTACAAAATTGTGAAAGCGGAGCACATCGTCACATCTGTTGTTCCAAAAGCTCCAACAGCTATCGTATTCGACAGAGAAGACGCTTACGTTGTGGTCGGCGATCGCTCCGGAGATGTTCATCGTTTTTCAGTTCTGAACGGAAGTGCTATTGAGATGGCTGGAGCTATTTCTATGATTCTCGACGTGGCATTCAGTCCTGATGGAAAGCGACTCTTAATGGCTGATCGAGACGAGAAAGTGAGAGCAATGCGTTATCCATCGGTATGAGTGATCCCTAGAGTTCCTTGGAATTTCCTCGAAAACTGAGAAACGGTTTTGATTTTCAGACCTACGTCATCGATGCGTATTGCCTTGGACACACCGAATACGTTAAGACTCTGGCTATTCAAGACAATGATACAGTTTGGAGCTCTGGCGGGGATAAGAACTTGCACATGTGGAGTATTACGAACTGCTCGAAACCTCGCCGCACTATTGATCTATCAGAATGGGATGCACCGGTTAGGAAAATTTCAATAAATGTGGCACACAAGGTATTCACAAAGTTTCGAATATATTTCTAATAGGAAGAAAAAATTTCAGAAGATTGCCGTTCTCTTTGAGAAGAAAGATAAAATGATCGTAGTTGATTTGGAAACTGATCCAGCTGCTACACAATCTGTGACCATTCTCAATGAATCCGAATGCCTTGATGTCACTTCCACTGGACACTATTTCATTGTTTTGGGAAGGTAGGTAGAACATTCTTTCACTCATCAAGTCAAGTTGATCTCCATGTTGCTATTTTTACATCCAATGCTTGTTGTTCAGTTCCAAAGGTCCATTTAGCCGGATAACACTAGTGATATGAAAACCCCATTTAGAAACAGTGTAATATTATCTGGAGACGCAGATATCTTTCGGAACAAATCGACTGCTCTCCCGAGACACCGTGGTTTGATTTATTGTGGTTTTTTTCTTGCTCGGAAAAGATAGATTGAAAGATATCGAGGCACTCGGAAAAATAGAAAATAGAAGATCTATGATGTTTCAGATCTACCATCACTGTCATCAACTTGCTCACAATGCTACAAGCTACGTTCCCTATCGATGACGAACTAAACGCCGTCTTGAGTGCCACCAAAGACGCTGTCGACAACCTATTCAAGAATGTGACTCATAACAACCAATTAGAGTATGAGAAGAGGAAGGCAGAGAAGTTCGAGCAAATCGAACAAAAGCGCAGAAGACTGAACAACCAGGAGCCATCGACATCTTGAATCAATGTTTTCAAATTTCTATTATTTTCTACTTTATTGTTATCAATTGTTGACTGATTGCCCCATTTGTTGCTTTTATGATTTTCCGATTCATACCACTCGCCCCTTTCAACATGTTCCAAACATTTTTTAGAATTTTATTTTACAAAATTTTCATTATAAAATTACATATATTAACACGTTGAACGAAATAGAGATTGAACTGAAAAGACACGAGGGCGTTAGCTAGGAAAGACTTGATTTTGAGGGGTCAATGAGTTAGATAATATAAAAATGCGATAAATGTGGAGACAAAGCTGAATTTAACGATGGAGGAACTGGTGGATTTCAAGTGTAGAGCCAGTCTTTTCTGAGCAGTTGCACGGCAGCAAAAACGAGAGTTTCCATTGAGCAGTTGGAAGTGACGGGCTTTGTCAGAATACCGATGACGAACACTATTGGAATGACGATTCTTGTGGTCACGACGATCCATGCTCCAGTATCTGAAGATCATTCGGTTCGATATTTTCGAAATTTATAAAATATTTACCTGACAAACTTCTGAGCAACAGAGCTCAACTGGTAGTATGATTTACATCCGCTAAATGCATGCATTCCCAGAATAGAGCATAGTCGTTCTTGTTGGCAGAAGCAACTTTTAATAGTTCGGTCCATTTTGAAAGCCTGATCGTAGAATCTGATGTACTTCGACTCGCAACCACCTCCACAGTTGTATGGATTACAGTCTCCATCGATTGGTCCTTTACACCATTTTGAATTGTATTCGTATTTCCTTGGTTGGCTGAAACAATACCGTTCAAAGGTCAATGCAAGTGTAACCGGATCTGAGATTGTCAACTACGATATCCCTGATATTTTACACTTTTTTTGCTACAACTCTCCCACTTTTTTCTCATTTTCCCAACACACTCATCGACCTTTTTGGAATCCCTAAATGTAACATTTTATTTAGTTGCGAGTGTGATCATCACATCTGGTTGACGGCAAGCGGGGGAGACCGAAAGACCGCCCGTATCGCTTGAAAAAAAGAGGAAGAGATCTTGACGGTCATTATGAGATCGTTGAGCCAAAGTTCTGGGGAAAAGCATTTTAATGGACACTTTGAAAGCTATAAATAAATTTATCCTTTTTTCAAAAATGTCAAGGTTTTCATGTGAAGTGTCAATCAGAGTTATCAGTTGAAATAAGCTTTCTTCTTTTATGTCCAATGTTTGGAATGACGTATTTGTATAACTGAATTTCAAGTTTACTTCTGACTGCAAAAGGTTGTTGGTCAGCGACCTCAAAGTGTTTCGGACTACAGTAATCTTGTCTTTAAGATCTTTTTATTACCACCAAAACATGAATTCAAAAGTCTGAATTCATTAAACAGTACCTGGACAAACTGTTTGAAGATGTTTCAACTATTTCCAACTGCTTGAAAAGTAATACCAAAGTGAGAAGTAGGTTCCTGATTGATAGTGTCATCAGTAGTTGTTGATCTCTGAAGATTAAATGATACTGATAAGAAAAAAGAGCAAGGGAGTGAAATGAAGATGGGGGACTCCAAGGAAGACGAAGAAGCTTGACAACTGACACTGGTCAGAATCTTACGGGACAAACGAGAAGAGATGGGCACAGGAAACATTGGAAACAATTTTTCCCTGCATTTTCTTCTCTGATCCTCGTGCTCTATCATTTTGAGACTCCGCCCTATTCCATTCGATCGGAAGAAGAAAACAACTGTGTAATCATGGGATCGGGGATAAAAAGTATTGAGCCCACTTTCGAAGATTGGATTTTAAGAGAATCAGTCAAAAAGTGGTCAGAAAGGGCCTAGGGTACAGTTTTGCAAATACTTCATACAAGGCTCTTTGACTCAATATTTCATAGATCGAAAAAAATCGGAAAATTAAAATTTTTGACTGTGGAAAAATTGACCGAAAATCGAGATAAAACAACTGTAAAATTGAATTATTTTTTTGGTTACGGTAGTGGCTGTTATGGCACCTCTGGCCGCGGCCACCGGCGTTTCTTTCCCACAACACTGATTTTTTTGTACCAGAATAATAGCTGTACATTTCAGAAACAATTGTATCATTTATTAAGATGATTTCAGAAAAAAAAACTCAATTTTTAGTCTAAATGATTTTATTCGTTGATCGGAATTCAACCTGTTTCGTTGGAACCTAAAAAATTGAAATTCCATTTTCATACCTTACCAATTAAACACCTGGAAAACCTGCAAATTTCCCTCACAACTCTGCATCATGATGAACACTATCTTTAAAGCTCTTTGGAAATCCAATAAAAATGAATGACGTCATTGGCCAAAGTGTTAATCTTTTTCAATCCCCGTTGGCAATTTTCTCAAAATGGAAAGTGGAAACTAAAACTAATTTCAGGTTGTGGGCAAGCTGTAATTTCATATTCACCTGCTGTTTCTCGACACACTCTTAAATACTTTCATTTTGAAATTGTGTGCTCGAGAACAAACTTGTTTCACTTCTCCGTTTTTTTTTTCAGAATTTTTTTCTCTTTTGATTGATGGCTCCCTTTTTTAATAGCTGTATAATCTGTTAATAGTTAGTGTCTTCTTATCAATAGGATTAAAATTTATCAAAGATTTACCATTTTTCCAAGGATCATAAAACACATCTGGAAAGTGACTGAACAAAATAATTAACCAGGGAATCCGAAAAATCCCTATCCCGGGTCTTCATGGAGTTGACCGAAGTATGTTCTGACTTCCCTGTTTCGCCTCAGAAAGGGCCTACTAGGAAGATGAGAAATTGAAAATCTTGTGAACTACTTTTTGAATGTTCCCTGATTCTGTTTTTTTGAAATTTCGGAAAGATTTGTTTTCAGATGGCAAAAAATAGAAGAAAGTCCAAGACGTCGTCGTCACATCCGGAGTTCCATCACCACCATGCGCATCATCAACACAAGATGACGCACAAGCAAGAATACACAGGACCAAGTGAATTTGATTTAAAATTTCTTGAACATTTGAGTTTTTCTTTTGAAATCATGTTTTCTAATCTTTGATGTGTCCTGGGTACTGTAGCATACAGTAAAACTCTAAATAGCAAAGGATCTGAGAAATTTGAATCAGAAAAAGTAATTAAATGTGTTTAAAAATTATTTTTTGAAGATGTTTCAGTTCTGTTACTCAAATACCCTGTAAATTCTACTTGAAACTGTATTTTCACACGGGTCCTTTTAGTAGGTTGGAAAGTGCGCTCCGCTGTTCAGCCAACAAATTTTTTTTGCAATTTATTTTTTTAATCGTTTAATTCATCTTTTTCCCTGTTTCCGATACTTTTCTTTCAAAAAAATCGTATAAAATTTAGTATAGGCCAGTAAAATCGTTATCAAAATCAATCAAGTGTCATTTTATGAGATTTTTGCCTTTTGAAAAAAAAATTGCTGAAAATAAAAAATTGCTGAAAAAAAAATCGCAGAAAATTGCTATTGATACTTTAATTAAAACAGTTTGCTAATTAAATTATTCACTTTTCTATTTTTAGACATAATTTTTTTCAAATCGAATCTAATTCAGTCAAGTATTAATCCATATTCCTTTTTGTAATGCGATAAGCTTCTATTCCCAATAAGATAACAATGAAAGCGACTTCCGGACAAATATTAACAAGAAATGATCACAATTCGCGTTCTCTTTCTATGGCGCACCCCGTAGAGACTCCGGTTATGTGCTCCAGCTTCTTATAACTTCTCTCTTACTCTCTTTTCTTGAGTATTCATCGCCATGGTTACTCTTTTTCTTGTTTGCTCGGCAGCAGTTGGCTTATCACCACCACAAACGTATATTATTCAAACAGAAGTGAGCTAGTATACGTAGGTTACTTGAAGCACACCGCCAGCATATGATATTTGACTTTACTGAGCTGATATATTCCTAAACAAGGGCACTGTCCTCGATCTAAATCCCTGATATTCCTTCAATCATCAATAGACGTGAATAAAAATGGCTTCAGCTCTTGCAATTCCGGTTACAGAGCTAATGATTCTGTTCGATGTTCAACTGCAGGAGTGGGTGACAAAATCTTCGAAAAACCACGAATTCGTGCAGTCGGATAAAGGTATTCCGGCATCAGCCTATTTCCTTCTCGGATCATTCTGCTCTGATGGCGATATCCATGTAGCTTACGCATCCAAGTGTCCAGTGCATTCAAGTGCGTTGGAAGAAGTAAGTTTGGAAATTCTTCGTGCTTCATTCATTAAAAAAATTTAAGAATGCTCCCGAAAAGGCAAAAATGTTAGATGACGATTGGATGGCAGATCATGCGGAAAGGCTGCTCCGAATGCTCCCTGGTGGCATCCATGTCGTCGGTGTAGCTTGGTTCTCAGACAAAGCTACGTTCCAGCAAAGAAAACCCCATATTCACAAGACATTGGGACGGATTCAGAAGATGAACAATCAAATTACAACTGCAAATATCGATGACTCGATTTCCGATCATTTGGTAATTAAAGTTTTACTTTTGCAAAAATTAAATATTTATTTTTCAGATAACCGTCTTCTTCGAAACTCCTTCCACCACTCCAGTTGGAGCTGTCATTAATCTTGCAAATAGAGGAATCGAGAGTGTTCAAAAAGTCCAATTCCAAAAGCTCGAATGGATTTCTTTGGTGACAAACGCATCAGCCCGCATTGTTCATAACGTTCCCGTGGAGGTTGGAAAACCAACCGACTTCTACTCCGATCTGATGGTTGCAACGAAAAACTTTGTGACCAACTTGTTCCAATGCGAATACACACTTCTGGATGGAGAAATTCGCGACGACAAGGAACCGTTGATAAAGGATATCAAGAAGAATAAGAAGACGACTATTGAGGCTACGCTTTTCTTGAATCCATTGGGTATGATTGTTCTTAACTTTCTCTCGATGCAATAACTTAAAATCTTACAGATAATCGTGAAGCAGGAGCAACAGACGACATTGCATCGAATATGCATGAGGTTCTCTTTGACATTGAAGTCCGTGCAGCAGTGCCGATCCGATCGACAGTGAAGGACGCAATCCGTGCTATCAAACATCATTTGGTCCGTAATGTGTTTGCGAGAGTTGGTAAGTGCTCAGAATCAAGAAAATTTAAAAATCCCTAATTTTTCAGAACTCCACTACGAGTCCATGGAAGTGGTCGAGGAAGAAAGATCACCAAAGGCTGGGATCACAGTTCATCAACTTCCAAGACCAGCAACCACTGTTCTTTATACACTCCCGCTATTCTGATCAATGATTTCCTCTTTGAAGCCGATAACGTTGAAGACGCGCAAAAGAATTTCGACGATATGATGGACTTGCAAACGAGCATTGGTGAGTGATCCTAATTTCGACTGATATATAGTCATTTGTTCTCAGAGCATGTTGATGAAGGATGGGAACGTGCGTTGACTCCTGAAGAGATGGAATCAGTGCGAACACCAATCGAAGATCTTCATTTCGTGGATTACGATGGATCGAGCGATTCCTGGTGTACTACGAAAACTCTTCTTATCACAATTGCCATGATTATCGGAATTTTAGCTTCTATCATTTATTTCACCGTTGCCCATTCTTGAGATGTTTCATGTTTACGAAATTGTGCATTTTGCACCACCTTCTCCATGCCATTGCATATTTTCAAGTATTTATTTTTTCGTTTTTTCTCTCATCTGTACTGTGATAATACGATTTATTGTATGGCCCCCAAGAAAGTTTAAAATATGTTAACCATAAGAGATTGTAAACGACTCCTTCCCAAAAAATTTAATAAAGTTGAGTGTTAGATGTGGGATGTTTGTCCGTTGCAACGAATGGTAGCTCCTGTGACGAAGGAACTGAGGTCTTTGGCAGATTGGGCAAAGCTGGAAGAAAACATATGAGACTACCATTTTTTTTGAAAGGAAACTTACAGCTGAGCAATTCCACAATCGGCATCAGTGAACATGTATTTGAGAACACTTGCTCCTTCGAATCCAGTGGTCACTTGTCGATGGGCTTTGTCTAGAAGTTTTTGGTACTCCTCGGTGAGCTCGTTCTCGATTTTCGAGAATTCCACTTCACCAGCAGATGTCAAAGTTGTTTGAAGTTCAATGTGCACGATGGTGGATCCTCCCGCTGAACGACGTTTACGATCACCGGGGGGTTTGTGTGAAGAAGTATCCACAGTAGCTGGAGTCTCGGTGCTGTGCAAGTTGCCGCACATTTCAGCCATTCCAACGAAAGCAGCGAACAGAAGGAAGACATGGAAAGCAGCAGACATTGTTGAGTAGTGGAGAAGTTGAGAAACTTATGCTTTGAAGATTTTATTCAGCCCTTTTATACCAGTTCAAGTGTTGACTGACCATTTCACTTTTTATATGACTCTATTGTTAAGGTTGTTTGATATTAACACATTTACTGTAGTCGTCCTGATCAAATAGTACTACTGTTTGATGACACTAGGAAATTTGTTGGTTGGAAAAATGCAAATCATGTTGTGGTTTCTAAGAGATATTATTCTCGTACAGAAAAATCGGAGCTGTGGAAGAGATACTTCGGTAGGCCGAAGCTCCCACAACGAAAACTACGGTAGTTTATTTTTCGAATTTTTTCGCTCGTTTTTCGCCGAGTTTTCCGTTTTTTTTCTCAAAAAAATCGGAAAATAAAAATTTTCGACAATGAAAAAAAGACGGAAAAAATACGAAAATCGGGAAAATTAATCCAGAAAATTAAACTATTTTAGATTACTGTAGTTGTCTTCGGCCACGGCCACCGGCGTTTCTCTTCTAGCTCCGAATTTTCACACCAGAATAATAGCTGGAACAACTAAAAAAGTTAGATCACTAATTCTATCTGGTTAGAACTCTAAAAATTATTGAATCTGAAATGTCAGTATATAAAAATGTTCATCCTGAAGATGTCTCATATTCAATTAGCTCAGAATCTTATTCTTTCAGAAAATAGTGGAGATGCATGTGGAGACTTCACACAAATTGAATAATATTGGAAGTGACAAACACAAGATTTTCAGAAGTGTCTTCTTTTTCTTCGAAAAATTTTGCATCCAAAGCGGTGGCACCAAAGATGAGAACCGGGAGAATGAGAACTGCTTTCCCAATTTTTTGAGAAAAGCTGTTTCGCGTTCTTCAAAGCATCCTAAATTTTCCAAGAAACTTTTTTGAACTATCAATAGTAACAGTTCTTCTTTCGCCAATTCTTATTTTGTACGAATTCTTAGTTGTAGCAGTACTGATACGAGAAGTTCTCAAATGTATCATTCCCTTCTTCTCCGAGTTCTGATCCCTGGTACAACCTACAAATCTACTAGAGATTCCCTCGTTGCGTGGTTTTCTGATTTTTGGAGAAAAAATATATTTTATTTTCTCTTTTCTCAGCATTTGAGAGTATCAATTTGAGTCGGTGAGCAGCAATGGAAGTTTCGAGACAGTGAGTTCATAAATATCAATAATTTGTTTTTCACTAAAAATATATTTAAGCTGTGAAGAGAAACAGTACCACGAGTCCCGAGAGCAAATGGCGGCTCGGAAACAAAAACGTCGGGAGCTTAAGGATAAATTTGCAAAGGAACGAAAAGAGAGAAGAAGTGAAAAGGAACGGATCAAGTTGGAGGAAGGAAGAGGTCGGAATTATGAAACTCGGATGAAAAGGAAGAAAGAAGCGGAAAAAAGATTGGCAGTGCCCAAGAAAACTGAAATCTGGGAAGAGAAGATGGAGCAGCAGGAAGAGAATTTCAGACAATGGAAAATGTTACAACAAGAGGATTCCAGTAAAATTCAGAAAAAAGAAGAAGACGTCGAAGAAGGAAAAAAGAATGAAGAAGTGATGAAAAAGGATAATGTTCGAACTTAAACTTGACTTTTTACTTGCTATTTTTGAATGATGTGTGTAATATATTGAGGTTAATTAAAATATAAACATGAAAAGGATTACTGTAGGGGAAGATATTCGAAAATGGGGAAGGATTACTGTAAGGAAATTATTTAAAAAATTGAAAGGATTAATGAACGGGAAAAATGTTTGAAAATGAAATGGGTTACAGTAGGGGAAATCTTTCGAAAATTAAAAGGATTACTGTAGACTATAATCCGGACATGTTGTTCAGAGGATGAGGGGAGAAAATGAGGAAAACGCTCGGAAGTTCAGAATCTTGTAGAGCACCATGAATTCCTGTGTTCTTCATGGAGCCCTCAATAGACGAGTGCCAAAAAATTTCATGCAGAAAATTTCGAAAAGAACCAGTACTCGTTCAGGTTCCAGGATTTTGCACGATTCCGGGTACCCGGCTCACAGGATTTCACTCAGAATCTCAGAATCTGAAAATCTGAAAGTCTGACAATATGCAAATCTGAACATCTGAAAATCTCAGAATCTGAGAATCCCAAAATCACAAAAGCACAGAATCTCGGAATCTCAGTATTTCAGAATATCATAACCTGAAAATCTGAAAATCTAACAATCTCAAGCTCTCAGAGTCTCACAATCTCTAAATATCGTAATGTTAGAATTTCAGAATTTCCGAATTTCAGAAGCTCAGAACACCAATATCCCAGATCTGAGAATCTGAGAATCTCGAAATCTGAAAATCTCAGAATCTCACAGATTCCAATTCATATTTCTGCAACTTTCTCTCACTACCTTCAAAAAGTTCAAATGTTCAATATGTGGCTTTTTAACATTGCTTTTAATACCCGTTCAACTGGAAGCGATAAAATATTCTGAAAACAAAAAAAAGTTCATATTAGAAACAAAGAAGTATACATGTATATCCAATTATAGTTTCATGAAAGTTTTTTTTCCAGTAAATTTCGAAAAAAAAAATAGATTTAGAAATTTACTTCGAGTTGAACGATTACTAATTCATAAGATTTCTTCGTCGTCCCGTATGTTGCACGAGCGTAAAAAAGTTCTGCGTAGCCAGTTTTCTGCGTTTTTCGATGTTTGTCAACACATACTCCGACCCGTCCGTTCGTTTCCTATCCTTCAAGTTGAAAAATTACTTTTGAAAACGTTCACCTTAAATTATGACTCTGAAAAAAGTAAGGAACAAACAATAAGAGCATCCAAATAAAAACAGTGATGCCTAGAAAAAGAGCAACATATAAGAAGTAGAAAAAGGGGGAAGCATCTAAAGTGTCTCCCAAGAATATCCATTTTCAGAAAGAGACGGGGGACCATCTTCTTATTCTTCTCGATTTTCATTCCAGTGGTGAAATGACGGAAGAGAGAACAAAAAGAAGAATGTTTGCTCTTATTTACGTTATTATTTTTTTTGTTTAGTTATTTTTTCTGGCTCTTCTTTTGCCCTTCTTGCACTCATAAAGTTGAGGAACGAGAAAGTGAAATTCGAGTGAATTCGTCCGCAGCTAGGATTTTGATCCTTTCTTCCGAATTTTCGAAATTCTAGTATTTCAATCAGTTTACTACATACTTGTAAAATTCCGCCGCCAAAGCCCGGGCCTGGGGAAATTTTCAAGGCCCGAGCCCGGCCCGGAAGGCCCGGTATCAAAAATTCTGTATTTTTGAGCCAAATTTTGAGCTCTCAATATAATTTTCTCCATTTTTTTGTTTTTTGGATTGTTTGTCTGTTTGATCTAAAAAATTAGAAAAAACTCGAACAAAAATTTTTGATCGAAAAAAATCAAATAAGGGTCCCCTGTTATGTGTTTTTTGAAAATTTAAAAACTTGTGAAATGACGGGCCCGCCGGGCCTTCGAAATTCGGAAAAAAACCCGGCCCGGCCCGTTACAAGTATATTATACTAGAACTTCGGAATTTCGAAAAAAAAGTATAATTAAATATACAGAGAATATATATAAAACTTGAAAGAGAAGAGTCCACTGACCCCAAACTTTGACCCAATCAGCTAGATTCCTGTCAAAGATATAAGAAAATTGTCAACGAATTAATTGTTTATCATAATACAGTGCGTCCAATAATGATAAGCCACCCCCTGTTTTTGACAATAACTCGAGAACGAAAAAAGATATTAAAAAACTGTAAACGCCATCCGTCTTAAAATCGAAGAATATTTTAAGACAAATTTCATTGGTTTGATCCGTGCGGTGAAAGTAGGTCAACTGGAAAATGTGTGGATGTCAACCGTCCAAAAATGATAAGACACCTTTCGAAAATCGTTCATTTTTCGAGTTTTTGAGCAATTTAAAAAACGTTCAAGTACTAGAAAAAATGTCAAATTTTGTTTTTCATCATGTTCAGTGCTTTTGCATTTCATACATATCACATTTGATCTAGTTTGGAGGATTTTTGTGAGCCAACACGAGATTTTCAAAAAAATTCTCAAAAAGTTCTGAAAACTAATCAAATGATCTGAAAAATCCCCAGACACATGTTTTCTAATGATATTTTTTAGAATTATGAGGAAATAATTTCATTTTTCCTCATCTGGAACGTTTTCTGGAAAATTCGTATTGAGGTGTATTCAAATTGCACTGCAAAAGCGAGGAACGCCTGGTTGTTCTTCTGAAAATCGGTATGAACATTACAGTAACCTGCCACTCAATCAAGAATGAGATCCTCGGATGCTGCCAGAAATGTGTCCAACGTTTTTTGATACAGAATCATGCTATAGCTCAGGTAGTAACCCACGACGACATTGCGCCTCAATACGAATTTTCCAGAAAATGTTCCAGATGAGGAAAAATGAAATTATTGCATCATAATTTTGAGAAACATCATCAGAAAACATGTTTCTGGGGATTTCCCAGATCATTTGAGTAGTTTTCAGAACTTTTTGAGAATTTTTCTGAAAATCCGGTGTTGACTCCCAAAAATCCTCGAAACTAGGTCAAATGTGATATGTATGAAATGCAAAAACACTGAACATGATGAAAAACAAAATTTGACATATTTCCTAGTACTTGAGCGATTTTTAAATTGCTCAAAAACTCGAAAAATGAACGATTTTCGAAAGGTGTCTTATCATTTTTGGACGGTTGAAATCCACACATTTTCCAGTTGACTCACTTTCACCGCACGGACCAAACCATTAACGTTTGTCCTAAAATATTTTTCGATTTTAAGAGGCTTTTACAGTTTTTGAATATCTTTTTTCGTTCTCGAGTTATGGTCAAAAACGGGGGGTGTCTTATTATTATTGGACGCACCGTATCACAAACACTAAGCTCAAACTTGACAATGTGAGGGTCCTTCTATTACAGGTTTTACAGTAAATGGTGTATCCCTTGATTTTTGTGATCAGCAATTTTCGAAATAGCTATTTCGGAGATTACTGAAGGATCTCCTTTTTTCGTTATTCTGATTTTTTCTGAAAATTCTATATTCTGAAGTTTCCCGAGCTTTGTTCTTCTTTTTTTAACTTTCACAATTCATAGCTAACTGTTCTAGGGTTTTGTATTTATCATAATCATCACAAGCATGGTTAACCATTCAATCCAACATTTGACTTAAGCGCCTCTCGGTGTGCCAAGTAAAACATCGGAAGAAAGTGTTTTGAGCTCATAAAAAAGACATCGAAATTAATGAGATTTCACACATTGGTTTTGTCGGATTGGACCCGAGCATGTGTGTGTGTGTGGGGTATGTCAGTCTCATATCACTTAAATGTGTTCAACATTTGTCTTCATCTTCTGGCAAATTGGTGGTCCCCGCGTGTTTAGAAGAAACAAAAGTGTTTTGGGACAAAGAAAGAGAGAGAGAGAGAGAGAGAGAGAGAGAGAGAGAGAGAGAGAGAGAGAGAGAGAGAGAGAGAGAGAGAGAGAGAGAGAGAGAGAGAGAGAGAGAGAGAGAGAGGAGAGGATTCGAAATTTCTAATTGCGTGACAGAGTTTCTCTGGTTACTAAACACTTATTGCATAAGAACTTGAGACAGTTATTTGAACCCATAGACTTCTACTTCCCTTTAAATGCTCCCATAGTTCAAGCAACTAGGAAAGTCATTAATACCGTCAACACTCTAATAGACGGCCATCCCGAAACGTCTACTTTGAGCTCACATACCTGGTAAATATATCAGAAAGTAATCAACTGACAAAATGTTTATCATAACGTCGAAAATACTGTCAATTGACCACTTTTTGAAATTTTCTACTGGAAATGATATAGACGACCTCAAAGTTGATGGTTCGGGTGGCCTTTCATGTGAGTCTTCACGGTATTTGACTGAAAAATCCTTGAATCTCTCTCTCTCGACAATTTTCCAAACTACTCAAAATCATCACTCTGAAATGTTTCAATTTCGTATAGTCTTCCTAAAAGTGCAACGTCATTATCAATGTTCTATGTTCCCTCTTTTTCCATTTGTTCAGTTTTTTTTCTCTCCACTGTAATCCGACTCCTTTTGGGAATCCCTTCTTCTCTTTCTCTCTGCAAAAAAAAAAAAATGATCGACGGCCTTCTTCCAAATGTACAGTAATCCTTTTTTCTCTCATCTGAAGAATAAACAAATCATGCAACACTTGTTGCTTGAAGAACAACGAAGGTTACAATGTTTTTTTTTGTTGTATCTGGAGGCCCCACTCGAAAATTTGCGATAAATCTTAATTTCGTACTATTTGGGGCATCTGGAAAACGTTTGGAAATCCGTGATTGTAAACACTTCCTGCAAAAACTAAGAGACTTCCACATCTTGTGCACTTTTTTGTTGGGAGCATCTGGGAAAGTTTAGAGGGACTCGGTAGAATTATTAGTAGTCGAATGGAAGAACTATTCTTATTCTTCATGTACTCTGGATTCGTCAGTTCTTTGTGTTCTCTGATTGACAGCTTCCGGAAGATTATTTAAAGGAGGGGGAGTAGGAGATTTTTCGAAGTTTTTTTGGAGTTAGGTATGCATTCTGACGTAACAGTGTACAGTGTTTAGCGCCCACAAACTTCTCGATGGGCTTTTATGAGCGGAATTTTGGGAAATAATGTTTTTCATATCCCCCACCTTTAAGCTCGACTTCAAGTTTTCCCATTTTTATCCTACAGTACTCTATTGCACACCTTTCTCATATAAAGGAGCAACATTCTAAATAGAGCATGGAGTGTAGAAAATAAGAAAACATAGATGCAACAAAAAATAAAATGAAATCAGTTCACACATTCTTCAAACCTTCTTTACTCTCCTTTATCCCTCCCACCCCTTCTTTGCTTTTTGCGTTTTTTTTTCATGAAAAATCTATCTCTTGTTCATGTTTCCCCTACTCGAGAGATAAAATGGAATATCTTTAACTTGTTTTATGATTTTGTTTGTTCTTCTTCTTCTGAATCTTTTTGATCTCAATGAGTTGATTCTGATTTTATGCCTCTTCAAGATGCTTCATGGAAAACCGATGAATCCAAGCCATAAAATAGTTCCACATTCTCTCTTCTTCAGAATCCTCTTTTTTCTTTTCAAAAAACGAGGAATGTTTTCGTTGAAAAAAAAAAGAAAGAAAGGAGGATCCGTTGGGTCCCTTTTGACAGGTTTTGGCAACACATTACGAAAACCTTTGAAAGGTGGAAAAGAGGATGAGAAGGAGGAGGAGAGCTACTGTGTCATCGATCATAACTTTAGACAATTGGTTCATTGAAGAAAAGTCAAACTAAGTGAGAGGGAGAGACGTAGAAGTAGAGAGATTTTGGGAATATAGAGATTAAAAGAGTTCCATTGGTTTTGTGAACGTTTTGAGAAAATTTTGATAGATTCCAGCTAAAGACAGACTAAATTTCAGATTTTATAGGATTACTGTACATCTAATTGTAAGGAATTTAGGTTTGTTGAAAAATTAGTGATACAGTAGCGTTTAAGGATATTTTCTGTCAATTATTTTTTTAAAAATAAACTACACAGGTAACTGGAGAACCGACGTGCCGTCGATGGACTGTTGACTGACCGGAACCCTTCGGAAATCCAACTTGAAAGTTTCGATTGGAAATCCGTCATATTTTCTTGAACCTTAAAATTACAACGTAAAAGTCCAGAAATCATTAAATAACAATTAGAAGTGTAATCTTTTTGAGAATTCAAGATAATCCGAAGGGTCGTGAAGCAGCTCGGATAGACACTACGAACCAACTTTTTAGCACCCTAGGTAAAAAAAACTTTGAACTGACAAAAAAAAACGAAATTTACAAAACTTGCCAGGTAACATTATTTGAAATCTTGGAACTAACCAATCCAGCCCAGATCAATTCATCAGTTTTTGTATTTCGTTTTTATTTTGCTACAGCATCATTCTAATTATTATATCTTCCTAAACTTCGAAAAGAAGGAAAGTGCAAAAAAAGAAAAAAGAACGACAAAATCAAGATGATAGGTGCCGTTGTGTGCGAACAATTTTTGACGCCTGTCACCCTTCATCATCACTCGAAAAAGTTGCGAAAATGCAACTCTTTTACAGATTTTATTCATCAAGAATCTCGTCAAAATCTACTCATTTTCCCTAAATACTTTACACCTCTGTTTCTCATCACTCGTGTCTCTGTGTCTCTTACTCTTCTATACTATTCTGAAACCGTCTAGCCACTGCCCACTATCATCATCACCAACGGGCAAAAGTCCCAGGGTCCCTTCAGGTTGAAACTGATTGTTCAGAGGTGAGAGAGATAGAGACATGTGAATTGAGCAACGCGATCCAAAGGAAACCGACAAATTGCTTGCTCGCCGAGCTAGTTTGGAAGATGAAGATTTTTTTTTGATCTACTAGTTCCTGCCTTCCGATCTTCCTTGATCCTGTCGTCAGGGGATGGACGGACGGACGGGGGATCGTCGGTTGGCAAAAAAATCTGTCAAAAAAACAAAACAGAAATACGGCGGCGACTGGGAAGATGGAGGCTAAGGGTCCCCGGGTAACAAACAACACTTGTTTCTCTACTTCTTCAGTTTTCTCACTTTTTTCTTGCAATTTTCATTCTTTGAGTTAAATTTTTTTCGATTCACAATTTTTTATATAAGAAAGATTATCTTCCGAAGAAGTACGATTCTCTTCAGTTTCAGAAGAATCATAGATCATCGGAATGTTCAGAATTTCAAAATCGGGATCATAAAATTCCATTTTCTTCCATCAACTGGATTTTTTAGGTTTCAGAAATTATTTTTAAGTGGATACTGTGTATTTTCTACCTACCGTTTCTATGACCATCAAAATCTTGATTCCTTTCATAAAGACTAAAAAAAGAACTATCGCTTAAAATTTTTCGAGTTTTATAGCGAGAATTTAATAATTGAATAACGTTTTCAAAACTCTTACAGTAGCTCAGAAACTGCAGTTCAGTGGCGTTATAAGGATCGATGTTTATTGATGGGAATACGGTAAATATGGGATCTAGAATATTTCCAATCAGCCTAGATGATAACAAAGCCGGTTGATGTTCATTTTTTAGCAATTTTAAGAAGTTCTTTCAAGTTGGAAGTTCCGACCTACCTTACTTCATGTGTTTCAATTTTCCAATTCTCAGATCACATCCGTTGCCGTATTCCCCAATTCAATGAATACAATTTTCAAAGAACCACCACCCATTTCATTGCTCATCATACATCAAGCCGTACGTGAATGCGTTAAAAAAAAAGAAGTCATTTTGCAAATCTTTTTTTCTTACAAAAACCATTAAACTCCCAGTTTTTGCACTCTCTTCTGGTGCGGCTGCTCAACCATCAAATAGTTTATGCATTTTTATAGTTGAGGGCAGGGTTATGGTGGGGAGGATGGTGTCCTCTTCTCGAAGTCCATCGTGGAAACATTTTGTTTATAATACACTCATCATAGTGGGACACAGAGAGAGGAAGCTGGGCGAATGGGCTCACATGTCGTCCTCACCACACTTGACTGTCATTTGCACACGTTCTGTGCTGATATACATTATTCCTGGAGACATTCTGGTTGTTCCAAATATGGAATTGTGCATCAAAGTTTAGATCAGTCTTCGGAATCTCTTCAGATTTGCGAACAATGTCAACATCTACCGTACTAGATCTCAATTTCTTTTTCTCTACCATCTACTGTACTCACGTTTTCGGAAGACTACAGTACTGATTATGTTTTAAACTATCTCCTGCGATCGTAAACTCTATTCTTAGCTTGAATTTCGTTGTTTTGTCTCTCTTATCTTTTTTCATGATATCATTTTTGTTAATGAAATGTATCCTTCAATCTACTTCTCCAGTCTTGATTGATATTTTCTTTTGCAATTATTTAGAACCTCAGGCTGCTGGAAAAAGAGCCGCGGCTGGCCGGGCCGTGATAAGGTTGCCGTGGACCGAACGGTCCGTTCTTTTGGAAATAAGCTCAGCCACTCAGAAAATCCGTAGGCCGTTATGCCGCTAAATTCTATCTTTTGCAGAAGTAAACTAACCAAAAAGCAGCGTCACTGTTCTCGACAGCCTCGTTAGAAACAGATTTCTCAACTTTTTTCTTGACCGGAACCTATTTACAACCTTCTCGTAGTAATTACCGTTATCTATATTCACCCATCACCAACTCTCTGTTCCTGCCTCCAGACAGATGTTCTCATTCTGATTCATCCATAAAAACCAATTGGCATCTTGATCAAAACCGCCACCCAGCTGCCCCCAAGCGAGATATCATAACAAAGAGGTCATAATAACTATCCCATAACTATATATCCACTCTCTCTGTGACTCATCCCAATGGTTTCCTGTCCCAGAGAGCGTTATTATCCAGGAGTATCAGAAAGAGAAAAAGGTCCCGAAATCGAAATAGTGTAGCATTCTGAGTGGATCATTTTGTTGTGTTATGCTTTCTCTCTGTTTCTTATCTATTTATCTCTCTTTATCTCTCTTTTCACTTCAAGTTCTCTTTTCGAAATGAATTGAACTCAACCGGGAGTCGTCCTTCTTCCTGGCGGCTCCCGGGGAAACTCATTGTGTCAAGGAGAATGATGAATCGACATTCATCCCCTGCACTCGATATATTTTCTTATTAATTTGTGCCATCTTCTAAAAGTACGTCTCTCTATCCTGTTGTCTTTCTTCTCTTTTATATTTTTTCTCATTTTTTGTTTATAATATTAGTATGTCTCATCATCATCTTTGACCGCGTTATTACTTGTCAAATGTTCTTGCTCTTCTAAACAATCTTGTGCTCTTTGTCTAAACTATTCTCGGCACTTTCTTAGATGACTCAGCTTTATTTCGTGGCAAATTTTGTGGGATGAGTGTAGAAGAAGAGCGCGAAAGAAAGTTCATTCGAAATTCGATAGGTGTTACAATGTTCCTAACTCTGGACACTTTAGTCTTTGGAAAATTCTTTGAGGTGATACATGGGTAGCAACCTTTGATGATCATAGTGTTGATATAGGACCCCTGGTTAAAATGATATTTACGAAACTTTTTGATGCTCGTCATCGTCGTTTCGTTCTCCCCCTTAATTGTGAATTTCGTCTTCTCGTTCAAAAAACCTAGCTTGTTCTATAAATTGTATAGATTCCAATATAACTTTAAAAAGTAAAAAACCAGTTACCGTAAAACCTGTAACAGAAGGGCTTCCACACTGTCAAGTTCGAGCTATTTTTTTTGGCTTCTATTCACGATGTTAAAAATGTGTCAACAAATAAATTGTTTGTGATATTATGATATACAATTTATCAATTGACGCCCTCTTCATATCTTAAACAGAGACCGAGATAAATTGGCTCAAAGTTGAAAGTTTTGGGCCCTTCTATTACAGGCTACATTTTGAATGAGCAAGGAGATTGCTCCTTTCTTCTCGAATTGTCTTTTTGATGGGTGATTCGAACGCCTTATTTCATTCTACCTATCCCTTCTCCAAAACCTTCTTCCCGCCCTAAGCTACCGTATTTTTGTTTCTCTTCTATTTTTTTTTGCTAGATATCATATTTCTGCATGGAACGTCGTCCTTCACACCATCAGACACACAATACAATCCATGACTCGGATATTCTATTTTGCAACTAGATACTTCTTTTCCATATCGATATAAACACTATTCGTTTACTTTTCATTCCTTTTGTTTTTTAAACAATCTCAACGTACACATAAACTTTTCACACCTTTCTATCTCATTCCATACGTTTCATCTCCATCCATCGCCTCCGCTGATTTATTCGTCATTGTGCTTTTTCTCTGAGCAAGATGGCTTGAGCACATGTTTATGTACCCTTCCTTCTTCTTTTTGTTTTCTCAATTGAACTGCCCCTTACACGGATTGCGCAACCGTATTCTATGATAACATGTTGTTTATCACCTTTTTCCAGACACCACCACCCAAACCACCCCAATACCATCCAATTCATTTCTAATAACACCAGCAACAGTATTCTATGGACCACTTCTTTATTGTTGAATAGCATTTATTGGGTAATGATTTCGAGAAAGAGTCGGAAAGGCAATTAAATGTTTCAGAACTTTAACGAAGCACGATGGGCGGCCGAAATTGGCTGATCCGATCGGCATTTCTAGTCTCAACTTTTTTGTTATGCATTAGCATTGCTCAGGTTGGTTTTCATCTTTTATACAGTACACCTAATATTGTCAAATTTCAGGAACTACTTCCGTCAATCGAAGTAGAAAGCCTAGCACAAGATCTTCAAATTCAAGAATGGATGCGCACACTACGACGCGTCAAGCGCGCACCAACCAGAAGTGAGTCTACATTTTTCTGGGTTTCGCATGAAAAAAGCAACAAAAATCTTGAATTCTTTCTCTCTATTTCTCTCTATTTTTCCTGCGTCTCTCTCTCTCTGCTCTTTGCTCTCTATTTCTCTCTATCACCTCGTCTAGATTTCTGATTATGTCACAGGTTATATCCAAGAATGCTGCACAGTTCGTAATTCCTCTCGTCGAAGTCTACCAGGTGATTCTTATTCCAAACCATCCTCTCTTTTGATTTTGTGTCTCAAATGTTTCATTTTCTCATTTTCCTTAAAAATCATATATTTCTGAAATTCTTTCGGAACTCAAATCCCGAAGAAAACCGTTTCCAGAACTTCCGGCGTCCTGTTCGACGAAACAAAATTCCGGTGGTAAATTTAGAAACGCCATAAAAAAGCGAAATGGCAAGCGCATGCTTCTTTTTTTGACTGAACTGATTGTGAGAATAAGGAAATGGAAAGGGATTTATGCTAGCTTTGATAGAATGGTAAAAATAATATCAAGAAAAAGTAACCTGCAATTTTTGTGCGGTGTGGCATGGTTTTTGGAAATGAGCTGATGATTAGAATTCAAGAGAAGCATATTAGACCACATTGAATAGAATTACCGTCGATACTCTGACGGAAGATCACCCTGTACTTGCACTTTGATCCGAATTATCCGATTCCTGTGCCAGATATCAAACATCTGTCAACTGATAAAACTTTAGTGAAATTATGATAAACAAACTATTAGTTGACAAATGTTTGGTATATTTTATAGGAATCGAGATAATAGGAATCGAGCTCAAAGTAGTCGGTTTGGGCGGTCTTCTATTGGAAGAAATACGGTAGTAATTTATTGAAGTAATTAACTACTTTATCAAAATTCTTATTTATAGATCGTGATAAAAAACGGAAGAAAAAAAAAAACGATATAGTAAAGCCAAAATGTCCCGTTCCTGCTGCTGTTTAAGTCTCACCTTAACCATTGGAATCTTTAGCTTTAAAACTTAAAGTTTAAACATGATACATGCCCATTCTGTGTACTAAAAGGGAAATGAAACTCAGAGACACAAAATCAATTGTCTAGTTTTTGAAAATTCATCCTCTCGTTCTCCCATCTCTTCTACAAAATAATTCTAGACGTTCAACCAATTCTTGTGGTATTGCCTGGTTTTGATCCGGCACGTGCCTCTCCCTACTTTCACAATCTGATGTATCCGGAGCCGTTAGTGAGACGGCGCGCAAAACGAGCCAGATATTGTCCAATATTGGGTAGAGTAAAACAATAAGTGACACACAGATCCCTTCTGTTCTTTTATGTGGCGTTTTTTGAAGAGATGATGAAAATTGATTGGCTGAACCACTTTAAAACTTCTTGCTTTGCACTTGTTTAGGAATGGCTTCTAGGGGATACTCTCTCTGTTTTTCTAACTCTTTTGTCCGTCCTATTTCTTGAAATCTTCTCTTTGATTCTGAATCACAAACTGTGATATTTGGAAAAGTTCAAGTCTCGAAAACATATGAAAAAAGAAACTCGCAGGTAACCGACCCGAACCAGTGGTTGTGGGTCGAAATGGGACCGGTAAATGCGTGATATCAGCTGATCGCGCATCGCATTTTTGCGGAATGGAAGAAGAAGGTGACCATTGAATACATATAACACCTATTAGAATATAGATCAATTAATGTTGTGATAGTTTTTTTAGTGGTAAAACAATAATCGTGGTGATTTGTGGTTCGTGGTCTTTCTTTTTGAACTTAAAAAAGATTGAAATCTAAAACATCAACCCAAATATTGTCGAGTAAACGGTAACTCTTATTGTCGTACGATGCTTATTGTCTATTCCTTGTCCCGATGCCTAATCCCTGTTGTATTGCCGCTCTAATTTTCAGTTTCTATTTTCTCTCACCCCCTTAAATATCTCTAACACAATCCCTTTCATTTTCTAACTGAAAATTGCACGTGTGGCTTGGTGAGGTAGTGTATGTCATCGTAGACTGTATGCAAGTGGATCGTCGACGATCATCGTCCAACGCAAAAATTGCAGTGTCCGCACCTCCGATTCCGCCGCCAGATGAGGGAAAATGTATCATCTCCAAGGTAAGCTATTTTTGATTCAGAATTGCTCAAGCTTTTATCAGCCGGATTGATTTCTCATATATATATATATATATATATTCTGGCCGAAACTACCGTATTTGCTCTGATAGAATCTTATAATATATTTGCACTTTAGGCTTCTATCAGAGCAGGAAGCAGTGTAGGCGAATGTTTCATAGAGGATACATGATTTTTGATATTAAAAACTAGGGTTATAGCTATAGACCAAAAATGTTCTAATTGGTAGGTCAAAAACTATACAGTGGGTCAAAACCCTTGTACCAGACACAGGTACCCTATTACAGGCATCAGGTCGTGAGATTTGCTACCCATCATACAGTCAACTGGATACAAGTTGTACCGACGTCATCGAGAAGTCATCTAATGGACTTGTAGTCCCACCAGTTGTACCTCATGCTACGCAAGTTCTTTCTAAACTGTTTTTAACGATTTTAATCAATTTCAGGGTCCGTGCGATGGCGTTCGTTCCACCGGACAACCTGCGACGTCTCATCATTCAATACTACCGTCAACAAGGAAAACATCAACCGAAGAACGCAACATTCTCCCCCAAATCTTTCCTTTTCGTTAAATATCACTGTGATTATGGCTACGAAATGGTGGATGAGGTAGATACAATGTTCTGTCAGGACAAACAATGGGTTCTGACACCTCCCATGTGCCGTGGACAAGGTCTTTGTGCTGCTGATAATGGAGGATGTTCACACACTTGTATCTCGTATAATGATGAAAAGATCGAGTGTAAATGTCCACGAGGAATGACACTGGATGTCGATGAGAAGACTTGTATCAGTGAGTGCTATTCCAGATTGGGGACTCTTCCGTCATACCCATTATTTTCAGAGCCTGTACCAAAATCTTTGTGTCGTTCACTTTCTGGATGTACCTGTAACGGAGTCACTGAAACTCAATTCGCCTGCTCATGTGGAGATAACAAACAAAAGTGTCTTCTTCTCACAGGACCACCAAAGATTTATATTGAACCACAAGGACCATATGAGGTTGCTCCTGGAGGAAATATCAATATTAGTTGTACAAGTGTTGCCTACCCATTCCCCGATATTTATTGGTACAAGTAAGTCTGAAACGTCGGAATTTCCATTCACAGATTTCTTTTAGAAACCAACGAGTCAACACAAATGGACAAGGACAAAACATCCTCCGATCTTCTCAAGTACTGATCATCAAAGAAATTTATCGAAACGAAGAGTTCACTTGTGTAGCTGACAACATCCACGGATCAGCTAACCGAACTGTCTCGATTGTTGTTACTGGACCAGGATCTGCTCCTAATTTGAAATCTGCATCCGCTGGGAGAACATCTTTAACTGTTCGATGGGAGCCACCAAGTATCATCAATAGACCAATTACGACATACACTCTGTACTACACCAATAATCCACAACAACCTGTGAAGAACTGGAAGAAGTTGGAAGTGAAAGAACCAACAAGAGAAGTTGCCATTCCGGATCTCCGACCAGATACTGCTTACTACATTCGTGTTAGAGCAAATGATCAATTAGGACCCGGGAAACTTGGAAACCAAGTTCAAATCAGAACATTAAAACCAGCAGTTCGTCCATATGTCACCATCGTTGAAGGAGATGAAATCAGAGTTCCACCGATGACACCATTCGAACTTGATTGTAATGTAACAAAGGCTGATCCTATTCCAGTTCTCGTATGGCTTCACAAGTGAGTTTTAAGAAGAAATCATCATCGATAACATTAATAATTTCCAGAGGTCGATCACTAAATAAGGGAAGCAAAACTCAACACATCAAGATGAAGAATGGAGGAGTTTTGGAGAGCACTCAATTCTCTTGCGTCGCTGAAAATGAAGCAGGAAAGTCGACGAAGAAAATCAATATCACTGTTACTGGACCAAGTGCTCCGGAGAGAATTCGTTATCAAATCGATGGAGACAAGGTGACACTTCAATGGGAACCACCACAAATCACAAACGGACCAATGGCTGGATATGATGTCTACTATACAGATGATCCAAGTTTGCCTCGTGATCAATGGAAAGTTCATCATATCGATGACCCGAATGCCAGAACAACAACTGTTCCAAGATTGAATGAGAAGACACCCTACAATTTTTTCATTGTTGGAAGAAATCGTCTTGGTCCAGGTCTTCGAAGTTCTCCATTCACAGCAACAACTTGGCTTGCTTCCAAACCACCAATTGTACTTTTGGAACCACAAGATGAAGTCACCAAGGAGCCAAGTAACGATGAAATGATTATTGAATGTGGAGCTCAAGGAGTTCCAAAACCAAAGATCATTTGGCTCTGGAGTGGGACCCTCATTGAAGATGGGAAAGATGAATTCAGAGTGTATGATACTACTCCAGCAGATGCTCAAGATCGTACCAGAAGCAAACTGATTGCTCAGAGTACAACTAGAAGTGGAGTTGCCACGTGTCAAGCTGTCAACTCTGAAGGGTCGGATGAGAAGAAAGTTCCAGTCAAGATTCTGGGGCCTGGAAGTGCACCAATAGGAATCACACCAACACCAATGCACACTGGATTCGATGTTGCCTGGCAACCACCAAAGATTCCAAATGGAAGAATCAAGGATTATGTCGTTTACTACTCAAAAGACCCAGATGCACCACTTTCAGACTGGGAATCTAGAACTGTTCTAGCTGATACCAGAAATCTCACTATTCATGTGGATGATGAAGATACTCCATATGTTACGAAGGTTCAAGCAAGAACTGACGACGGACCAGGAATCATTTCTGAGGCCTATGAAGTCACTACAGGGAGAAAACGTTAGTTGTAAACTATTCAATTACGCATATAAAATAAATTTTTTCAGAAGTTCCACTTTCTGTCCGCCTCGAAGTCACTGACCCATCAGTTGATCCATCATCCGGAGAAACAGTTGTCGAACCAACTCAACCAATTCACTTCCGATGCATTGCTGATGGTCGTCCAATGCCCAGTGTCTCTTATTCGTGGCTTCCAAGCAACGCATCCGAATCTGGAGACGAACCAGTTCCAATCCCAATTCAAACGGATGAAAATCAACCACACCGCTATAACTCTATCCAGGTTTATTCGACAACTGCAACCAAGAGAGTTTTGTTGTGTCAAGCAAGAAATCCAGATGGAACTGTCGATGATCGTCACGTCTTCATTGTGAACAGTGAGTGCTCAGGTAATGAATTCTGAACACAATCTAAAAACTTTCAGAACCTGGAAGCGCTCCACAAAATGTCGAAGTCATCGTTGACCCTGATAACCGGGTCACGATCACATGGCAACCATCGAAGTATCCAAACGGAGATATCACTGTTAGTTTTTTTTTTAATTCTTCAGTCTCCCATAATAAAATAATTTCAGAAGTACAACGTCTACATCACTGGAGATCCATCTCTTCCTGTTGATCAATGGCAAGTATTCCCAGTCGACGAAGTCACTGATCCAAAACTCGTTCTTCAACGTGGTGCTCTGCAACCAGAGACTCCATATTATGTGAAGATCGCCGCTGTGAATCCGCACGGAGAAGGAATTCATACCGATGCAAAACATTTCGACACTGTCAGTGGTGCTCCGATTGATGCTCCAACCGATGTTCTTCCAAGTGTTTCTATCGATAACACTGTCAATGTCACCTGGTCTCCACCAACTCAACCACTCGGACCAATCAAGAGTTACACTGTCTTCTTTGCTCCAGAATACGATGACAGTGACTACAAGACTTGGCAGCGAATCAGTGTTGATGCTCCAGATGGTGCGGATCACGGAGAAATCACTCTTCCCAAAGAACAATTCAATCCAAACACTCCATACAAGATTAGAGTATCTTCTACAAACGATTTGTCAGAAGGACCTGCTTCTGAACCATTCCGTTTTGAAACTGGAAGTGGAGAGATCCCACCGACAATCACTTTAGAGCCATCCAACTCCACTTACCTTGTCGAACCACTGGGAGCAGTTACAATCACATGTACAGCCAATGGAGTTCCTCAACCGAAGGTTCACTGGATTAAGGAGAACGGAGAGCATGTGGATTCTGCTACTCTCCAACTCTACGACGTCGTCAAGGATTCAAGTGCCACGTGTGTTGCTGAGAATAATGCTGGAAAGACTCAAGAAGCAGTAACAGTCCAAGTTACCGGACCAGGAACTGCTCCAAATGAGATTGTTCTTCTTCCAATGCCAAATCAAGAAATCAATGTTGAATGGACAAGTCCAGATGAGGTCAACGGGCAGATTACAAACTATATTATCCATTATGGAGAGATTGCTGAAGATGGAAGTGAGCCAACTACCTGGGATCAGATCACCATTCCACGTGATGATGTTAACCATAAGTTGGCAAATTTGGAGCCAAAGAAGACTTATGCAGTTCGAGTTCAAGCAGTTAGTGACCGTGGACCGGGAGTTATTTCGGCTCCTCAAGTCATCAAGACTCTTCCATTAGGTAAGATAAATCATTTTTCAAGTTTTTCATTTTCATTTTAAGCTCCACAAGCCATCACGAACCCAATCATTCAAGTTCATCCGAATAACAGTGTCACAATTGAATTCACACCACCGGATGATCCAGAAAATCCAGGAAAGAAGATTAAGGACTTTGTGATTCAATACACTACTGATGAGGAACCAGACGATGAGAGTGAATGGAAGGAATTGAAATTCTCGGACCCAGACGACACCGATGACACCACATTTGTCAATATTGATGGAGAGAACTTCAATCCAGACACCAAATACAACACACGAATCATTGCTCGTGGGGAAATCGATTCCCAACCAAGTGATACAACACTTTTCGCTACTGGAGATGGAGTTATTGCGCCCAGTCAACCGACATTCAACGTGGAAACTGAAGATGGAGTCATCCGAGTTCCAGCTGGAACTGATTATACTATCAAATGTGTTTCAGATGGATATCCAGCACCTGATATCCGATGGGTTGATTCACACGGAAATGTAAGTTTTTTTTGAATTTGTTGAAAGTTGGATTTTTAAATTCGAAATTCCAGCAACTCTCCGATGGTCCACTTCTCCGAATCATTGACATTCGCAAAACGCTCAACGCAAAATGTCTCGCTGAAAACCGCGGAGGACTCAAGGAAACTGACCTGATTGTATTTGTGGCTGGACCTGGGACTGCTCCAGAGAATATTCAATTGACTGCCAACAAGCCAACAACGATTTCTGTACAATACGAAGTTCCATCAATTCCAAACGGAAACATCAGCAAGTACATCATCTACTACACCCCACTCGACGATCAAGATCCGAACCATCAACTTGGGCAAGTTCAGACTAAACCAATCAATGAATGGCTGAATGTTCATGACCTGAATGATGGTGTAGAAGGACCAAGAAAAGTAGATATTAAGGACTTTGTGAATACTGACACCGCCTACGCTGTAGTCGTTCAGGCAATCAATGACGATGGACCAGGACCGTATTCCAATCAATACACAATTAGAACAATGTCAAGAGCTCGTGAAGGTCCGCCAGTTGAACTTCGTGTGGAACCAGATGGTCAAAGATCTGCAGTAGCTCAATGGAAGGAACCAACGACTTCTGATGTTCCACCAATTGGATATGAAATCTATTATGTTAGAGGAGACAAGAGTGTTGAAGAGGATGATTCAGCAGGATTAAATGATTGGATTAAGATTTCAATCGACGATCCATCGAAACTCACACACAAGATTCAGAATCTTCTCCTTCCGGATACCGACTACGTATTCAAGATGCGAGCCATCTATCCCGATGGACCAAGTGTATTCTCTGAACCATGTATCATGAAGACTCTTCCAGATGGAAGTGCTCCATACATTCAGATTTCAACAGGAGACAACGGAGTCGAGGGAAGCACCACCATCAACATTCTTCCAGGATCCCAAATGACAATTGCATGTAACGCCACTGGAGTTCCATTGCCACAAGTCAAATGGATTAAGGCTGGAAACTACGAAATCGATCCGAGTAGAGTGGATGCTGATAAGAATCATGCCCAATTTTCCCTTCAAGTTGGCAATATCACAGAGGATACCACATTCAATTGCGTTGCTCAAAATCCATGGGTCATGCGAACTGGACTATCAATGTCAATTTGATTGAAGGATTGGAACCCAATTGGAGAGACGATTTTGTGACTTCAAAGTCAGATGGAGGACAAATTGTTTTGGTTTTCAACGACGAATTGCCAGAATACTTGAAACCTCCAAACGAATGGACGATTCAATATACAGATGATGCTGAACAACCAAAAGATCAATGGGAAACGATTCCATCAGGTGGAGCTCCACTTACGAGAGTCGAAGTTCTAAATATGAATCCAGGAACCTATTATTATTTAGTTGTAGACAATCCAGAGAAAGGAATTCAGACTCCAACTTTGGTTGTTATGACACCAAGTGAGTTTCAAAACAAAATCTTCATCAGACCTAAACCTAAAAGCCTAAACTTCTTGCAGAGCCACCATCTGACATTCGCTTCGGAAAGAACAACGATGATGAGCAAGTGGTTGACTTCAAGCCAGCTATCACTTCTGAACCAGTCAAGGAATATACTATCAGCGTTTGGCCATCTAGCGATCCGACCAATGTGAAGAAGTTCACAACTCCAGCCGACGTGACCAGTGGAGTAGTTGTAGATGGTCTGGACCCAGATACAGAGTACAATATACAGGTGGCAGCAGAATTTTTCGAGGGAGAAGAGATTGCCAGTGAGCCGATCACTGTGAAAACTCCACCAAGAGATGTCTCCTGTGAATGTGAGCATGCATGCACCTTCGAACTCAATGAGGATGATGGTACTTTGGAACCAAAATGCTATTGTCACGATGGATTCCATCTAACATCTGATGGAAAGGGATGTGAGAGAGATGAGGAGGATGACGCCACGTCACAAGCTGTGCTTCAAGTGACACCTCCATCCATCACTACAAAAGTGGCACCAGAAGAACTGCCAACTGGAGAACCCGAAACAACTTCAGGAACAATTTCGCCGATTGTAGGACCAGATGGAAAACCGCTTCCAGTTGATAATAAGGGAAGACCCATTGATAGTGCTGGTAAACGAATTGAAATATATGAAAATGGAGATCCAGTGGCTCCAGATGGAACGACTTTGGAGAAGAATGACAAGGGAGAATGGATTTATCCATTAGTTGATAAAAATGGAAAACCACTTCCAGTTGATGAGAACAATAAGCCAATTATTACTGCTGTCGATGAGAAAGGAGATCCATTGATTGAATCAGAAGACGGTGCATTTGTCACTTCCGATGGAAAGCCAGTTGAAGTTGATATTCTCGGAAGACCATTAGATAAAGATGGAAATCCATACAAAACAAATGAGAATGGACAGTTCGTAGTTGCTGATGTGGATGGAGCGGATATGGAAGAAGAAGATGACGAGAAACCACCAGTTATTCCATTTTATATCATTGAAGTAGACGATGACGGAAAGTATTTGGATGAGGAAGGAAACGAACTTCCATTGAATGAAGATGGAGAACCAGTGGATGAGGATGGCAACAAACTTGAAAAGAATGGAGAGGGCAAATATGTAAAACCAAAGAAAGCAGAAGATACACCACAGCCAACCAAGATCACAATTGTGTCTCCTGATGGTACTCCATTGCCAACTGATGCCAATGGATCGCCAATTGGATTAGATGGACATCCTATTCCAACTGATTCAAGTGGAAGACCATTAGCTAAGGATGGATCTCCACTCCCAACTGACAATCAAGGAAACTACGTTATCCTCCCAGCATCAAGAGATGAAGACCAAGCCCCAGCAACTGATGAAGCTGGAAGAGTCATCTACCCAATTTTACTACCGGATGGAACGTTATTGGCAACTGATTCCAGTGGAAATTATGTCAATAGACATGGCGATATTGTCGAGAAAGATGATGATGGAACTCCAATGGGACCTGATGGACAGGTACTACCCACTGATGCTTCTGGAAACTATGTCTACCCAGTAACTGGTCCAAATGGAGAGGTTCTTCCAACTGATTCAAACGGAAAGCCGATTTATCCAGTTCGTGGACCAGATGGAACACCATTACCAACTGATGCTTCTGGAGCTATCATTGGACCAGACGGAGAACCAATTCCAACTGATGCCAGTGGAAAACCACTTTCCAAGGATGGATCTCCACTCCCCGTAGACAACCGAGGAAACTATGTCGTTCTTTCAACTGAGAGCGACGTGACAAAAACTCTTCCGACTGATGAGGCTGGTATGCCAGTTCATCCAATCGTGAAACCAGATGGAACTCTTCTTGCAACTGATTCCTCCAATAACTTTATAACTGAAAATGGGGACATCATTGAAAAAGATGAGGAAGGAAGACCGCTTGGACCAGATGGGCAGGTGATTCAAAACCTCTCGAATGTTTTTTTTTTAGTTTGAAATTTTCTTAATTTTAGATTCTTCCCACTGATGCAACTGGAAATTACATCTATCCAGCAGATGGACCAGATGGACAAGTCTTACCAACTGATTCTACAGGAAAAACTGTTTATCCAGTTCGTGGACCTGATGGAACCCCACTCCCAACTGATGCCTCTGGAGCTGTTGTTGGACCAGATGGAGAGCCAATTTCTACTGATTCTAGTGGAATTCCCCTTGACAAAGACGGCTCACCACTTCCAACGGACGCATCTGGAAATTACGTTCTCATACCCACTGATGAACCTGTGACCAAGAGTTATCCAACTGATGATTCTGGAGTTACAGTATACCCAATTGTTAAACCAGACGGAACTCCTTTTGAAACCGATTCTACTGGTGTATTCGTGACCGATGATGGACAGGCAATCGAGAAGGATAGTGATGGAAAACCTCTCGGACCAGACGGACAGGTACGTTGTTGTGGTTTCTTTATAACTGATTCTGGTGATTTGTTCATGTTAAAATTGTTCAGGTTCTCCCCACGGATGCATCTGGAAACTACATCTACCCAAGTATTGGACCAGATGAACAGCCTGTGCCCACTGATTCACTTGAAAAAAGTGTGCATACAGTTCGCGGACCAGATGGAACCCCACTACCTACAGATGCTTCTGGAGCTGTAATTGGGCCAGATGGAGAAGCAATTCCAACTGATGGGGAAGGTGCACCATTGAACAAAGATGGATCCCAACTCCCTACAGATAATAACGGAAATTACGTTCTTGTTCCAATCGGAGAAGATGATTTCAAGACTGTGCCAACCGATGAATCAGGAAATGTCATCTATCCAATCGTCAAACCAGACGGAACTCTTCTATCTACTGATTCCACAGGAAATTATCTCACTGATGCTGGAGAGGTTGTTGAAAAAGATGACAATGGTAAACCATTAGGACCAGATGGTTCAGTTCTTCCAACCGATGCTTCTGGTAATTACGTCTATCCAGCTGCATCTGAGAGTCAAGTTTTCCCAACCGATGCTTATGGAAAACCAATTCCAACGATTATTGGGCCCGATGGAACCCTATTACCAACAGACGGGCTTGGATCTGTTGTTGGACCAGATGGTGTACCAATTATTACTGATCAAACTGGAACTCCACTTGATAAGGATGGTGCTCCACTTCCAACAGATGATTCTGGAAACTACGTTTTCATTACAACTCAACACCCGACTGATGAGGTTGTTACACCAATCACAAAGCCAGATGGAACTCCATTGGCTACAGACTCTATTGGAAACTATGTGAACGACAACGGAGATATCATTGAGAAGGATAATGAAGGAAGACCACTTGGACCGGATGGAACTGTTTTGCCAACTGATGATTCTGGAAACTATATATATCCAGCAACAACAATCGATGGTGAACTTCTGCCTACCGATTCGGCTGGAAAGACAATTTATCCAGTCAGAGGACCCGATGGAACACCTCTTCCTACTGATGCTTCAGGTATACCCGTTCGTCCGGATGGTGAGCCGATTCCAACAGACGAGAATGGAACACCTTTAGCTAAAGACGGTTCACCACTCCCAACTGATAATAATGGAAACTACATCTACGTGCCGGATGACGTCGAAACCAAAGAACTGCCAACGGAAGAAGTTGATCATGTAGTTCATCCAATCGTTAACCCTGATGGTACCCCACTTGGAACTGATTCCAGCGGAAATGATGTGACATTCACTGGAGAGGTGATTCAAAAAGATGATGATGGGAAGCCGCTTGGCCCAGACGGATCCGTACTCCCAACCGACGATTCTGGAAACTATATCTATGCAGTTGTTGGACCTGATGGACAAGTATTGGCCACCGACGATTCTGGAAAACCAATCTATCCAGTCCGTGGTCCAGATGGAACCCCACTTCCAACTGATGCTTCCGGTGCCGTCATTGGACCAGATGGAGAGCCAGTACCAACCGATGCCAGTGGCAAACCACTTTCCAAAGACGGTTCCCCTCTTCCAACTGATGCTTCTGGAAACTATGTTCTCATCCCAACTGAGGAAGACACCACCAAAACTCTTCCAACTGATGAGGCTGGTTTGGTTATTTACCCAATCGTAAACCCTGATGGAACCCCGCTTGCAACTGATTCGACTGGAGCGTTTGTGACACAAGATGGAAGTACCATTGACAAAGATGAAGATGGTAAACCACTTGGACCAGATGGTTCAGTTCTTCCTACTGATAACTCTGGAAACTACATCTATCCAGTGATTGGACCAGACGGGCAACCTCTTCCAACGGATTCTTCTGGAAATCCAATTTATCCAGTACGTGGACCTGATGGAACCCCTCTTCCAACCGATTCCAAAGGAAACGTCATTGGACCTGACGGGGAACCAATCCCAACTGATGCAAGTGGAAAACCAGTTGCTAAGGATGGATCACCGCTTCCAACTGACAACCAAGGTAACTACGTTCTTGTTCCAACAGTGGGAGAAGTCACTAAAGCCTTACCAACAGACGATGCCGGAAACGTTATCTACCCTATTGTCATGCCAGATGGAACACTTCTTACCACTGATTCCACTGGAGAGTATGTCACGGATAACGGACAAATCATTGAGAAAGATGATGAAGGGAAGCCACTTGGACCAGATGGACAGGTGAGTGAAACCCTCTTGAATGTATTTTTTGTATGAAATTTTCTTAATTTTAGATTCTTCCCACTGATGCAACTGGAAATTACATCTATCCAGCAGATGGACCAGATGGACAAGTCTTACCAACTGATTCTACAGGAAAAACTGTTTATCCAGTTCGTGGACCTGATGGAACCCCACTCCCAACTGATGCCTTTGGAGCTGTTGTTGGACCAGATGGAGAGCCAATTTCTACTGATGCTAGTGGAATTCCCCTTGACAAAGACGGCTCACCACTTCCAACGGACGCATCTGGAAATTACGTTCTCATCCCCACTGATGAAACTGTGACCAAGAGCTACGCAACTGATGATTCTGGAGTTACAGTATATCCAATTGTCAAACCAGACGGAACTCCGCTTGCAACCGATTCTACTGGTGCATTCGTGACCGATGATGGGAAGACAATTGAGAAAGACAGTGATGGAAAACCTCTCGGACCAGATGGACAGGTAATGAGTTTAAAGACTGTTTTCTATCTAAGACACTTATCTAGGGCAAAATCTATCAAAGGCTCTATCTTATCTAAGGCTCTATCTAAGGCACTAAGGCAATCAAACGTATCATACCGAAAGACTACAAAAAGGTCACATTGCAGAATCTTCCAACTGATGATATCGGAAATTACATCTACCCAGCTGTTGGCCCAGATGGACAAGTATTGCCGACTGATGCTTCTGGAAAACCAATCTACTCTGTACGTGGATCAGATGGAACTCCACTTCCAACTGATTCCGAAGGAAACGTCGGACCTGATGGAGAACCAATTCCAACAGATGCCAGTGGTAAACCACTTTCCAAAGACGGGTCCACACTTCCAACTGATGCTTCTGGAAACTATGTGCTTATCCCAACTGAGGAAGAAACCACCAAAGCTCTTCCAACTGACAGTGTTGGTAATGTTATTTATCCAATCATCAAGCCAGACGGAACACCACTTGCTACAGATAGTTATGGGTCTCATGTAACCGATGAAGGTCATGTAATTGAGAAGGATGACGAAGGTAACCCGGTCGGACCTGATGGGTCCGTACTTCCAACTGACGAGTCAGGCAACTATATCTACCCAGCTGTTGGTCCTGATGGGCAAGTATTAGCCACTGATTCGACTGGAAAGACTGTTTATCCAGTTCGTGGTCCAGACGATACCCCACTTCCAACTGACGCTTCTGGAGCTGTTATTGGACCAGACGGAGAACCAATTCCAACTGATGCCAGTGGTAAACCACTTTCCAAGGATGGATCTCCACTTCCAACTGACAATCAAGGAAATTATGTTTTTGTTCCATCAGATGAGGACACAACTAAAGTTCTCCCAACTGATGATTCTGGAAATACCATTTTCCCAATCGTGAAACCAGACGGAACTCCACTCAGCACAGATTCCACTGGAAACTTCATAACTGAAAACGGGGAAATCATTGAACGGGATGACAACGGAAAACCAATGGGACCTGATGGACAAGTTCTTGCAACTGATGATTCTGGAAACTACGTCTATCCTGAAAGTGGAACTGTTGAGCAAGTGCTTCCTACAGATGTTTCACGAAAACCAGTTCATCAAGTCATTGGACCAGATGGATTTCCACTTCCAACTGATTCAGCTGGAAACGTCATCGGACTGGATGGAGAACCAATCCCAACTGACTCTGATGGTGTTCCACTGTCTAATATTGGACTTCCTCTTCCAACAAACAGCGATGGAGAGTACATCACTTTGCCATCTGATTCTGGAGAGACGAAGGCAAAACCAATGGACGATGAAGAGAACGACGTGTATCCAATCACAACAGCCGATGGAACTCCACTTGCAACAGACTCTACTGGATCATTTGTTACTGATGATGGAAAGATTGTCGAGAAAGATGACGATGGAAAGCCAATCGGACCAGATGGACAGGTATATATTAAATATCTTGTTAAACATTTTATCAGTAGGTTGAACAGATTTATTCTAGATTATAGATTCAAACAAAATTCAAATTACCCATTCTAAAATCAAAAGTTTAAGCTGTCGTTCATATAATAGTTATTCAAAAATAATAAACTATTTAGAAATAGCTAAATTATAAAAATTGAAGGTACTTCCCACTGACGACTCTGGAAACTACGTGTATCCAGCTGTCAGACCAGATGGACAAGTATTGGCCACTGACGATTCTGGAAAATCAATCTATCCAATCCTCGGACCTGATGGAACTCCACTCCCAACTGACGCTTCCGGAGCAGCTATTGGACCAGATGGAGAGGTGATTCCAACCGATGCCAGTGGCAAACCACTTTCCAAAGACGGTTCTTCTCTTCCAACTGATGCTTCTGGAAACTATGTTCTTATCCCAACTGAGGAAGACACCACCAAGGCTCTTCCAACAGATGAGGCTGGTTTGGTTATTTACCCAATCGTAAACCCTGATGGAACCCCGCTTGCAACTGATTCGACTGGAGCGTTTGTGACACAAGATGGAAGTACCATTGACAAAGATGAAGATGGTAAACCACTTGGACCAGATGGTTCAGTTCTTCCTACTGATAACTCTGGAAACTACATCTATCCAGTGATTGGACCAGACGGGCAACCTCTTCCAACGGATGCTTCTGGAAATCAAATTTATCCAGTACGTGGTCCTGATGGAACCCCTCTTCCAACCGATTCCGATGGAAATGTCATTGGACCTGATGGGGAACCAATCTCAACTGATGCAAGTGGAAAACCACTCGCTAAGGATGGATCACCGCTTCCAACGGACAACAATGGACACTACATTCTCGTTCCAACAGGAGACGATACAACAAAGGCTCTTCCAACGGATTCTGAAGGAAATGTGGTCTACCCGATCACGAAACCAGATGGAACTCCACTTGGTACCGACTCAACTGGAAAGTTCATCACTGAGGAAGGACAAGTTGTAGAAATCGATGAAGAAGGAAAACCAGTTGGCCCTGATGGAGCAGTCCTCCCAACGGATGCTTCTGGAAATTACATCTATCCAGCTGTCGGACCAGATGGACAAGTCTTACCAACTGATTCTACTGGAAAGACTGTTTATCCAGTTCGTGGACCTGATGGAACCCCACTACCAACTGATGCTTCTGGAGTTGTTATTGGACCAGACGGAGAACCAATCGTAACCGATTCTAGTGGAATTCCACTCGACAAAGATGGTGCTCCACTTCCAACTGATGCATCTGGAAACTACGTTCTTGTTCCAGCTGGAGAAGAAGTCACTCAAGCTCTTCCAATTGATGTTTCTGAAGTTGTCATCTCTCCGATTATTATGCCAGATGGAACACTTCTTGGAACTGATTCTACTGGGGCTTATGTAACCAACGATGGCCAAATTATCGAAAAAGATGATGAAGGTAAACCAATTGGACCAGACGGAAAGGTTGGTTGATTTCTTACGATTGGCAGGAAAATTTAAAATTTCAGGTTCTTCCAACTGATGCGTCAGGTAACTTTATCTATCCAGTTGTTGGACCAGACGGACAAGTCCTACCAACCGATGCTTCTGGAAAACCAGTTCATCCAGTTCGAGGACCGGATGAAACACCACTCCCAACAGATTCCGAAGGAAACGTCATCGGACCAAATGGAGAGCCAATCCCAACTGATGCAAGTGGAAAACCACTCTCCAAGGATGGATCTCCTCTCCCAACTGATAACAATGGGAACTACATTCTTGTACCATCAGATGAAGAAGTTACCAAAGCATTGCCAACGGATGACTCTGGAAACGTTATCTATCCGATAACCAAACCAAACGGATCTCCACTCCCAACTGACACCAATGGCGTATTTGTAACCGAGAATGGCGATGTTATTGAAAAAGATGAGGACGGAAAGCCACTTGGACCAGATGGAGAAGTTCTACCAACGGACGCCTCCGGAAATTACATCTATCCAGAAAATGGACCAGATGGACAACCGTTACCAACAGACTCTGAAGGCCAAAATGTAGAGCCTGAAAGCCCTAGTTCTAGTCCAGATAGTCAGATGTTGCCAACCGATGCTTCTGGAAAGACTATATATCCAGTGCATGGACCAGATGGACTTCCACTACCTACTGATGAGAGCGGAGCAGCTATCCGCCCAGATGGAGAGCTGATTCCAACTGATGAAAGTGGAACACCGCTTGCTGATGATGGTTCCCCATTACCTACGGATGACGCCGGTCACTTTATATTTGTTCCAAGCCCTGAAATTGCTACTACCCCTGAGGATGCTGGACCGTCTTATATCATCCGCCCAGTTGTCAGACCAGACGGAACTCCACTCTCAACTGATTCTACCGGAACTTATATCACAGACGATGGAGAAGTGATTGAGCGAGATGACGAAAGAAAACCATTAGGACCAGATGGATCAGTTCTTCCGACTGATGATGAAGGAAATTATATCTTTGTTACTTCCGAACAACCAACTGAGGAAACTGCCCTCGTCGCAACGCATACTCCAATCACTAAGCCTGATGGAACAATTTTGGGAACCGACTCTAGCGGACATTTCCTGACTGAAAATGGAGATATTATTGCGAACGACAATCAAGGTAGACCAATTGATATCGACGGACAAGTTCTACCAACAGATGCTTCTGGAAACTACGTCTATGCTGAGAAAACAACACAAGGAGACACCGTTTTCATTCCGACTGAAGTCGTTCCAATTGCACATGAAGAACCAAACTGTGACAAAGTCGATGGACGTGTTGAAACTCTTCTCTTAGTTGTCGAGAGCTCTCACACAAGTGCTCCATATCTGGATACTCTCAAGAAACTCATCAAGAATCTTTTGCTCACAACTCCAAGGGAGTTCCTTCCGAAAATTGGAACGATTATTTACAGTGGCTCTAGTGAGATCACAGTTGATATCGGAGATTACGCAGACTTCAAAGAACTTTATGATTCTACGAATGAGATTCGAGAAATCTCAGGAACTCCGGATATGACGAACGCGTTGTTTACGGCAAGAAATGTTCTTAGTGGAATCAATAGAGGAGAAACAGTGGTTATTCATTTTTCGGCATCCCCAATGAGGTAAGCATCGCAAAAAGTAGGAGTTCATGATTAATCTTTTTCAGAACAAGCAGTAAAGCGAATACGGACAGACTACGTGCTCTTCCGAAAACTCGCCTTGTTCATTTGGATGAACAACAATGGGCAAATGATCCAAACGCTGTGGATTTATTGAGAAGCTATCTCTGTATCCCAACTGATGGTGAGTTTTCAGACTCGAAATTCTCGATGAAGCTACTTTTTTTTTCAGTTCCAAGCCCATCAATGCTCCCAACGGATGCTAGCGGAAATCTAATTGATGTTTCAACTGAGGCACCAGTTACAGATGGACCACCAACGGATGCAGCTGGATTTGTGATCTACCCGATCGTCAGACCTGATGGTACTCCACTTGCAACCGATTCAACCGGTGTCTTCGTTACTGACGATGGAACTGTTATTGAGAAAGATGATGAAGGAAAACCGATCGGACCAGATGGAGAAGTTCTTCCAACAGATGCTTCCGGAAACTACATTTATCCAATTATTGGACCTGATGGACAGCCACTGCCAACTGACTCAAATGGTAATCCGATCTACCCAGTTCGTGGTCCAGGCGGTACTCCACTACCAACTGATGCTTCCGGAGCTGTGATTGGACCAGATGGAGAGCCAATTCCCACAGATTCCAGTGGAAAACCACTCGCAAAGGATGGATCTCCCCTTCCAGTAGACAATCAAGGAAACTATGTTCTAATCGCTACCGAAGAAACTGTTAGAGAAAGTTATGCAACGGATGAAACCGGAAATGTGATTTATCCAATTATCAATGCTGATGGATCCCCAGTGCCAACAGATTCTGAAGGAAACTATATTACTGCTTCTGGAGAAGTCATTGAAAGAAATGAAGAAGGAAAACCATTGGGACCAGACGGATCAGTTCTTCCTACAGATGCTTCTGGAAACTTCGTCCATCCAGCAGATTCTGAGGAATCAGCTACTGAAACTCCAATTATCACTCATGGACCAGATGGACAAGTAAGTTTTTTTGTGATGACAGTTTCAATTTCTGTTTTTTTAAAGGTTCTACCAACTGATGCTTCTGGAAAGCCAATATATCCAGTTCGTGGACCGGACGGAACCCCACTACCAACAGATGCTTCTGGAGCTGTTATTGGACCAGACGGAGAACCAATCGTAACCGATTCCAGTGGAATTCCACTCGACAAAGGTGGTGCTCCACTTCCAACTGACGCATCTGGCAATTATGTTCTTGTTCCAACTGAAGATACTACAAAAACGGCCCCGACTAATTCTGAAGGAAATGTTGTTTATCCAATTACTAAACCAGATGGTACCTCGCTTGGAACTGATTCAACTGGATCATTCGTTACGGATGACGGTCAGACAATTGAGAGAGATGAAGATGGTAAACCACTGGGCCCAGATGGCCAAGTTCTTCCAACAGACAACTCTGGCAACTACATCTATCCTAGCACCACACCAAATGAGCAAACACTCCCAACGGAAGGTGCATTCACTCACTATGAAGTCCGTGGTCCTGACGGAACACCTCTTCCAACTGATGAATCTGGAAACGTCCTTGATCTGGATGGAGAACGTATTCCAACAGATTCCACGAGTGGCATTCCACTTTCCAAAGATGGATCTCCTCTACCACCCGACAATGATGGTAAATATATTCTTGTCCCAACAGAAGAGACCATTAGGAAGATTCTGCCAACGGATGAAACTAAGGAAGAAACAGTTTATCCAGTTGTACAACCGGATGGAACTCCTATGGGAACTGATTCAACTGGAAACTATGTGACTACTACCGGAGAAATTATTGAAAAAGATGGTGAAGGAAAACCACTTGGTCCAGATGGATCAGTTCTTCCAACCGACGGATCTGGTAATTACATCTATCCAGCAATTGGGCCAGACGGTGAACCATTGGCCACTGATGCATCTGGAAAAACCGTGTATCCGGTACATGGATCAGATGGAAGTCCGCTTCCAACTGATGCTTCCGGTGCCGTCATTGGACCAGATGGAGAGCCAATTCCAACAGATGCGAGTGGAAAACCATTGGCTAAAGATGGATCCCCACTTCCAACTGATGCTTCTGGAAACTATGTTCTTATTCCATCAGATGAAGAAACTACCAAAGCTCTTCCAACTGATGATTCTGGAAACGTTATCTATCCAATCACTAGGCCAGATGGAACTCTATTAGGAACAGATTCATCAGGAAACTTTGTAGCAGATGATGGTCAGATTGTGGAACGAGACGAGAGTGGAAAGCCGATGGGTCCAGATGGACAGGTATGTCATTTTTAACACTTTGAACATAATACTCCTATAACTCATAACTATTTTCAGGTTCTTCCCACTGACGACTCCGGAAACTACATCTATCCAGCAGTCGGACCAGACGGTCAAACATTAGCCAATGTTTCTACTATTCAACATGTGTATTCAGTGCATGGATCAGATGGATCTCCACTCCCAACTGATGCTTCTGGAGCTGTAATTGGACCAGACGGAGAACCAATTTCTACGGATGCTAGTGGAATTCCACTTGACAAAGACGGCTCACCACTTCCAACTGATGCATCTGGAAACTACATTCTTGTTCCAGCCGGAGAAGATGTTGTGAAAACTCCACCAACCGATGGAAATGGAGTGATTATCTATCCGATTGTGCAACCTGACGGAACCCCACTCAAAACTAATTCAGACGGAAACTATGTTACTGCTACTGGAGATGTGATTGAGAGAGACGAAGAAGGCAAACCACTTGGACCAGATGGATCACTACTACCTACAGACGATTCTGGAAATTATATATATCCAGCTGTCGGACCAGATGGACAACCTTTGGCAACTGATTCCACTGGAAAAACAGTTTATCCAGTTCGTGGTCCAGACGGTACCCCACTTCCAACTGACGCTTCTGGAGCTGTCATTGGACGAGATGGAAAACCAATTCCAACCGACGCCGATGGCAAGCCATTGGGTAAGGACGGATCCCCATTGCCAACCGATAACCAAGGAAACTATGTGCTTGTTCCAACTGATGAAGACACGATTGAAACTCTCCCAACGGATGAGTCAGGAAACGTTATCTATCCGATTACCAAGCCAGATGGAACTCCTCTTGGAACCGATTCCACTGGTAAACTTGTCACCGATGACGGACAAGTTGTAGAAATCGATGATGAAGGAAAGCCTGTTGGCCCCGATGGAGCTGTCCTTCCTACTGACGCTGCCGGAAATTACATCTATCCGTTTGTTGGACCAGACGGGCAAGTCTTGCCAACCGATGCTTCTGGAAAACCAGTTTATCCAGTTCGAGGACCAGATGGAACACCACTCCCAACTGATTCCGAAGGAAACGTCATTGGACCAGATGGAGAGCCGATCCCAACAGATGCTAGTGGAAAACCACTTTCCAAGGACGGATCCCCACTTCCAACTGATGACAATGGAAACTATGTTCTTGTTCCAACTGGAGGAGATGTTACCGAATCTCTTCCAACTGATGACAGTGGAAACGTTATCTACCCGATCACCAGACCAGATGGAACACCACTAGCGACCGATTCTTCAGGAAACTTCATAGCTGATGATGGTCAGATTGTTGAAAAAGATGAGAGCGGAAAACCAATGGATCCAGATGGACAAGTAAGCGTTCTTTGTTTCAAATTAAGTTAAATTCATCACGTCCTGTTTCAGGTACTTCCTACTGATTCATCCGGCGCATACATCTACCCACAAATCCTGACGGACGAAGCAAGCACTCTGAAACCATCCTATCCAGTGCACGGATCCGATGGAACTCCACTCACAACTGATGCTTATGGAGCTGTTATTGGACCAGATGGAGAACCGATTCCAACTGATGCTAGCGGAATTCCACTTGACAGAGATGGATCTCCATTACCAACGGATGACGAAGGAAATTATATTTATGTTGCAACTGATATTCCAACCGAAGAAACAACTGACAGCCCAATAGTAATCACTAGACCAGATGGAACTCCACTTGGAACTGATTCAACTGGAAACTTCATTACCGAAAACGCCGATATCATTGAAAAGGATGATGAGGGAAAACCAATTGGACCAGATGGACAGGTAAAGGGTTTTGAACGATTTGTTTGTACTGCTTTCGAACGATAGTGGAAAATAGATGATTATACAGCTTTATTTTTAAACACTATCAAAACTCTGTTATTTCATTATAGATAATCAGCGTTATAATTTTTCAGGTGCTTTCCACGGATTCAACTGGAAACTACATCTATCCAGTGATTGGACCAGACGGACAAGTATTGCCAACCGATTCTACTGGAAAGACTGTCTATCCAGTTCGTGGTCCTGACGGTACCACACTTCCAACTGACGCTTCTGGTGCTGTAATTGGACCAGATGGAGAACCAATTCCAACCGATGCCAGTGGCAAACCACTTTCCCAGGATGGATTCCCATTGCCAACTGATAACCAAGGAAATTATGTTCTTGTTCCAACTGGAGAAGATGTTACCAAATCTCTTCCAACTGATGATTCTGGAAACGTTATCTATCCAATCACTAGACCAGATGGAACTCCACTTGGAACTGATGCTTCAGGAAACTATGTTACCGATGAAGGAGAGACCATCGACAAGAATGAGGATGGCAAATCAATTGGACCAGATGGACAGGTAACAATTTCATCTCATATGTGCATATGATTTATTTATTTTCTAGATTCTGCCGACTGACGCCACAGGAAACTACATTTATCCAGTTGTTGGGCCAGACGGACAAGTCCTACCAACCGATGCTTCTGGAAAACCTATGTATCCAGTTCGTGGATCAGATGGAACTCCTCTCCCTACAGATTCAGACGGTAATGTAATTGGACTTGACGGAGAGGCGATTGCTACTGATTCGAGCGGAAAGCCTCTTTCTAAGGATGGATCCCCACTTCCAACTGACACTTCTGGAAACTATGTTCTTGTTCCCACTGATGAAGAAACCATCAAGACTTTGCCAACTGATGATTCTGGTAATGTCATACATCCGGTGACTAGACCTGATGGCACGCCATTGGGAACGGACTCTACTGGAGTATTCGTTACTGATGATGGACAGGTGGTAGAGAAAGATGAGGATGGAAAACCAATTGGCCCAGATGGATCTGTACTACCAACCGATGACTCAGGAAACTACATCTATCCAGCTGTTGACCCAGATGGACAAGTATTGCCAACCGATGCCTCTAGAAAACCAATCTACCCTGTACATGGAGCAGATGGAACTCCACTTCCAACTGATTCCGACGGAAACGTTATCGGACCTGACGGAGAACCAATTCCAACGGATGCCAGCGGCAAACCACTCGCCAAAGATGGATCTTCACTTCCAACTGATGCATCTGGAAACTTTGTTCTTGTTCCATCCGATGAAGTTACGACTAAAGTCCTCCCTACAGATTCTGAAGGAGCTGAAGTATACCCAGTAATCAATCCAGACGGTACTCCGCTTGCCACTGACTCGACAGGAAAGTTTGTTACTGAAGATGGGCAAATCATTGAAACGGACGAAGAAGGAAAACCAGTTGGACCCGACGGCCAAGTTCTCCCAACTGATGCTTCAGGAAACTACATCTATCCAGTTGTTGGACCAGATGGACAAGTATTGCCAACTGATTCCAATGGAAACCCTATTTATCCCGTATTTGGTCCAGATGGAACCCCACTATTAACTGATGCTACTGGCGCTGTCATCGGACCAGATGGAGAACCAATTCCAACCGATGAGAGTGGAAAGCCACTTTCCAAGGATGGGTCCCCATTGCCAACTGACAACAACGGTAACTACGTTCTTGTTCCGACAGGAGAGGATACAACAAAGGATCTCCCAACTGATTCTGCAGGAAATGTGGTCTACCCAATCACGAAACCAGATGGAACTTCACTTGGAACTGACTCAACTGGTAAGTTCATCACTGAGGAAGGACAAGTTGTGGAAATCGATGACGAAGGAAAACCAGTTGGTCCTGATGGAGCAGTTCTCCCAACGGATGCTTCTGGAAACTATATTTATCCAGCTGTCGGACCAGATGGACAAGGCTTACCAACTGATTCTACTGGAAAGACTGTTTATCCAGTTCATGGACCTGATGGAACTCCTCTTCCGGCTGATGGCTCTGGAGCTGTCATTGGACCAGACGGCGAACCAATTTCTACTGATGCCAGTGGAGTCCCCCTTGATAAAGATGGATCTCCACTTCCAACCGACAATCAAGGCAATTATGTTATTCTGCCTTCTGATGATAAGAAAGGACCAACTAAATGTGATATTGCTCATTCTTTATCTGATGTCATCTTTGTTCTTGTCAATGATGGTGACGGCTCGCAAAACTATGAACAATTCCGAAAGACGGTTGTTGGATTCTCGAAAAAGGTCGACATGTCTCCAGATGTTGTTCGTCTGGCTGTTCTCTCTGTCGGCAGTGAAATCGCTGTTCCACTTCCACTTGGAGGATATCAAGAGAAGGAACATCTCAACTCGATTTTAGCTTCATTCCAGCTTCCACCAACCATTGGAACCGAAATTCTTTCACCAGTCGAAGCTGCCAACCAGCAATTCTCCAGCTTCCCAAGAACAGGAATCTCCAAAATGGTTGTTATTTTTGCCGATAACGAAGAAAGGTAAGCTTTGTAACAGAAGCAAAAGTTATTGAAGTTATCACGATCCATTTTTTCAGAACAACACAAATCGGAGGAGCGACATACGTCACAGTCAAGTATGGAACAACCCCAAAAGAAATCATTGGCACATTGACTGAAGCTTGCCAGAAAGGAACTGTTGATATTGTTCCAGATGACACAAAACAAGTAATTGACAATACAGTTCATTCGACTTCATCCACTCCTGTGATTGTTGATCAAAGTGGAAAACCGCTTCCAACAGATGCAACTGGAAACTATTTGGATAATAACGGAAATCCGATCGTTATTGAAAGTAATGAACCAACTGGACCAGAAGATCAGAAGTTGAGTAAGAACGAAAAAGGAGAATGGATTTATCCATTGGTTGATAAGTCTGGAAAACCAATTGCTACTGATGAAAATGATAAGCCAGTGATTACTGTAATTGACAACGATGGAAATGAATTATCAAAGAATGATGATGGAAATTGGATCGATTTATCTGGAAATGAAATTGATACAGATGAACTTGGAAGACCATTGGATTCAGAAGGAAAACCATATGAATTTGATAATGATGGACGTGTTGTTATTGTTCCGGAAGTAGAAGAAGATGCAACTCCAGCTATTCCATTTATTATTGTTGATGGAGAACCAATTAATGAAATTGATGGACAATACACTGATAGTGATGGAAATGTCATTGAAACGAATTCTGATGGATTACCAATTGATGAGAATGGACAAGTACTTCCAAAGAACCAAGATGGAGAGTATGTGAAGCCAAAGACTGTTGGAACTACACAAGCATCAATTGTATCTCCTGATGGAACTCCACTTCCAACTGATGCTTCTGGATCTGTTATCGGATTAGATGGAGCACCAATTCTAACAGATTCTAGTGGAAAACCATTGGCTAAAGATGGATCTCCACTTCCAACTGATAATCAAGGACGTTATGTTCTTGTTCCAGCATCTAAAGACACCTTCGATAGTACATTGCCGACAGATTCAGCAGGAAATGTTATCCACCCTGTTGTCAATCCAGATGGAACACTTTTGTCTACCGACTCATCCGGAAACTTCATTACCCAAACTGGTGATATCATTGAGAGAGATGATGAAGGAAAACCAGTGGGGCCAGATGGTTCAGCTCTTCCAACAGATGCTTCAGGAAACTACATCTATCCAGTTGTTGGACCGGATGGACAAGTTTTACCAACTGATTCCAATGGAAACCCTATTTATCCCGTATTCGGACCAGACGGAACCCCACTAACCACCGATGCTTCAGGAGTTGTGATCGGTCCTGATGGAGAGCCAGTACCAACTGATTCGAGTGGAAAACCATTGGCCAAAGATGGATCACCACTTCCCAAAGATGCTTCTGGTAATTACGTTCTTGTTTCAACTGATGAAGATACCACCAAAGCACTACCAACTGATGAGGCAGGAAATCTTATCTACCCGATCACGCGACCAGATGGATCACTTTTCGGAACCGACTCGACTAGTGAACACATCACAGACGATGGACAATTAATCGAAAAAGACGAAGATGGAAAACCAATTGGTCCTGATGGATCAGTTCTTCCAACTGATGCTTCAGGAAACTACGTGTATCCAGCTGTTGGGTCAGACGGCCGAGTGTTGCCAACCGACGCTTCTGGCAAGCCAATCTATCCAGTTCGTGGACCCGATGGAAGCCCACTTCCAACTGGCGCTTCCGGAGCTGCAATTGGACCAGATGGAGAACCAATCCAAACGGATGCCAACGGAAAACCATTGGCTAAAGACGGATCTCCCCTGCCAACTGATGTCTCTGGAAATTTTGTTATTGTGTCATCAGATGAAGTTTTAACAAAGAGTGCACCAACTGATTCTGAAGGAAATGTCATTTATCCAATCACTAATCTAGATGGAACTCCACTTGGAACTGATTCTTCGGGTGCTTTCGTCACTCAAGATGGAACTGTAATTGAGAAGAATGAAGATGGAAAACCAGTCGGACCAGATGGACAAGTAAGTGACTACACTTTTTCGATTATAGAGGTATGCATTGAATTAGACTCAGAAATTATTTCTAAAATAATATGCATGAAAGTTTTAGGTTCTGCCAACTGACGATTCCGGAAATTATATCTATCCGGCTATTGGACCAGATGGACAAGTTTTGGCAACCGACGCTTCTGGCAAACCGATCTATCCAGTGCGTGGACCAGACGGTACCCCACTTCCAACTGATGCTTCTGGCGCTGTCATTGGACCTGATGGAGAACCGATTCCAACTGATGAGAGTGGAAAGCCACTATCCAAGGATGGATCCCCATTGCCAACTGACAACAACGGAAACTACATTCTTGTTCCAAGAGGAGACGATACAACAAAGACTCTTCCAACTGATTCTGAAGGAAACGTGGTCTACCCAATCACGAAACCCGATGGAATTCCACTTAGAACTGATTCAACTGGAAAGTTCATCACTGAGGAAGGAAAAGTTGTGGAAATCGATGAGGAAGGAAAACCAGTTGGCCCCGACGGCCAAGTACTCCCAACTGATGCTTCTGGAAACTACATCTATCCAGTTGTTGGACCAGATGGACAAGTATTGCCAACTGATTCTACTGGAAAGACTGTTTATCCAGTTCGTGGATCTGATGGAACACCATTGCCTACTGATGCTTCTGGAGCAGTTATTGGATCAGACGGAGAACCAATTCCAACTGATGCTAGTGGCAAACCACTTTCCCAGAATGGATCCCCATTGCCTACTGATAACAATGGAAACTATGTTCTTGTTCCAACTGGAGAAGATGTTACCAAAGCTCTTCCAACTGATGATTCTGGAAACGTCATCTATCCAATCACCAGACCAGATGGAACTCCACTTGGAACTGATGCTTCTGGAAACTTTGTTACCGATGAAGGGGAGAGCATTGACAAGAATGAGGAGGGAAAACCAATTGGACCAGATGGGCAGGTAAACGTATCATTTGAAAAAGTTGCACATAACTATTAGGTTGGCAAGAGTGACTCCGAACTTTTTTGGGCAAAAAACTTATTGTAAATTCAGAATCTTCTACCACAATTCAAAATGTATTGATCATCTATACTAATAACTTCATGCCAACGCGCACGGAGAGAATGGATGGCTCAATAGAAGATCTCCTCCGGGTGCGATGCGAAATACGCGTTCATCTATTTCCTAGTCCTATCTTTGATCTTAAAGTGTTCCTCAGTCAGCCAAAGAATGTTGCTTCTTTGAGTCAGATCTGATTCGACGACTCTCTTCAAAAAATCATCATCAAAAGATTGAAATTGTTGTCCATCACAACCTAGGCCCTCAAAGTTTTCATCACAGCTTTTGAATCTCTTAAACCAATCACCGACTTGCGTATTGGACAGAGCTATACAGACCAAATACTTCAGACAATGTAAAGAATGATTCTGGGCTTCTTCTGTTTAAAGTTGTAGCAAAAATATGCTCGCACGAGTAACTTTGGTTAATGCTTTGCAAACAAAGAAAACCGTGTTCGAGGTCAAACTTGCTAACCAGTTACTTTTGAATACTGTTTTTTTGTACACATTAAATTTGAATATTTCAGATCCTGCCAACCGATGCTGACGGAAATTATATCTATCCGGCTGTTGGACCAGACGGACAAGCATTGCCAACGGATACTTTTGGAAAAACTGTCTATCCAGTTCATGGATCTGACGGTACACCACTTTCAACCGATGCTTCTGGAGCTGTCATTGGACCAGATGGAGAATCAATTCCAACCGATGCCAGTGGGAAACCACTTTCCAAGGATGGATCCCCACTTCCAACTGATGCATCTGGAAACTATGTTCTCATCCCTACCGAGGAAGACACCACCAAGACTCTTCCTACGGATGATTCTGGTATTGTCATTTATCCAATCACAAGACCAGATGGAACTCCACTTGGAACGGACTCGACTGGTGCTTATGTTACTGATGATGATCAAGTCATTGAAAAGAACGAAGATGGAAAACCATTTGGACCAGATGGTCAGGTACTTCCAACTGATGCTTCTGGAAACTACATTTATCCAGTGACTGGATCAGATGGACAAGTTCTCCCAACTGATTCTGGTCTTCCTGTGATTGTTGATCAAAGTGGAAAACCACTTCCAACAGATGCATCTGGAAACTATTTAGATAATAATGGAAATCCTATCGTTATTGAAAGTAATGACCAACTGGACCAGAAGATCAGAAGTTGAGTAAGAACGAAAAAGGAGAATGGGTTTATCCATTGGTTGATAAGTCTGGAAAACCAATTGCTACTGATGAAAATGATAAGCCAGTGATTACTGTAATTGACAACGATGGAAATGAATTATCAAAGAATGATGATGGAAATTGGATCGATTTATCTGGAAATGAAATTGATACAGATGAACTTGGAAGACCATTGGATTCAGAAGGAAAACCATATGAATTTGATAATGATGGACGTGTTGTTATTGTTCCGGAAGTAGAAGAAGATGCAACTCCAGCTATTCCATTTATTATTGTTGATGGAGAACCAATTAATGAAATTGATGGACAATACACTGATAGTGATGGAAATGTTATTGAAACGAATTCTGATGGATTACCAATTGATGAGAATGGACAAGTACTTCCAAAGAACCAAGATGGAGAGTTTGTGAAGCCAAAGACTGTTGGAACTACACAAGCGTCAATTGTATCTCCTGATGGAACTCCTCTTCCAACTGATGCTTCTGGATCTGTTATCGGATTAGATGGAGAACCAATTCCAACAAATTCTAATGGAAAACCATTGGCTAAAGATGGATCTCCACTTCCAACTGATAATCAAGGACGATATGTTCTTGTTCCGTCCGATGACTCCACCACAAAAACACTTCCAACTGATGAGACTGGAAACACTATTTTCCCAATCACAAGACCAGACGGAACACTTCTTGCAACTGATTCAACTGGAGAACATGTTACTGACGATGGACAAGTAATCGAAAAAGACGAAGAAGGAAAACCAATTGGTCCTGATGGTTCAGTTCTTCCAACTGATGCCTCCGGCCATTACATTTATCCAGCTGTTGGGCCAGACGGTCAAGTATTGCCAACCGATGCCTCTGGAAAACCAATCTACCCTGTACGTGGACCGGATGGAGCTCCACTTCCAACTGATTCCGAAGGAAACATCATCGGACCAGACGGAGAACCATTTCCAACGGATGCCAGCGGCAAACCCCTCTCCAAAGATGGATCTCCATTCCCAACTGATGCTTCCGGTAACTACATCCTTGTTCCAGCAGAAGAAGAAACCACTAAGACTCTTCCAACTGATTCTGAAGGAAACTTGGTTTATCCAATCACAAGACCAGATGGAACCCCACTAGGAACCGACTCAACTGGTGCTTTTGTCACTCAAGATGGTAGTGTCATTGAGAAAGATGAGGATGGCAAACCAGTCGGACCAGATGGACAGGTAATTGTTTGGAAACGCTTTGAAAGTTGACTTTACCGGGGGTTTTTGATATTGACTTGAGAACTAGGTCATTCTGTTTCCTATGTTTCATTTAAAGATGCATTTAAAAATGGATAGCGGAAGCCTGCTTTTAGTTAACTAAACGTTGCTTATATTTGTGTCAATTCTTTTGTTTGGATGAACGTCCTTGTTTTTGAGTCATGAAAGAATATTTCCTGTTATCTTCTCTGGAAGGAAAAATTTTCTACTGCGGTCCCAAAAAAGCAAGAATCTCCAAGACAATTTCATTCGCAAACTATTACGAAATACTTAATTCAGGTACTTCCCACTGATGACTCAGGAAATTACATCTATCCAGTTGTTGGACCAGACGGACAAGTATTGCCAACTGATTCCACTGGAAAGACTGTTCATCCAGTTCGCGGACCAGATGGAACACCGCTTCCAACTGATGCTTCTGGAGCAGTTATTGGACCAGACGGAGAACCAATTCCAACCGATGCCAGTGGCAAACCACTTTCCCAAGATGGATCCCCATTACCAACTGATAACGAAGGAAATTACGTTCTTGTTCCAACAGAAGACGATTCAGCGAAGGCTCTTCCAACTGATGATTCTGGAAACGTCATCTATCCAATCACTAGACCAGATGGAACACCACTTGGAACTGATGCTTCAGGAAACTTTGTTACCGATGAAGGGGAGAGCATTGACAAGAATGAGGATGGCAAACCAACTGGACCAGATGGGCAGGTAAACATCATTTCTGAAAACTATTTGTGGAACACATTTAATTTGAATATTTCAGGTCCTGCCAACCGATGCTGACGGAAACTACATCTACCCAGCAGTAGGACCAGATGGACAAGTCCTACCAACAGACGATTCTGGAAAACCTGTGTACCCAGTTCACCGATCTGACGGTGCTCCACTTCCAACTGATGCTTCGGGAGCTGTTATTGGACCAGACGGAGAACCAATCCCAACGGATGCCAGCGGCAAACCACTTGCCAAAGATGGATCTCCATTGCTAACTGATGCTTCCGGCAACTACATCCTTGTTCCGTCCGACGAAGAAACTCCCAAAGCTCTTCCAACGGATTCTGAAGGAAATGTCGTTTATCCAATCACTAATCCAGATGGAACTCCACTTGGAACTGATTCTTCTGGCGCTTACGTATCTCAAGATGGAAGTGTCATCGAGAAAATTGAAGATGGAAAACCAGTTGGACCAGATGGACAGGTAGGATTTTAAAAATTATCACCACTTTGAAAACTTATATTGTTGATTAATATACCGTATTTTCTCTAGTATGTAGAAGCCCATCCTCCGAAGTGCTTAAAAAAAATAGAAGCCCACTTTCTAACAGAACTTCGTACAGTGCAGATCGCCTATTCGGTTATTGCAGGCATTTTCTTTCTTTTTAAAAAAATGTTTCTAATGATTTCCGTTTTTGGTAATTTTCTGAGAAGGCGGTTGAAAAAATAGAAGCCTATGGGTTCCGATTAGAGAAAATACAGTAAGTAAATCTTGACTCGCAATTAGGAAAACTTCTCAAAGGTTTCTTTTGAAAATGTTCACAACAGCCCTCGAAAGATTGGTCAACTGTTTGATTCGAGATGTATGGGTTCCTGATCAATAGTTATTTCTTTGAATATAGTGTATAATTTGAGTCATAGCGTTCTGCGAAAGTGCCGAAGAACAAGTATATTCAAGAGAATATCGGAAGATTACAAAATACTTGTTTCAGGTACTGCCAACTGATGCCTCAGGAAATTACATCTATCCAGTTGTTGGACCAGATGGACAAGTATTGCCAACTGATGCTACTGGAAAGACTGTTTATCCGGTTCGTGGACCTGATGGAACACCATTGCCTACTGATGGCTCTGGAGCGGTCATTGGACCAGATGGAGAACCAATTCCAACGGATCCAAGCGGAAAACCTTTGTCTAAGGATGGATCTCCACTTCCAACTGACGCTTCTGGTAACTACATTCTTGTTCCAGCAGAAGAAGAAACCACCAAGACTCTTCCAACGGATTCTGAAGGAAATGTCATTTATCCAATCACTAATCCAGATGGAACACCACTTGGAACTGATTCTTCGGGTGCTTTCGTCACTCAAGATGGAACTGTAATTGAGAAGAATGAAGATGGAAAACCAGTCGGACCAGATGGACAGGTATGTCGTCGTGACAGGCAAATGTTTTTAAAGTTATCGATTCATGAGCTATGGTCCATATAACGTATTTTCTCTAATAGAAGTTTGTGCAGTTCAGTTCGTATACTCGGTTATTGCAGACATTTTCTTTCCATACTTGCAAAATCAGGGCCCGGGTTCTCCAAATTTCAAAAAAAAATTGAAATTTCAAACATTTTTTCAAAACTTTTTGTGAAAAAATCCTTTTTTATGGACACTCATTTTGAAATTTTTTTCACGACCGAAAAATTTTCCATTTTTTTCTATTGACCCCAAAAATTTTTTCGAAAAGACAGGAACATTTTCTTCTGAAAACCCGGGCCGAGACGGGCCGGGCCTGGCCGCGCCGGCCCCTGAAAATTCTGTAAAAAGCCCGGCCCGGTTCAGCCCGTTGCAAGTATGATTCTTTTTTTTTTAAGTTTGGTAATTTCCAGAGAATGAGGTTGGAAAATAGAAGCCCATGAGCTTCAGTTGGAGAAAATACGTATGTAAATTAATTTATTGGACTTTTTTTCGTTTTAAACATTCTTCCTGTTAATTTAGCTATTATTCTAGTTTTGAAAATCATTAGAATTAGAACTCTCATAGAAACAAAACACTGGCAGGAATGACTCCCAAGTGTTACCCTTGAAAAAATTGAGACCTAGAAGGTTGGAAAGAGCGTGAAAAGTTATTTTAGAATCCAAAAGGAATAGTTGGTAACAATTTTTTTTTGGGGAGTTATGGCCCAAAACGTACCAAAAAATGGCTATATTTTCAAAAAATCATAACTTTGTCTGTTATTGTTCGTTTGTTCAGATTTAAAAAACAGTGAATAGACATCTTATTGATCTTTTGGAAAAAAATTTTTTGATTTTTTTCTCATTGATTGGATTATTGATTTTTTGAAAAAAACGAAAACATTTTCAATATCTCAAAAATCCCAAGTTAACTTTTTTTCTTGTTATGACCATTGAACTCAGCACGTTTGATTTACTATAGAAACATATCAATACCCCGGGGGAAATTTTACATGCATTTACATGTGATTTTTACATGCATATAGTTAATTTAAAGTGCTTAAAATATTATTCTGCAACATAGAAAGACAATTATTCGAATGCCGTAATATGTCTTAAAATTGCCACTTTGAAAAAATCAAAATTTTGACATGTAATAGGGCATGTCTATGGTCAAACTTGATGAAAACAGCCAAACTCTTTTTTTTAACATAATCAGAAGAACCTAATTCTATCAACGGCTTGGACAGAATTTTGAGTTAGGCCTTAAAAATGAACATATTTACGATTATTACAGCCAAATCCCTATTTTAGTGAATGTTGACATGTAATAGGGCATAGCTATAGTCAACCTTGATGAAAACAGCCAAACTCTTTTTTTAACATAATCAGAAGAACCTAATTCTATCAACGGCTTGAACAGAATAGGGATTTGGCTGTAATAATCGTAAATATTTTCATTTTTAAGGCCTAACTCAAAATTCTGTCCAAGCCGTTGATAGAATTAGGTTCTTCTGATTATGTTAAAAAAAGAGTTTGGCTGTTTTCATCAAGTTTGACCATAGATATGCCCTATTACATGTCAAAATTCACTAAAAATAGGGATTTGGCTGTAATAATCGTGAATATTTTCATTTTTAGGGCCTAACTCAAAATTCTGAAAAATCTAAACAAACGAACAATAACAGACAAAGTTATGATTTTTTGAAAATATAGCCATTTTTTGGTACGTTTTGGGCCATAACTCCCAAAAAAAAAATTTTATCAACTATTCCTTTTGGATTCTAAAATAACTTTTTACGTTCTTTCCAACCATCTAGGTCTCAATTTTTTTCAAGGGTAACACTTGGGAGTCATTCCATGTGAAAATTGCCAAAATTTGAATAAAATTGATTTGTTCTCTTCCAGGTCCTTCAAACTGACGAATCCGGAAATTACATTTACCCAGCTGTTGGACCAGACGGAAAGTACTTCCAACTGATGCTACAGGAAAGACAGTATACCCAGCTGTAGGACCAGATGGACAAGTCCTACCAACAGACGGAACTGGAAAGCATGTGTATCCAGTTCGTGGTCCAGATGGTACTCCACTTCCAACCGATGCTTCTGGCGCTGTCATTGGACCAGATGGAGAACCAATTCCAACCGATGCCAGTGGCAAACCACTTTCCCAGGATGGATCTCCATTACCAACTGATAACCAAGGAAATTATGTTCTTGTTCCAACTGGAGAAGATGTTACCAAATATCTTCCAACTGATGAATCTGGAAACGTCATCTATCCAATCACTAGACCAGATGGAACTCCACTCGGAACTGATGCTTCAGGAAACTTTGTTACCGATGATGGTACCGTTGTTGAAAAGGACGACGAAGGAAAACCAGTAGGCCCTGATGGTGCTGTTCTCCCAACCGATGCTGACGGAAATTATATCTATCCGGCTGTTGGACCAGACGGACAAGTATTGCCAACGGATGCTTCTGGAAAAACTGTCTATCCAGTTCATGGATCTGACGGTACACCACTTCCAACCGATGCATCTGGAGCTGTCATTGGACCAGATGGAGAACCAATTCCAACCGATGCCAGTGGGAAACCACTTTCCAAGGATGGATCCCCACTTCCAACTGATGCATCTGGAAACTATGTTCTCATCCCTACCGAGGAAGACACCACCAAGACTCTTCCTACGGATGATTCTGGTATTGTCATTTATCCAATCACAAGACCAGATGGAACTCCACTTGGAACGGACTCGACTGGTGCTTATGTTACTGATGATGATCAAGTCATTGAAAAGAACGAAGATGGAAAACCATTGGGGCCAGATGGTCAGGTACTTCCAACTGATGCTTCTGGAAACTACATTTATCCAGTGACTGGATCAGATGGACAAGTTCTCCCAACTGATGCTGGTCTTCCTGTGATTGTTGATCAAAGTGGAAAACCGCTTCTAACAGATGCAACTGGAAACTATTTGGATAATAACGGAAATCCGATCGTTATTGAAAGTAATGAACCAACTGGACCAGAAGATCAGAAGTTGAGTAAGAACGAAAAAGGAGAATGGGTTTATCCATTGGTTGATAAGTCTGGAAAACCAATTGCTACTGATGAAAATGATAAGCCAGTGATTACTGTAATTGACAACGATGGAAATGAATTATCAAAGAATGATGATGGAAATTGGATCGATTTATCTGGAAATGAAATTGATACAGATGAACTTGGAAGACCATTGGATTCAGAAGGAAAACCATATGAATTTGATAATGATGGACGTGTTGTTATTGTTCCGGAAGTAGAAGAAGATGCAACTCCAGCTATTCCATTTATTATTGTTGATGGAGAACCAATTAATGAAATTGATGGACAATACACTGATAGTGATGGAAATGTTATTGAAACGAATTCTGATGGATTACCAATTGATGAGAATGGACAAGTACTTCCAAAGAACCAAGATGGAGAGTTTGTGAAGCCAAAGACTGTTGGAACTACACAAGCATCAATTGTATCTCCTGATGGAACTCCACTTCCAACTGATGCTTCTGGATCTGTTATCGGATTAGATGGAGCACCAATTCCAACAGATTCTAGTGGAAAACCATTGGCTAAAGATGGATCTCCACTTCCAACTGATAATCAAGGACGATATGTTCTTGTTCCGTCCGATGACTCCACCACAAAAGTACTTCCAACTGATGAGACTGGAAACACTATTTTCCCAATCACAAGACCAGACGGAACACTTCTTGCAACTGATTCAACTGGAGAACATGTTACTGACAATGGACAAGTAATCGAAAAAGACGAAGAAGGAAAACCAATTGGTCCTGATGGATCAGTTCTTCCAACTGATGCTTCCGGAAAATACATTTATCCAGCCGTTGGACCAGACGGTCAAGTATTGCCAACCGATGCCTCTGGAAAACGAATATACCCTGTACATGGAGCAGATGGAACTCCACTTTCAACTGATTCCGAAGGAAACATCATCGCACCTGACGGAGAACCAATTCCAACCGATGCCAGCGGCAAACCACTTGCCAAAGAAGGATCTCCATTGCCAACTGATGCTTCCGGTAACTACATATTGGTTCCGTCTGACGAAGAAACGACTAAAGCTCTTCCAACGGATTCTGAAGGAAATGTCATTTTTCCAATCACTAATCCAGATGGAACTCCACTGGCCACTGATTCTTCGGGTGTTTTTGTCACTCAAGATGGGAGTGTCATCGAGAAGAATGAAGATGGCAAACCAGTTGGACCGGATGGACAGGTTTGTTGTTCTCTTCTATGATTGTGATCACATTGAATAAGCTCAGACCCATGTCTGACACCACTGTCCAGCTCGTACTGTAACTAATTGTCTTCTCATTACAGGTTCTGCCAACTGATGCTTCTGGAAACTATATTTACGCCACAGACGGTGATAAGCAAATAAATCCAACAGACGCCTCAGGAAACTTGATTTACCCAATAATTGCTCCGGATGGATCGGTGATCGAGGGTCCAGAAAAGCCAGCAGAGCCAGTTGGTCCTGATGGAAAAGTATCAATATTATTTCGTTCTGTTTAATCGTACATTCCATTTTCAGGTTTTGCCAACCGACGATGAAGGATATTTTATTGACATGGATGGACAAAGACTTCCGACAGATTCGGTTGGACTTGTTGTGTATCCCGTTACCAATCCAGATGGTTCTCCTGTGGGAACTGACTCGATTGGAGCATATGTTACTCAAGACGGAAAGGTTATCGAGAAGAACGAAGACGGAAAACCGGTTGGACCTGATGGACAAGTGCTCCCAACCGATGAATCAGGAAACTTCATCTATCCCGTTATTGGACCAGATGGACAAGTATTGGCTACAGATTCAACTGGAAAAACGGTTTACCCAGTCCGTGATCCAGATGGAACGCCAATCCCAACTGATGCTTCTGGAGCGGTCATTGGACCAGATGGAGAACCAATTCCAACCGATACCAGTGGCAAACCACTTTCCCAGGATGGATCCCCGAGGCCTACAGACAACCAAGAAAATTACGTTCTTGTTCCAACCGGAGACGATGTTACCAAAACACTCCCAACTGATGGCGAAGGAAACATCATCTATCCAATCACCAGACCAGATGGATCATTACTTGGAACTGACTCTACTGGAAAGTTCATCACTGATGACGGTATAAGGGTGGAAGTTGATGACGAAGGAAAACCAGTTGGTCCAGATGGTTCGGTTCTTCCAACTGATGCTTCAGGAAACTACATATATCCAGCTATCGGCCCAGATGGACAAGTGGTGCCAACCGATGCTTCAGGAAAACCAATCTATCCAGTCCGCGGACCAGATGGAACTCCACTTCCAACTGATTATAAAGGAAACGTCATCGGACCAGATGGAGAACCAATTCCAACTGATACGAGCGGAAAGCCACTCTCCAAGGATGGATCCCCATTGCCAACAGATAACCAAGGCAATTATGTACTCGTCCCAATTGGAGAAGATGTTACCGAAGCTCTTCCAACTGACGAGGCTGGAAACATCATTTATCCGATCGTCAAACCAGATGGAAAACTCCTTGCGACTGATACTACAGGAGCCTTCGTAACAGACGATGGGGAAATAATTGAAAGAGATGAAGAAGGAAAACCAGTTGGTCCAGACGGCTCAGTTCTCCCAACCGACGCATCCGGAAACTACATCTACCCAGCTGTAGGACCAGATGGACAAGTCCTACCAACAGACGGAACTGGAAAGCATGTGTATCCAGTTCGTGGTCCAGATGGTACTCCACTTCCAACCGATGCTTCTGGAGCTGTTATTGGTCCAGATGGAGAACCAATTCCAACAGATGCCAGTGGCAAACCACTTTCTAAGGATGGATCTCCATTGCCAACTGATGCTTCCGGCAACTACATCCTTGTTCCAGCAGAAGAAGAAACAGCAAAGGCCCTACCAACAGATTCCGAAGGAAACGTCATTTATCCAATCACTAATCCAGATGGAACTCCACTTGGAACTGATTCTTCGGGTGCTTTCGTCACTCAAGATGGGAGTGTTATTGAGCAGAACGAGGATGGAAAACCAGTTGGACCGGATGGACAGGTAGGATTTCATGTGCTGTGTTACTGAACATTCGTTACTCGTACAGTTTGGTTTGCACCACTAGAAAACAAAATTCTTTAACAAAATTATTGATCTGGCAACAACATGAATTAGAAAGATTTATTACTATTGGGTCTCTTTTTTTCATCATTATACTATAGCTTTATACGATCACAAAAAAAAAGAATCAGAGTTATACTTTTGTAGGTTAAACCATCAAACACTGAAGCTTAACATTTGCAGGTTCTCCCAACTGATGATTCTGGAAATTACATCTATCCAGTTGTTGGACCGGATGGACAAGTTTTGCCAACTGATTCAACTGGAAAGACTGTTCATCCAGTTAGTGGACCTGATGGATCACCATTATCTACTGATGCTTCTGGAGCGGTCATTGGACCAGACGGAGAACCAATTCCAACGGATCCAAGCGGAAAACCTTTGTCTAAGGATGGATCTCCACTTCCAACTGACGCTTCTGGTAACTACATTCTTGTTCCAGCAGATGAATCAACTACAAAGGTCTTGCCAACAGACGGTGATGGAAACGTTATATATCCGATTACTAAACCAGATGGAACTCCACTTGGAACTGACTCTGATGAACTTTTTATATCTGAAAATGGTGATGTTATAGGCAGAGATAACGAAGGTCGACCACTTGGACCCGACGGACAAGTTCTTCCAACTGATGCTTCTGGTCATTATTTATACTCGATTACTGGCCCAGACGGACAAATATTACCAACCGATGCATCTGGAAAACCAATTTATCCAGTATTCAATGAAGATGGTACCCAACTTCCAACTGATTCTACTGGATTCGCAATTGGACCGGACGGGCAATTTGTTGCAACTGATTCAACTAGTGGTGTTCCTCTTGCCAAAGATGGATCTCCACTTTCAACTGATGCAACTGGTCACTTTGTTCTTGTTCCTTCAGGCACCTTCACAAAAGATTCACTTCCAACGGGTGACGCAGACGTTTTGCCATCCATTAAGAAGCCTGATGGAACTCCTCTTGGAACTGATTCTTCAGGAGAATTTGTCACTGATGATGGAACCGTTGTTGAAAAGGACGACGAAGGCAAGCCAATAGGCCCTGATGGAGCTGTTCTGCCAACGGATGATTCCGGAAACTATATATATTCAGCTATTGGCCCAGACGGACAAGTTTTGCCAACCGATGCTTCGGGAAAACCAATCTACCCAGTTCGTGGTCCAGACGGTACCCCACTTTCAACTGATGCTTCTGGAGCTGTAATCGGACCAGATGGTGAACCAATTCCAACCGATACCAGTGGCAAACCACTTTCCCAGGATGGATCTCCATTGCCTACTGACATCCAAGGCAATTATGTGCTTGTTCCAACTGGAGAATATGTTACCAAGTCTCTTCCAACTGATTCTGAAGGAAATGTGGTCTACCCAATCACTAGACCAGATGGAACACCACTTGGAACAGACTCAACTGGGAAGTTTGTAGCTGATGACGGTAAAATCGTGGAAGTCGATGACGAAGGAAAACCAGTTGGTCCAGATGGCTCGATTCTTCCAACTGATGCTTCAGGAAACTACATATATCCAGTTGTTGGACCAGACGGACAAGTTTTGCCAACCGATGCTTCAGGAAAACCAATCTACCCAGTCCGTGGTCCAGATGGAACTCCACTTCCAACTGATTCTGAAGGAAACGTTATCGGACCAGATGGAAAACTAATTCCAACTGATTCCAGCGGCAAACCACTTTCCAAGGATGGATCCCCACTACCAACTGACAACAACGGAAACTATGTCCTAGGGTCATCTGTGGAAGATACTACCAAGGCACTCCCAACCGACGAATCAGGAAATATCATATATCCAATCGTCAGACCAGACGGAACACTTCTCCCGACCGACTCAACTGGAGCCTTCCTCACTGAAGACGGCGAATTTATTGAACGTGATGACGAAGGCAAACCAATAGGCCCAGATGGACAAATTCTTCCAACTGATGCTTCCGGAAATTACATCTATCCAGCAGCAAGTTCTGATGGACAAGTACTCCCAACCGATGACGAAGGAGAAGTTATTTATCCAATCACTAGCCCAGACGGAACTCCACTGGCCACTGATTCAACAGGAAGATTCGTTAATGAAGACAGACAAGTGATTGAGAGAGATGATACTGGAAAGCCAGTTGGTCCAGATGGACAAGTAAGTGTTTCGTTTTTCTGTTCGAATTTTTTCATAAAAAGGAGAACAATGCTTTCCGATATGTTTAAGACATACATATCTTTGAAATTGCAGGTTCTCCGAACTGATGCTTTCGGAAACTACATTTATCCAGCAGTTGCACCGGACGGCCAACTTCTAGCAACAGACGCTTCTGGAAAACCAATATACCCTGTACGTGGACCAGATGGAACTCTACTCCCAACTGATTCCGAAGGAAACGTCATTGGACCAGATGGAGAACCAATTCCAACTGATGCAAGCGGAAAACCATTGTCAAAGGATTGGTCTATTCTTCCAACTGATAACAACGGAAACTACATTCTTGTTCCAACTGGAGAAGATGTTACCAAGACTCTTCCAACTGATTCTGAAGGAAACGTGGCCTACCCAATCACGAAACCAAATGGAACTCCACTTGGAACCGACTCAACTGGAAAGTTCATCACCGAGGAAGGACAAGTTGTACAAATCGATGAAGAAGGAAAACCAGTTGGCCCCGACGGCCAAGTTCTCCCAACGGATGCTTCTGGAAATTACATCTACCCAGCTATCGGACCAGATGGACAAGTACTGCCAACTGACTCTACTGGAAAGACTGTTTATCCAGTTCGTGGCCCAGACGGCACCCCTCTTCCAACTAATGCTTCTGGCGCTGTCATTGGACCAGATGGAGAACCAATTCCAACCGATGCCAGTGGAAAGCCATTGGCTAAGGACGGATCCCCACTCCCAACCGACAATGATGGAAATTACATTTTGGTTTCATCAGATGAATCAACTACGAAGGTCTTGCCAACTGATTCTGAAGGAAACGTAATCTATCCGATCACAATGCCAGATGGAACGCCATTGGTAACTGATTCAACTGGCGAGTATTTGACAGAGGATGGACAAGCTATCGTGCGAGATGACACTGGAAAGCCATTAGGCCCAGACGGACAGGTAATTTCTGAAACTTTGAAAAAGTTAATGAGCGAATTTAAGGTACTTCCAACTGATGCTTCTGGAAACTACATTTACCCAGTTGTTGGACCAGATGGACAAGTACTTCCAACTGACTCTACAGGAAAGACAGTATACCCAGTTCGCGGGCCTGATGGAACTCCACTCTCAACTGATGCTTCTGGAGCTGTTATTGGACCAGATGGAGAGCCGATTCCAACTGATGCTAGCGGAAAGCCATTGTCTGAAGATGGATCTGTTCTCCCAACTGATAACAACGGAAACTACATTCTCGTTCCGTCAGATGAAGCCACTTCTAAGATTCTTCCGACAGATGAAGATGGAAATGTCATTTATCCAATCACAAGACCAGATGGAACCCCACTAGGAACTGATTCGACTGGTGCTTTTATCACTCAAGATGGAACTAATATCGAAAAAGATGAAGAAGGAAAGCCGGTAGGACCTGACGGACAAGTCCTTCCGACAGACGAATCTGGAAACTACATTTATCCAGTGATTGGACCGGATGGACAAGTACTTCCAACTGATGCTACAGGAAAGACAGTATACCCAGTTCGCGGACCAGATGGAACTCCACTTCCAACTGACGCTTCCGGCGCTGCCATAGGACCAGACGGAGAGCCGATTCCTACTGATTCCAGCGGAAAACCACTTTCCAAAGACGGATCACCTCTCCCAACTGATAACAACGGAAACTACATCCTGGTTCCATCTGTTGAAGATAAAACCGGAGTATATCCAACAGATGCATCTGGATATGTTATCTATCCAATCGTAAGACCAGATGGAACACTTCTTGGAACTGATTCGACTGGTGCTCATATCACTGATGATGGTGAAATGATCGAGAGAAATGAGGAAGGTCGCCCAGTAGGACCAGATGGAGAGGTCAGTTTTTCAGATGAGCAACATTGTTTTCTGTTTATGAGATTTCGTTTAGTGAGGTTTGACAAAAGTTGTCATCTATTCAATTTATATGTATTCGTTTATTTGAAGATAAATTAGGAGCGATGAGAACCGGGGAAAGAACATGGTAAAACTTTACATTGATATTTTCGCAAATGTGTATCAGATTTGTTTCAGAGAAAAAAAACTTGTTTGAATGAGTAAATTAGATATTCATAATTTGAAATAAGTGTGCAAATCCCTAAAATCTGATTTATTTATTTTTCAGACTCTCTCTGCAGATGCTGCTGGAAATTACATTTATCCCGCTGTTGGCCCAGATGGTCAAGTATTGTCAACCGATGCTTCTGGAAAACCCATATACCCAGTGCGTGGACCAGATGGAACTCCACTTCCAACTGATTCCAAAGGAACCGTTATCGGACCAAATGGAGAACCAATTCCAACAGATTCGAGCGGAAAACCATTGTCTAAGGATGGATCTCCACTTCCAACCGACAATAATGGAAATTACATTCTCGTTCCAACTGGAGATGAAACCACCAAAACATATCCAACTGACAGCGATGGTAATTTCATTTATCCAATCACAAAACCAGATGGAACTCCACTTGGAACTGATTCTTCTGGTGCTTTCATCGCTCAAGATGGAAGTGTTATTGAGAAGAATAAGGATGGTAAACCAGTTGGACCAGATGGACAAGTGTTGCCAACTGATGAATCAGGAAACTACATTTATCCAATCACTGGCCCTGATGGACAAGTTCTTCCAACTGATGGTTCTGGTAAATCTATTTATCTTGTTCATGGACCCGATGGAACTCCACTTCCAACGGATGAAATCGGTTCAGCTATCGGTCCCGACGGAGAACTTGTTCCAACTGATTCCAGTGGAAAACCACTATCGAAGGACGGATCTCCACTTCCTACAGACAACAATGGAAAGTATATTTACGTGGTGTCTGACGAATCTACCACCAAGATTCTACCAACTGACGAAACCGGAAACGTTCTTCACCATGTCACCAGAGCGGACGGAACTCTTCTGGGAACTGATGCATCTGGAGACTACGTTACTGATAACGGACAAGTTGTACAAAAAGATGACGAAGGAAAACCAATCGGACCAGATGGACAAGTACTTCCAACCGATGACTCCGGCAGCTATATCTACCCGATTACTGGCCCAGACGGACAAGTCTTGCCGACCGATGCATCTGGAAAGCCAGTTTATCCAGTATTCAATGAAGATGGTACTCAACTTCCAACTGATCCCACTGGATTTGCCATTGGACCAGACGGAGAACTTGTTACAACTGATTCAACTAGTGGTATTCCTCTTGCCAAGGATGGATCTCCACTTCCAACTAATGCTTCTGGTCAGTTCGTCATTGTACCTGCTAAGGACACAACCAAAGCACTCCCAACAGATGAAAACGGACTGATCATATATCCGATCACAAGACCAAATGGAACACTTCTTTCAACTGATTCTACTGGATCCTTCCTCACTGATGATGGAAAATTGATTGACAAGGACAGCGAAGGAAAACCGCTCGGACCGGATGGATCTGTTCTACCAACAAGTTCTTCTGGAAATTACATCTATCCCGCTGTTGGACCAGATGGACAAATTCTTCCAACTGATACCAGTGGAAATGTCATTTACCCGATTTTCTATCCAGATGGAACACCACTTGGCACAGACTCCACTGGATCATTCATCACCGAAGACGGAGAAGTAGTCGGAAAAGATTCTGAAGGCAAACCAGTTGGACCAGACAACCAGGTTCTTCCAACTGATGGCTCTGGAAAATACATCTATCCAGCTATCGAACCTGATGGCGAAATTTTGCCCACCGACGCTTCTGGCAAATCAATTCATCCAGTCTACACTCCAGATGGAACAAAATTGCCGACAGATGCTTCTGGATCAGCAATCGATCCTGATGGTCAGCTTGTACCAACAGATGCTTCAGGAAAACCACTTGGAAAAGATGGGTCAGTGCTTCCGACCGACAACAATGGAAGATTTGTTCTTGTTCACGGGGATGGAGTCGTCACGAAGACAGTACCAACGGATGAATCTGGAAAGACTATCTACCCAATCACCCGACCAGATGGTTCCCTACTTTCCACAGATTCTACTGGAATCTTCCTTACTGACGATGGTCATGTGATTGATAGAGATGAAGAAGGAAAACCACTGGGACCAGATGGTCAAATTCTTCCAACTGATGGATATGGTAACTTTGTTTATCCAGCGGAAAGCGATATCGGAGGAGCCAAACTTCTCCCGACGGACGAATATGGACATACCATCTTCCCTGTCATTCGTCCTGATGGATCTCTTCTTTCTACCGAATCTTCAGGCTCATTTGTTACTGACGATGGCAAACTTGTCTCCAAAGATGGACAAGGAAAACCATTGGGTCCAGATGGTCAAGTATTGCCAACCGATTCAGCCGGAAACTACATCTACCCATCAATCGGGCCTGATGGATCGCCACTTCCAACTGATGTCAACCGAAAACCAGTATATACTGTTATCGGAAGATATGGAGATGTCTTACCAACCGACTCTGAAGGACGATCAGTGAATATCGATGGATCTGTTGTACCAACAGACGAGTCTGGACTTCCAATCGATCAATATGGAATGGTTCTACCAACTGACACTACCAGAAAACTTCACACTCTTGTTCCAACGCGTCGTCCATCTGAATACTGCTACGTCACATCGCATATTGATCTTCTTCTTGTCATCGACTCCTCCAACAATATCAAGGTTCTTGATTACAGAGTCATGAAGGAGCTGATTAAGAACTTCCTCACTGAACACTTCAATCTTCGTAAACATCAAGTCCGTGTTGGACTCGTCAAGTACGGAGATGGATCAGAAATTCCAATTTCATTGGGAGATTACGATAATGAAGATGATCTGGTTCATCGTATAAGCGAGTCTCGTCGTCTCAAGGGACGTGCTCAACTCGGAGCAGGTCTTCGTGAGGCTCTCGATGAGCTCTCGATTTCTGGAGTTGATGGAGTACCACAGATTGTTTTGGTTGTAAAGAACGGAAAAGCCAGGTATGTGTTTTTGCAGAAAGCGAACATTAAATTAAAATTATTTCAGTGACGACTACTCATCTGCTGTCAAATCTCTGAAATCTGAACGTAATGTTACGATATTCGTGGTGGATTCTGGAGATGATGAAAGCCAGGACCAGAATTCGGAACTCACGGATGCCGATAAGATCGTTGTTATTCCACAATGGCGTGGAGCTGATTCTGAAGTTCTTGGACCCATTGCTGACTACATTTGCAAGGTATGACAATTCTATTATGTTCATTTACCGTTCTAATCTTTCAGATCGTTCCAAATGTCGAAAGTGCTCGCACCTGGCCAACGCCTCGCACAAAGGCAACAACTCTAGCTGGTTCTAGAAGAAGTTGCTCTACTATCGACTACGAATCTGACGTCATCATCGTGTTGGATTCTTCCGAAAACTTCACTCCAGATGAATTCGATAGCATGAAGGACGCAGTTGCCAGCATCGTAGACACAGGATTTGATCTTGCTCCAGATGTTTCTAAGATTGGTTTTGTCATCTACAGTGACAAGGTCGCTGTTCCAGTGGCTCTTGGTCATTATGAAGATAAGATTGAACTACTCGAAAAGATTGTGGATGCTGAAAAGATTAATGATGGAGTTGCAATTGCTCTTTACGGATTGAATGCTGCTCGTCAACAATTCCAACTTCATGGACGTGAGAATGCTACAAAGATCGTTCTTCTCATCACCAATGGAAAGAATAGAGGAAATGCTGCAGCTGCTGCTGAAGATCTCAGAGACATGTATGGAGTTCAACTCTTCGCTGTCGCTGTTGGATCCAATCCTGATGAGCTTGCTACTATCAAGAGACTAGTTGGAAACGCCAATCCAGATAATGCGATCGAAGTTGCACAGTCAACTGAAATTGACGATAACGCAGTTGGAATTTTGAAGGCTGTCTGTGGGAACACAGCGCCAAAGAACTCAGAAATGCCAGCTCATTTGACGACGAAACGAGATTTGGGATCGCAAAAGTACACAACTGCTCCGATGCTCCGAACAACTCGTGCAGTTTCTGGAGGACTTTGTAACGACGGAATCAGAAGACCTTATCATATTAACATTCTGGTTGATATCACTTCTAGAGCCTCTTCGGAGGAATTCGAACGTGTTCTTGATCATCTTGTTAACTTCTTCAATGATAGACTAAGAGATGAACAACACATGATTACGTATGTTTTTAAAATGCTAGAATGACATCTGAATAGAAAACCTTTTACAGAATTAACATCATCACCGTCAACAGCGAGAAGGTTCAGAAGATTTCCAACAGCTTGCGTGTGGATCAGCTCGCCGACGAGCTCAATACAATCAAACAGCAAGCGTATGTCCATTTATTTTTTCTTTTTGAATTATAATTTTTAGCGAAGACAGCGTTTCACCAAAACTAGGTGCTGGAATTGATGCTCTCGTCGAGCTCTCGAGGGAGAATTACATCAATGGAGCAGTCAAACTGATGATCATTGTCAGTTCCGATGGAACATCAAGTGACGATGCTCTCCCAGCTTCTGAATACGCCAATGGAGACTTCCAACATAACATCATCGCCATTTCCGTTAGAAAACCAGCCACTGATCTTCTCTCCAAGGTCGCCGGGCTTCCAACCAGGTATGATTGCTTTCTATATTTAAAACTCTAACGAATAATTTTCAGAGTGATTCATCTTGACCAATGGTCTGCACCAAACGAGTTGTTCGACAGCTGGATCGCCTACATCACTTGTGATTATGCAACTGCAAGTACCACTCGTAAATCGACAACTCCAAAAATGACGACTCTTCTTCCATTCGGACGTGACGCTTCTAAGGAAGATGCCACCAACATTGAACTTATTCCACTGTCACCATCATCAATCTCTGTGTCTTGGACATGTTGTACCAACAACAAATCGGTATGTTTTTTCTTGCAAAAAAGTTCAGCTCATTTTGGAAATTATTTTTTTCAGAACTACACGATCCTGTACACACACGATACCTCGATTCCAAAGAAGAAATGGCTCCGCAAAGAGGCAACATGCCGTGACAGTTTCGGAACTCATCTCGACAATCTTCCATCAGATCACACCTACACAATCTGCGTCATGACAACGGAAAGAGTTGAAAATTCCACTGCTTTGGCGATTGACAAAAACTGCGATAGAATTCATATTGATCTGAGTGAGTTTTTATTCAAAAAATTATTTTCTCTATATAATTATTTTCTCTATAATCCCTAAGTATTCATTTTTCAGACACCACTGCTCCTGAAAACTACGTGAAACCATCTCCAACAAGTTGCAACTGTCAATGTTCTTCCGAAGGAAAAGCAGTTCTTCGTGCCACTTGTGAAATGGTCATTGACACGAATCGTCCGATTGCTACTCTTCCACCAGCAACTGTCGACGAGTGCCCATGCAAAGTCAAGGCTCATGGAGGACGTTGTCCAAAGGGATACATTGCCAAGGATGGACAGTGTTATGGTGAATAAAATATTCGAAGTAATAATAATAAAATATTTAAAAATGTTCAGATATCGATGAATGTGCCACCAACAACGGTCAATGTAGCGAGGGATGTGTTAACACTCCAGGAGCCTATTATTGTGCCTGCCCACATGGAATGATGCGTGATCCATTAGATCCTTTCAACTGTGTCAACACTGCTAATTCGTAAGTTTCCGGAGTCAAAATTTTTATTCGTATTTTGATTCCCAGGTTCGACAAGATTGCTGCCCTTCTTGCCAACTATCTTGAAGCCAATACAAAAAACAAGGATTCAGAAGTGACGTCCGAGAAATCGGGCGGACGTGTCAACTACAAAGCCACCATAAAATCTGCCGACGACAAGACCATCACTTTTGAATGGTCTCATGTACCAGAAGTCGTTCGTCGTGCATTCAAATGGCTTTTCTAATTTCTCTGAAAACTATTATATTTACTCCCCGAAAAACCACGAATTCAAAAATCAATCCTACCGAAAAATCTCTGCCCCCCCCCCTTTGAAAAGAAAACATAAATTATATTATCTCGGTGAATGGTATACTGTATTTATAACTCTTCATATTCTTAATTATCTCTGCCCCTCCTCCCCTGTTACTTTCCACCATTCTTCTTTCAAATTTTCTCTTAAACACACAAGAATATTGTTTACTGCCAACTAGGCTTTTCTGTTTGAAATTTGCTTCATAATGTGCCTTTAGACTTCCTTTTAATTTTTCTCTATTTTTTAAAGAATACTGTTTAATATGCGGTGAAGTGGTCCAAATAAATCAGTTAAAAAATAACTATCAATGTGAAAAAATCAAACTTTGAAATACCACGCAAGAATATCATCCATGTTAATAGCATTGTCGGAAAAAACGAGAAATTTACCAACTGAGGAATACTGTAATTTTAGAGAATGTTCGAAACTTAGAAAATGAAGATTACTGTAGTTTCGAGAATACATTCGAAAACTTTTGAAAACGAAGATTACTATAGTTCTGAGAGAAACATCAAAGCTTTAAATTAAGAAGCTTTCTGTAATTTTAAGAGAAAGTTCGAAACTTGGAAAATGAAGAATACGGTAATTTCGAGATGAAATTCGAAACATTTAGAACTACACTTGGGTTCAAGCGAGGGGGTCAGAAAAAAAACTCTCCCAAGCAGTCATCTTTGAGTCTAATTATCTCGTTTCCTGTGAGAGATATCTAAAATTTGCCAACTGATATATTGTTTATCATAACCAGCCTGTTTTCCGCGCCTCCGGCGCTTCAAACAGCTGGCTGGTGCGCCGTCGGCGCAAATTAACCTATTTCTTTTACTGTTCGTCGCTTCGCTCCTCTGTCTTACTCAAAGGGTCACGTCAATTTATATTTTATTGCAAGTTTTTCCACGTGTTTGGACAAACAGAGTAACAAACAGAGAAAGAGACGCAACTTCATTTATTTATTACCAGTCGATTTCCGCCGCCTGCCGGCGGCTACAATCTCCTGGCTACACTTAAAATGTTCGAATCTTAAAACTTGGAGAAATAGAAGAAGTAGTTTTTTGTGAGAAATTGTTAACTTGGTTTTTTACCTTCCGAATTTTCAAATTTCAAATGTCGGTTTGCGCCTTTTGGGCTAAGCCTCCTGGCCTTTGCTTACAATTCCCGTAATTTCAAAAAGAGATTTCAATACCTTTTTTCAGAGTTTTTCTTCCGTATCTAAAATCGAAAAAGTCTAAAATTAGACATTTGGAGTTTTGGAAATTCTCAATTAGGAAACTCGTAATTGCGGTAATTTGGGAGTTTATCGACTCGGAAATTAAGATATTCAGAATTTTGGGAATCAGTCGCTCCCTGGGGCTCAACCTTCTGGCTTCCGCTTACTGTATCTTACAATTCAATTTCAAATTTCTAAATTTCCGAGTTTCCGAAGTCACAAAAATTCCTGTACATTTAATTTTCCAATTTTCAAGTTTCGAAACTACTGATGACTTAATTTTATAAGTTCTGAAATCCGGAGTATGTGAATTCCCGGTTTCCTTAAGTTCTAAATTTTTGGATACAGTCGGTTTTGGTTTCCGCTTACATTACCCGCAATCTTATACACAGGTTTTGTCATTTTTTCAGGGACTATTTCATCATGGTCTTTATTAGGAAACTCTGCTTATAATGTCTATAATCATGCAAAAAAGTACCAAATTAGTGCCCCGTTTTTTCAGTTTCGGAAAATTTTTCTGAAAATTTTAAAAATAGTTTCTGAAAATTTTAAAAATTCGAGTGATCCGGAAAGCGCGCTCTCTCTTATTTTTCATCATCTTTTCCCTCTGTTTCAGAATTTTTTCTCCCTTTCAGTTCTTCAAAACCCAGACTAAAATAAAGTTTCCACAAAATCATTTTTTTTCTCAGAAATAGCGTGGATGAGAAAAAACTGAAGCGGTTAGACGGGAATGACGTAAATATTACTTCAATAAGTTTCTAAAGATTTGCTTCGTAGAAATAGAAGAACTGTGTTAGACAATCCTCCTTATTATTTGATACTGTGTTAGACAATCCTCCTTATTATGAATCCACCCAAAAGAAGGAGTGAGTCATAAAATGTTCGCTGTGTTCTTCTTCTTCTTCTTCTTCTTCTTCTTCTTC